CAGACCGTTCTGGCTGGCGGCGATCAGATGGGGATGGGAACCGTTTTACCGATTCTCCCCTTTCTTCTCGTCGGCCGTTACGGCTGTAATTCTACACCGTCTTCTCAAATGGTCCGTCGAAGGAAAACACTGGATCTGCTATCATGTGACAGCAGGCGAACAAAGGCTCACGAGTGCGTGAGAACCAGGCTTTATTGAGGAAATCAATAAGGCAAGAACCAAAACACAAAGCACATGAAGGCTCGATGTGGCCAGTATCATGTCAAAACAGCAAGTCATACGCTAATGAATGAAAGTGAATGGCAGATCGAGCCATAACACAGAAAAGCCTAATGCGGCACTGGGCAGATCCAACACGAGCGAATGGCGAACGCTGATTGGCCGAGACGTCAAGCCGTAGGTGTGGCAAGGCGGAGTCGAGGCCAGTGATTCGGCGTCGACTAAGCGAGTGCGTGCAGGCGTGAGTGTGTGCGATATTGTGCACCACTGAGCCATGCACCGGAAGCGGGACTGTCGCTGGCTGCCATACTCGTAGGCTGCCATAGCGACTGGCCCAACATAAATGTTTAACAACTTGCTACATGTAAGTTCTTAACTTTATGTACGTAAATACATATCTGTACCACTATCACCTTGCAAAACACTGTATAAGAAACTCATATCGCAATCATGTTCCCTGTCTGTTACGTAAATGTGCTTCGGCTACACGAGGTGAGTCAGGACGCGTACACCTGAATGCATTAATTAATATTTTAAACTGTTTGGAATCTTCTTACATCAACTATTCCCGAACCGGAAGCTGCGAGCACGAAGAAAACATCTTGCGACCGTGATGCATTGTGCAAAAAAGACCATGTGTGGTTACTGGTATTATTTGCTTAGCACTTATCGTGTCCCTAAATTTTTTTTATTATTTTAAATGTTTTACATTTTTTAATTTTAAATATTTGCATTTGTATATCTTTTGTATTTCATATGGAAAAACCTGTCAGATTCTAACCAATCTGTTGAGAAAGTGAATGGCCCTCAAAAGAACAGATACAGAACAGCAATTTAAAGTTCTTGTGATACTATCTATATATGTGCTCAACATGTTTTCTTTGAAAAAAATAAACAAACGGTAAGAAAAAATTAAAATTTGTGTTACATATTACTGCACCCCGACAGCATGGCTTATCGACGTTATGGCTTTTGCAACAGGTTGCCTACGAGTCTACAGCAGTGACAGCCTGTGTACAGATAAGTCTGTGTTTTTGACTTGTAAACTTGTAACTCTGTGTTTTTGACAAAAACTTTTTGTCAATAGATACCACAATAATGTCAATGCTCTTTTTACTATAACTATGTCTTGGCGGTGACGTTGAGTGCAACAGAGGTGATATCCTTCATTGTGATGGCCAAAGGTGCTGCTGATTCCTTAGACAGTACTTCGTTGGTGACCACGGCGAATAATGCCAGCGCAGCAAAGGTCTAGAAATATTGCCAAAAATAAAGTGCGGCCTTTTAGATCTTATTATGATCTGCAAATTGCTTTATAACATTAAAACTTACAATGCAAGCTAGCGAGCGAGTAAAATGCAGGATGTTAGCCCCTTTGTATAACAGATGACGGTCAGTACTGGCCTTCAGGAAGCTCTTTAGCATAGAGCGCAAAGGTTTATGTATCTGTAATGTACAATTATTACTAAGTCAGACAAATGATCAACATCAGACATAAATAAACCTGGATCTGTCTGCACAGTAAGCACAGACAACTAGTAGCAATTAAGTCAACGAAGTACGTAGTCTTTAAGTTGCACTTACTGCCGGTTTAAGAATTTCCATAGACTCGATCAGTGCGAGACAATCATGAAGAACCACAGTAACGTGCTTGCTCTGCCAAAAAGCGTTATCAAAATAAAGCGTGATCAATGTTATAGAATACTCTGTTCATATACCGTCTACCTAAATGTCGACAGCTATAACTGGTCGATTTTCTACTAACCAGTCTGGCTGTAGTGAGTGGAAGTATTGCACTCAACTGATGTATACAAATACATAATGATTATTACCTGAAATCTTATGCTTACAAAAACGTTTCGAACCTCTTCATATGCAGGAACAAAAGGCCACATATAAACTGTGATATACGCCGTATAAACCACAGCTCCAACGGAATTCAACACAACCGTGGAAAGCAGCTTGTCAGAGCGATTGACGCTTGCCGCGATATAACCGCACACTGTAACCAGATCCAACCCATAAATAAAAAAAATGGCGACACCAAATTTCCGGCACACTTTATCACAAAGACGGCAAAGGTCAAGGTAGCGCAACTTGATGGTTGTGATCCTGGTTGTGGCCACAGCAAACGCCATGCTGATATCCTGCTGGGTGATCGCGAAAACTTTCGTGGTAGCTGTCAACGAGCGTAGGTTATCCACCTCCAGGATAACAGACTCCTTTAAGATGGCACAGCAATCTCCCGACATTTTGGCAATCATTGCAACGGATATGAACAACAACTGACCCATGCAAAACAAAAGCGAGACACAGAAACACCACCACGCTGTGAACAGCCACCAGCGCATATGGATCGATAATGGTCGCAGCGCTCCGTCGTCCATCCAGGAAATGCCCGTTAGCTGCATGTGGTGTACGCAACGGGATGCTTCCCATCCGATTTGCAGTATTATTGCAAAGAAAATCATAACGTGATTGGTGTCCTTAAAAGTTTGCCGCCTTGTATACAGTTTATCGTATTCGTTTTGGAAGCACTGACTCAACAGATAGTTTGCTTCGTTTAGCAGGTTTTTCCACGACGCTTTTCTTGCATAGAGAACGGTGGCAACAATAGCGGCGCGGAACGACACGGCTGTCCAGGGCAAGCAGGCAATAATCGCTGTAAAAGACCGATGATGAGGTAGGTCCACAATGCGTTGGGCGGCGATGGACAGATTTAAAAATGCGAAGACCCAACTGGCTAACAGCCAAAAGAATGTACAGAGGTGCGACAGATCGTCCAAGTTTGCCATACAGCGGCTGCGATCTGTGTCTAATATACTGTGGCTTCGGTAGTAGAACCCGAAGATTTTGAACAAGATGATTTGCACTCGTAAATTTCCGCTGAACAAACCCGCTGCAACTGCCATGGCTGGATCGCAAAGATCTCTAAATCATGGACTGTTTTCGGGGTCCTTCGCCAGCAAATGTTCCCTGATGCGACAAAGCACATAGAATGGAATATTTAGAAGCTCTTGCTCGGTTACATTTTTGTCGCATGAAAACTAAGACCGAAAAAGAAGTAAAAGGTCATCACACGAAACTTCAAATTTTGTGGAACTGGTACGATTATCCGCCACGATTGCTATTAAATTAAATTGCTTCGGTTAAGCTGTAAAAACCGGAAAATACCACTACAAGTACTACAAGATACCAGCACTGCAAACTGCAGTGCAATGTTGACTTGTGAAATGGCTGGTTTGGTATTGCATTACAGACCTTTTTATGGATTCACTGCTTCGGCATGTTCGGTATGTTGACTTAGCGGCTTGATCCCGGACTTGCATTGTGGATCTTCCTTTCAGTAAACTCGACTAGATCGCGAATAATACAACATAATACAATGTTTGTCGCGCCAGTGCTCTTCCGCCTGCATAACTGAATCTTTTAAAAGAAAAAATAATATGCACTTTTTTGTAGAAGAGCAACAGAATCAAGGGTTTTACACTAAAACACGCATAAGCATTGTTTAGGCGTCTGCGCTTGGAAATGTGTACCTTTCTGTCGTTAGCCGATACATTATTTAAAAGTATTACCTAACTAGTAAAGGTAGCAAAACCAAATAATTAGTACCAAATAATTAATACCTTATTGCACAGGCATTAATACTCTGTGTATTTTACCATGCATAAAAAGATTTAAGTATTGGAAACAAAAACAAATATTTGATTTTTGTTTCAAATAACAAGTAATGTTGTTGTTTGTTGTTTCATAATTTTTGCTGTTATGTTACAGTAAACCGATCTTACTGGAGTTCCTCGAAAGAATTTCAAAATAATTATTTTTCGGAATAATTCGGCTGCTCGAACAATCTCTTTAGATTAACTAGCTTATCGCATAGGCAGCTCATGGAAAACTGATTTTGTAATTCTTTACAGTAATCTGATGTCATAACGCCTTTTCCTGCATACGTACAATGGGCATCGCGGTTCGCAGCTTGTTCCATGATTTAACATCTTCCGGGCGATCGTATGTCGTCATATGAGCAGATGAGTTGACGTCGCAAAAAAGCCGGATGCAACCATACTCTTCTCCGTAATGGGATAGTTTGTACCTGCTACGCCATGCACTGACGTTGTCAACGCAAAACCGATATCTGTACTTCCGACGACGCAGTCCCATTTCGCAAAAAATAATTAACTGATGGTGACTTAGCAGATTATGGGCTGCTCGTATTAATATGTTTTATACTGCACATCGTGTGCACATTGGAACCTGTGCATGTGACTACTAAAACTGGACACAGTGGACAGTGTGCACTTAAGTAATCTTTTACTGGAAACTGATATTTTTATTACATGAAACTCTCGCACCTCCAGCGAATGCTGTGCAGTTCATCGCTGTTCACCAGCGCTGCAAACTCCAGTATTACTTTACTAATCACGTTAACCCATGCTAACAGATTTCTGATACAGGTCCCAGCTATTCTTACGCAGTAAATCAGAACAGCTTGCAAATTACGTACTACATAATTTTATTTGCCCAATCATAATATCAGCACCAAATGCTAAAGTTTCGCTAGATCAAACGTGAATGCGAACAAGGTACATGCAACTGCAAGGCAAAAAATACAGGATGGGGTACTAAAGTGGTTGGTGCATATAATTACGATCATAGGCTGGAAAAGTGCAAATTTAGGAACATTTGCAGCTGGACGAGATCAGTGCACGGAATGGGATGAATACTACTGTAAACCATAATGGCGTTTTGGAGTATCCAAGGCTCATTACTTCTACTAATTACTTCCTGCTGAAACCAGCACCCCGAGATCGCCAAATACCCCCCACAGCCTCGCGCCAGTCTTTTGACGCCAACAAGCACAGCAACGGACTGATAGTGCAATCCATGTCGAAAAAGAAACCAGTAACATTCAGTAAAGTGAAATTAAAGTACTTTCCCGACATGGCTAAGATATACGCCACATGCGCCGGTGTCCACAGCAGTGTCGCGCTAATCAACAGCGTGGTCAGTACGGCAAAATGCCGGGTTCCGCTCGCTCTGGTGGCTCTGCTCTGCGGAGCCGGGTGCGGACTATACGTCTCGTTGCGGCGATCTTTAGTGCGCATCGGCATTTTTACACTGCGCAATGTGCCGGTCGAACCGGAATCCGTCTGGCTACGCGACACCAGCGTGGATACCGTGGCTTTGGAGGCCGCCTGGCTACCGCCCCCGGTAGATTGCCCAATCTGCGCTTTGTTTTTCATCACTTTATGCACCTTGTAATAAATAAACGGATAAATCCCGATTACCAGCAGTTGCGGGACGAGATGGATGACCACGCCATACAGAAGAAAATACACCGACTTCTTCGCACCGAATCCTAATAAACACAGCCGGATCTGCTCAGGATTGCGATTATAGATGCTTTCGGTTATAAATCCCAACAGCGACCAGGCATTGACAAACACGATCACGGAAATTACTAGAGCAGCGGCGACTTTTTTGTTATGATGGGTACGATAATTATTCGGGAAGGTAACGGCCCAGAACCGGTTAACACTGATCAGCACTTGGATGTACGTGACGACGGGGGAGATGGTCTGGGCGCAGTATAAGGTCAGCAGGCAGTAGAAATCGCCCAGAAACCATGATATATTTAAGTTGGTCGTGATTTTGGCGATACCGTTCGTGAGGGCCTTAATAAGGTCACAGACGGACATACTGACCACGTACACGGAGAACGGTGTTCGCAGGCTCGCGGTTGTGCAGTAGACCGATATGAAGAATGGGTGGAAGGTGTAGCTGAAGAGCGTCAGGATGCCGAACAAGTAGCCTATATATGCTGTGCTAGTATGCGGAGTTCCGGTCATCGAGGAGATGTTAGTCGCATTCCGCATTAATGTTTCCAGTTTTGTAATGTTTGAAACGTTCATTGTGACGGCAAGATGCTGCTGTTTAGTTGCGTGCAAGCTAGGCACGATTAACTGCAGGAAACGTAGAAAACGTTGCTGGAAGTAACGGAAGTAAAATGAAGCAGGGATTCGTGTAACAGCGACGGCGCGTGAGTAGTCTCAGCCCTCTTCAGCACGGGCTTGTCATCCTTGAGCACCGTGAGAGGCGCAGTTAATTGCAAGAAAAGTGGACAAATAACCGTAAAATCACTGAAGAAAGTCAGAACAGAAATTCACGTAATATTCACAGAGACGGCGCGTAATATTTATCCAGCTTCTCCAGTTATAAGCTTGTCAGTATGGAGAGGTAACAAATTCCTACCCGATAGTTAGTATACAGTAGATAATTATCTCAGTATACCTTCCATTTCCGCCGAGTACATTCTGTTCTCATGTAAAAAAGGGAGATTCCGTAACAAATATCCTGTTTTCGCAGATCCCGTGTTACCGTTTTCCAGACATCATGATCGTAAATTAATATTTGTCAAGGTCACATTCCCTCGCGATATAACATCTGCGTCGATATTTATAAAATAAAACTACTTCAGAAAGTCAAAATTAGGGGCTGCAGCCCGCACGATTGCGACTTAAAGACCGGAAAGTCTGCAGACAGGAAAGTCTGCAGTTTTACAGGAAAGTCTGCAGAATGTGATGCAGCATCTATGTAATTTGCTAGATTGCGTCGGACATCAGGTTCACGCTAAAGATTGATTTATAACCGTGATTAAAATCACAGCTTAACTTTGCTCATGCTAATCTGAGGTGTGGTGGTAAGCATTCATTAGACTGCAACATTTGGCGTAGTTTTTGTGATTATTCCCGGCTGCAGTGCTGCTTAGCCCTTTTAATCGGTATCACAACCGGGATGTTTTCGTGGGCACACTATACGAAACGAAGCAAATTTAATGATCAGTAAACTACTTCCATTAAAATCGGCTAACTAATTCAACATGACCAAAGTATTCTACTATGTTTATTAGCCAGGGCAAAACATTGTCTACTCTTCGATAGCGAGACGGGACACCGGACACCGAAAGCGCATGATTGTGAAACGAAACTAAGCAATATCCACAACTGTGATATCCACAACTGTCATCGGTGGAGTATAGCAAAAACAACGTATCTATAGTACTGTAGCATTGTGGAATTTGTGGTATGTGGATCAATGCAACCGAGGCGCTTCGCTTGATATACCTGGCACATACATACATACATACAAAACTTTTTCGTTTGTTTCAGTTAAAATAAAACTGCGTTGCATTACTGTTGCTGTTAATTAAAATTATTGTTAATTTAAATTAAATTAAAATTATTATTTAAATTAAAATTACTGTTAATTATGCCATATCTGAAACACTGTAAAATCGAATCTTCAAAAATAGGATAATTCATATTTGATACTTTCAGTTAACTTTACGCTTTGCTTTACATTCAATTTTGCATACCAGGCACGAACATTCGTTCTTGAAATAAATGCAGAGTGCGCACGTTGGAGACACCAGGTTCCAAAAAACACCGGTTGCCACCTTGTTTACGCAGAATTGACCAGTAGGGAAAAACCGGGAATGTGCACAAACACGTGTTTATGGTGCTTCAGATAAGGGTATTACCCAGAAACAAGGCGCAGGCATTTTAAAATTTGCTCACTGTCTTAAACTGCTTTGCAACGTCGGCATGCTAGACGTCGCGATGCGCCGAAATCAGTAGCTGTCTACGTTTTGAAGTGGTCTTGACAGTTAATTCTATTGCTAAGACAAACGCGCAATATTTCGTATATAAGCGGCGGTTATTATGACGAGGCCTCATTGCATTCCTTGGTTTGTCTATCCAAAGCCGCGCCGACTACCCAAACATTCAAAGTCTCTCGCAATTCGCATACGCTCGCAACAATGAATGCTGCACTGATTTTCCTCGTCCTGGCAGGTAAAAATTGCTCACTTCATGGTGTCGAATATATGTTTTTCTCCTATATAATTATTGTATTTTAGAGTGGTCGCAGTGTTGCACGCCCGTCCCCAAGGAGGTCAACCAAGTTCACAACAAATTAGACAGCAAGGTGGCAAACCACAAGGAGCGGGACAACAACCAAGCGGCCAGCAGAATAGCCGGCAAGGTGATAAGCCAGGCAATCAGCAGAGTAGTCAAGGTGGTCAACAACAAGGCGGACAGCAACAAGATCCGCAAGGTGGACAATCCCAAGAAACCCAGCAATACGGTCAACAAGGAGGCTCTCAAGGTAATCAAGGGGCATCGCAGTCTGGTCAAAGCGGCCAACAAGGAGGCGGGCAGCCATCCCAACAGCCTGGCCAAAAAGCTGGTAAACCACCCGTCTACCTTTTGGTCAGATTTTAGTACTGAAATGACAAAGATTTATGATTTTGCACAATGCTGAGATTAAAGATGATTTTGGTTTTTGTGTTTACGAGTACTTTACTTTTGCTGTCTCGCGCATGAAGAATCTATTGCCGCTTAATCCCGTTTCCTTTGTATTCCAAGTACGTTTTCCTGCCGTTTAGGAAACCTATATTGTTAAGTCGTACAGAAATTCTCATCCAAAAGAATTAAGATTACAGAATCAATTTAAAGCTGTTTCAAAAGCTATATAGTGAATAATTATGTTAGTATTGGAAAACCGTTATCATTGTAAAACCAGGAGTACAGAATGCCATTAATAAATAGCACATACTATAATATCGTACTCCTTTCGTACCTAACGACAAAATTTTGCAGCATCGGGGAAGCTATGTAAACTGCTTATGGTACAGTCGTACAGATGAGCTTACAGATAATGAGAAAACAATAAATGAAAATGAAAAAACAACAAAATTTTTAAATTTCGTAATTAACAACTCTTCTAATTCGCTCTGACATTCAACAGCGCATAAAGTACCCTACTAGCGGCATTTCCACACTGAATTTCAGTACCACTATCACCATTTTCCAAAACACTGTATAAAATACACGTCTCGCGTTTCTTTTTTTGTCTGCTGTGAAATATGCTGCGGCTTCCCGAGATCAGTCAAGACTCGCATATCTGAATCCATTAAAATTTTAAACTATTTGGAATTTTCTGCAGCAACAATTAGCTAACCGGATGTTGCGCGTAAACATTTTATCACGCCAGTGTATACAAATCTTCTGGTTACAGAACGCAGCAAAACTATAGCCAATTGCAAGCAGTGTATTTGTGATGAATGCTCGAAGGTGAACGTTTTCGTGCATATGGTCACAAATTTAATGCCATGTACCGGGTCCTTAAAGAAGTTCGGATACGATAGCTTCCGATTCCGACGATTGTCCCCATTCGATAGCGACGATTGTCCCCATTATACATGTTTGTATTAGAGGTCAAGAAGAACAACGCATGCACCAAATTTTGTCGGGTACTGTGTTCAACAACTAAGTTCGCCGCCAATGAAAATGTATATGTGCATGTCGATTACGAGTACACGATGCATTACATTTACATTTGTATTTACATTTGTATTTACATTTGTATTTGTTAAGTGCAATTTCATCTACGGAATCTGCATGGAATCTGGGTCAGTATTATAAAATACAGAAGGTGAAACAATGTTTTAGACAACCAACCAACAACGTTCCTTACACTCACAAGGTGTGTACGCTAGAAATGGTCTTCGGTGCTCCACGGGACATGGCGGAATTACTTTACTGGGATAGTATAAGATTCAAAGTTTAATTTGATGGTGGCAACAGAACCTTTATTTGACGAAAAAGAAGAATGTTGTTTTGACAATAATGTGGTGTACGTTTTGTACGAAGTACTGCAGTAATAAACCTTGGCACTATGTAATATTAATGCAATTAATTTTCATTCTATTCCACATTTTTTAATTTTTTAACCTTATTACGACTACACCGCCGCTGTCTACGCCAAGACAGCCTAAGCGAAGCAACGCATGGATCTGTACACATATGTATGTACGATACAAGTACTACTGTATAATAACTAGTACTTACTCTAGACGTGTAAAGTAACGTCGGGGAAAAGGTGACAATTTGACACGCGTAAAGTTGTAAGCAGGAGGATCGTTCAAAGCACGGGATGCTTGAAGAGTCATGTCAGTTTCCCGGCGCTAATTTCACCCGTCATACAAACTTTATTTACGGAAGCATAAAACAGCGATGTTGAAATTAAATGCCGGCCTTTGCCACACTTTTTAGACAGTTCCGGGATTTATGAGAGTCGATATAAGAAAAAATCGGGATCTAACCAAACATCCGTGTCCCGATTCAGGAGCAATCAACAAAATATGGATTCAACACGCGAAAGTCGCACTCAGTCAACTGACCCGCCCTACTGTACAACAAATTAACTTCATTTGTTCGGCACCTTCTTAACGAATCACCAGCACATGCAAACTACACAAGGTTGGCGCAGTATACAGACTCTGTACATGCAGCAACATCGCTTTAAGCAATTGACCGTAGATCAATCCAAACTGGTACGCAGAAGTTCCAACCCCGTACTTTTCAATTTTTTTGTAAGATATTTAATCCTGTTAGTGGAAATTAATCGATCAAACATATGGATATCTATGTAATAAGTATAAGCATCAAAATTTACATTTTTTCGTAAATGTTTATACTGCGCATACGCATATGTAAGTTAATGCAATATCATTTACTGTACTTCTATACAAGCACTTTGCAGAGCCTGAAAGAAATCGGCATCACCGAGGCTTTGGTCTTACTGAATAGCACCGGCGAAAGAACCCTGAAAATTAAGTACATACATAAGATCGGATCCGACATGGAATCTGGTGCACTTTCTTGATTCTCCAGCGGTACCACTACCCACACAAAAATTCAAGTGTTTTAAATGCTGACTCTGCAGTAGCGTTGCTTATTTATTATCCAAAGAACTGGGTATTAAATGGTGTCGTGTTTACTGGAATTACAATAGTAGTGTCATTGCTATAATTTAATACTGTACCTTTTAATTTCAGCACAGTACATATTCCTTGAACCAGTAACCCTCCTAAATTCTTCTCCGTTGCAACAGTATTATCACAGCATCTTTACTATAGCATTATAAGCCTACGACTGCTGTAGCTTCGGATCAAAAAAGTAGTTAACTTGAATAACGTACTGCAATATTCTACAGTCTGATTACGAGACGGTCCCATAATCGTGCACAAAAAACTCTTACAAGCCATACAGAATAACAATCCGATGCACTTCTACAATATTAATACCTGCACAAAATTCAAATATGAATTCACTAATGAGTATGTTATCAATGGTGCCAGGAAATAACCGGCAAATGTCAGAATAAATCCTGCCTTGTAACTCGAATTCGGAAATGGAAAACAAAACATTATCGTACTGAACAACCGCTACTCGAGTAGACGTTGATTGCAGGCCTTTAAAATAAGGAATCAGCTCTTCTTCAACACAGGAAGACTGTCTCCTTATATTTAGCGACTCACCAGTACTTGAAAAACCGCGTTCGCTTTGCATCTTCTCCGGAGATAAAAAGCGGAAATCGAATGGTTTACAACTTTGTATCATTGGCTACAATCTGATGCATGGGACTGGGAGTAACGCAGTTGGCGCCATCTCTGATGTTGACGGTGCGGTGCGAGGATTTGCTGTAAGCCGATCGGCCTACAGCAAAACATTTTATCTTTGAGTGCGCTAGTCTGGGTATAAAAGCGCAAGTTTTTGAGCGTAGCAAAAGGTATGACTACTTGAATATGAGTATATAACAATGTAAGCGGAAGTATGATTATGGTGATATGACGATTAGTATGGGTATAATTATTAATTTTATCGGTATGAGGGCAATTATGAGTATGAGACTCCTACAATACCTAGAGCTAGCAGCCTACGAATTTGGTACCATGTACCGGGTCACCTCCATTAAATGGTGCATCGTTTGATAGTTTGACGATAGCTCTATCCTACGATTAGCCCACAGTGATTGCATGGGTGTATATACTAGTACTAAAGGTCAGAAGAACAACGCATGTAGCAAATTTTTTCGAGTTGTGTGTTTAGTAACTACTAAGGTCGCCGCTAATGAATCGAATATGCAGATGTGTGTCAAATACGAGCACACGTCGCATAAACTTTTGTTAAATACAATTTCATCTATGGATTACGGAATCTGCATGGAATCTGAGTCAGTATTATAAAAAAGGTAAAACAATGCTTTTAACCTTTCACAAAGGTGTGTATGTGTGTGCTAGAAGTGGTCTATGGTGCTCCATGGGGCATTGCGGATTAACTTTAGTGGGAACGTATAAAATTCAAAGTTTGCAAAAATTAATATGATCGCAAGTCCACCTTTGCATCTGACAAAAAACATTTTATTTTGGCAAAATTAATGTGGTGTTCGTTTTCTGTAATCGCGGTAATAATTCTGAATACTATGTAATTGTAATGTGATTGATTTTCATCTTATTCCACGTTGTTCACAGCCGGCGCTGCAGTCCCACCAGTTGGCAAACACCGGCCTGATTTAACCGAAAAGTTTTACGAGGATAATGCAGAAATTTTAAGACTTCGCATCTATACGGGATAAACTCGGCAAGGACAAATTAGCGGTATGCGATAAAGTATAAACAAGCACAACAGCAGCCAGCCAACAAACAGCCTGTCCGAGCAACGAATCTGTACAAAAAGTGTAAAATATATACACAGTACAAGTACTTACTCCAGACGTGTAAAGCGACTTTAGAGAAGAGGCTATAATTTGACACGCGTAAAGCTGTAAGCAGGAGCACAGTTCAAAGCACGGGATACTTGAAGAGTTCATGTCAATTTCCTGACGGTAATTTTATCCGTTACATGAACTTCGTTTGCGGAAGCATGTAACACGATGTTAAAATTTCAAACGCCGGCTTTTTGCGGCACTTTTTAGACGATTCCGGGATATGAGAATCGATATAAGAAAAAAACCGGGATTAGACCAAACATCCGTGATCCCGATTCAGAAGAGAAGCAATCAACAAAATATGGATTCAACACGCGGAAGTCGCACACACTCAAATGCACTGCCCTACTGTATAGCAAATCAAATTATTTATACGGCACCTTCTCTTAATGAATCACGTGCAACCGCAAAGTACAGAAGGTTGGCGCAGTGTACATGCAGCAGCCTCGCTAGGCTTTAAGCAATTGACCGTAGATCAATCCAAATCGGTGCGCAGAAGTTCCGACTTCATACTTTTCCTTTTTCTAGAATATTTAATCCTGTTAGTGGAAATTAAATCGATCAAACATATATCTATATAACAGCTATAAGCGTCGAAAATTTAAATATTTTCGTGAATGTTTATGCTGCACATGGGGTAAATGTAATAGCACTTAAGCATTAATTAAATTGGCAGTACTTCGAAGTTCGAACTACCGTAAATGGGCTTGATTATTATATACTTGTATTTAAAGCAAAATAATCATGGAAGGCCACCAACAATGAGTGAAAGTGTATGTGATTAATAAATAAAATAAAATTTAAAAGATTCCTTTTAAGACCATTTTCGGAAATTTCCGTATACAAGAGCCATTTTTATAATATAGATATAATTTATAGTACGCACAACGTAAGAAATGATTTCTATACGCGCAGTTTTTGTATCCTAAATCCTAATATGGGATTCACTGTTAATATGATTGTATTAACAAGGAATGCGGATCACAGTACGTGCAAAATGATGATAGCGCATAATTGACGCTTTACATTAATACACAGAATATGTTTGTGTTGTATATAATTATATAGATGTATGTAATTTATATAGATCTATCATCTATCAGCTATCTGTATCTACGGTGTGTACTGTACGTGTAGATCTAGCTGTACGCGTCCCTAATAATTACGCAAAACAATATTTGGCAGTTGTGTCAAGTATTACAATCACTGTCGGCGGCAGTGATTGTAATACATGACAAAATGCATTGTTATATACATTGAGAGCGATAATTTATATTTTGTAAGAGGAGTCCTAATTTTATTAATTTTGTAAAGCTCAATAACCTTCTACAACTTTAAAGAACCAAAAGACCACTAGAATGTACTACATATAAAAATGCGATATAACTATGTACTGTATATTTTACAAAAATAATACAGTATGTCCTTCCATAGACAGCAGAAAAGAAGCAGAATCGGCATTATCACAAGCTTAAGATACAACTTCATAATAATTTTTATCTCTATAATAACATGAACGTACGGCTCGCGCTGAGCTACGCAACTATCACGGCACTCCCCGATCGATGCATTATCAACAAATTAAAGGCCCGACACCGGCACATTCTGTTTGCAGGTCGTCAGCATCCCGATCGCCACCCGATGTAACCTTTTATGTATCCGCTAATGGGCGCCAAGGTGAGCCAGTCATTGCAGCGCTCGCTCACTTCGCGGCTGTTGCAGTTTAAAGCAAATTACAAGTTCCATACACGCAGAGTAAGTAGCATAAAAATTCGTCCCGGACGGAATTTCACTGGAAACTGCTACTGTAAATTCGGGTGACCAGCATCCAAAATCAGTAAGCCATTACTGCAAATTAACATTTCCTCCTTTCGCATCCGCACAGTTTGGTCCACTGTGCATTGAACACACTCCGAAACCCGACCGCGAATTGCTGGCTACAGCACACTAACAGCATCGGCGCCACCAACCCATACGCATACGCCATAAAGTAAATAATCCGCTGCATGGTATTATAAGGTGAATGGAAGTACTCCTCAAATCCGGTCTGCTTCTTCTCAATCAGCTCCTGCATCCACGCACTATTCCGCACAGCATCGTTCAGATCCAGTAGACCGAACATGTTACACACCTTCTTGATGATCACCGGTCCATAGCACAAGAGGAAACCCAGCAACAAGATAAAATGCAAACCCAAGCGTTCTCCAGCATCGCGCGCATACCGAAAGCGTTTATACCACGTTCGGCGTAACTGGACCCAGCAGAAGATCGTCATGATAACCGGGAGCAAAAACTGTAGCAGCACTTGGTAGATAATCTCGAACGTGGTGTAACAATCCACCACACAGGCACAATGTCCTTGGTGGAAGATCGCACAAGCTTGGGTGGCGTTCTGTTGAGTACCTTCATGACTGTGCCAGAATATTTCGCTCGTTAGGCGACGGAAATTATTGGAGATTAACGGCACAATCCAGCAGTATAAGAAAAGCGTTAATAAAATGGTTTTTCGGTGGAGCTTGTAGACTTCGGGCCGACAGACGTGGAGATAGCGTTCCACACTCTGCGCTGCCATATGCGCGATCACTGAGGAGAGAAGGTAGTCGATGACAGCGACGAATAAGATGCATTTTGTATGTCCCCAGGACCAGCACTCGGAATACAGCGCCCATACCGCGATGGCCGGGATAACCAGCGCCCCGATAAGGAAGTTGGCCATGCTCAGTGAGAGAATCAAGAAATTGCGGCTGTGCGCTAAGGTCGGGTAGAAGATGATGGCTAAGATGATGGCGACATTGGTGACTGTTGTTGCAGCCGCGATGAGCAGTGCACCTGCGGAGAGAACAGCCTCGGTGGTGGTGTAGTTGAGAGCGCAGGTCGGGCAGAGGGGAAGGATTTCCAGGACGGTCATCTTCGTTCGTGGAAAGATCGTGGAAGCTGTGTTGGTGTGACATGAAGATTCAGGTTTAAAAGCAGAATGCTTCACTTACTGGTTTATGGAAAGCAATGAAATACCTAAGTAAACAAGAGGTACAGAAGTATGAATGAGAAAGTGCTGATGCTGTAAAGCACATGCGATGGAAATATGAGTCAGTGCGTGAATTTGTGTGGAAAAGCTGTTTGCGATTACGCCGCCGAATCGATAGCGGACGTCAATCAAACCGCCGTACGGTTTACATTGTGCAATACTGTATTGTACTTGTACACTGTACAGTGTCACTGCTATACAAGTACAATACTCCTGCTTTACATTTTTAGAATTTAATATAATAATATTATGTGATCATTTTTATAGACGGTTTAGTGTTCGTACACGTTCATATTGCAAGATTGCAAGCTGTCAAAACTTTACAATACTGTGCTACGTCAATTAACCGGGAATAAAGTACAGTACGTACAACTTGCAAGCATGCACATAATAATTATTATGGTCCTTAAAATACTTACTTGTTCGAGTATCGATCTGTTTATGTGCTCGATCGTACTATCGAATAAGTAATGAAATTAATATTGCTTGAACGAATTATTAAGGAGGTGTCAGGTTTGTACGTATGGTTTTTATAAAAAGTTTTGAATTCACGAACACTTAACCTGTGAAGCATGCGCGCTACATAATCCACCCGGAACTAAAGTTATTCTGGAACACTCGTACATGTCTATAACGCGCCCAGTGACGTCAATTAAGAAAAACTGGTAGCTCTTCCTATTCATTTACTTTCTGACTCAATAGCCGCTTCCGGTTTTATCATCAAAAGAATGTACGATGTATAGACTATTCGGCATCAAAGCGCGCGGGCTGCATGTAGTACAATAAACAGACGTTTAATACGATTGATCAAAGCCAGATATTCGATACCTCATTTGTTACGATTAGCAACTTGTATAATACAAGCTATAGAGTGCTTATGATTAGCTGTAGAAGTATGCTATTAATTTTATCGTAAGCTTATGCATCTCCCTCTACTTACTTATGTTTTTATTGAAATACATCGCGTATTACACAAGTAACAAGAAAAACAATCCTTGACATCATTGCCGTTCAGCAGATTTAAAGTTTACTTGTACTACTTACTTAATTGTACCAACTAATTAAGGCAGCGGGCGGATTAGACGAGTTTCGTCACGAGAAGTAAAGATATCTACGAGTATATTACTTACTTCAAGCTACTTGTGCAGTGACACATTGTATAACAGTACAGAATAAATAAATAGAGGAATTATTTTTTGATACCGTATAAATGTACGTACATATTGTGCATAAGTACTCATGATAGGTATGCGAGTACCAAGCTTCGAGTTCCATAAATTATACAGCCAAAAGATGGTCCACAAATATGCGAAAATCTGTTTCAAGAAAATCTTATCAGAGTACGAAGAAAACATTAGTAAAGCGGAGTAAATTTAAAATGCAGTAGCATAGTAATTATGATTGTTGAGGTTTACTTTATACGCGGGTAAGTTGTAACATACGGTATAGCTTGCGCAATTCCCGGCGGAAAATCTAGAAGCTCCCTTCCAATGGAAGTGGACTAAGTGGAGTACAGTGCTATAGATACCGGAAGTAGTAATACAGCCACAATTTTACGGGCCGTATGAGTCCTGTAAAGTTGTAAATCATCTAATGTGCATAATAAAAGATAATGAGAAGCACACAGTTGTTGTCATAAACAAACTGGAGTCATTATTGATAAGGAACAAAAATTCTGATTTATCAGTCGCGATCTGTGTAGTGTGTACTGATCGTCACTGCCATTTGCCATGGAATTGGAATCGGAAGCAAGCAGGTTGGATTCGTGCTTCGCCGTTGTTGGCTTGTTCAGCCTTGTTGCATTCGCTGTCATTTTCAAACCTGGAGCGCAAAACCAGAAAACGATTTTTTTAAAAATTAAATTATTTAAACAATTTAATTTGTTAACACAGTTAACAGAGGTTCTTCGGGATTTTTATTTTGCGTTCAGTTATCTAAGGACTCAAACGGCAGAGTTCTATGAAGCATTCGTTGAATGCCTGAATGGTGCCTTGCTATTTTGCGTGTCAGAACTCGTTTATCTCGTAGCCCCGATCTGTGAATAGTGAATATCAATAATTTATAATCCTTCATTGCTCCCAGCCCGACCTGTGATCATTGATCATTGCAGCGACTTAACGCTCACCATCTGGATGAGATCCCTAATTTATCGCCCATACATTTGTTTTGTAGTTTGTATTGCTGCTGCGGTGCGGGTCGCGGTTGGGAGCGCGATGTGAGATGTTTCATGAGAATCAGAGAATGATCGTTGACATACCAAAGCTGAGTTGAGATTGTCGAGCTTCGTGAAGTGCCTGCTTCGTGATCACTCTCATCTCCGGGATCACGATGTCGCGGAGGATGCAGCCTCCGCGAGCAGCGGCCCCCCAGACCCCTAACCCTCTTCCTGAGAATTCTAACGCTTCCGTTCCTGCGTCTTCCAACGCCGTACCAAATACTCCGGGCTTCGCGTTGGGGACCAATCTGGATGTCAGTTCCACTGTGATCTCCACCGTGGCCAAGAATGGCAGGTGACGAACGCGTTTCTTAACGAAAAACGCAGCTTAAAAATTGCAGCAGTCTTCGGTCGTTTACATTTTGAACGAATTAATTTAGTTTACGTGCAACAGTGGTAAAGCGTGTATGTTGAGGTGTGCATTCAGAGTAGAAGCTAAGAAGTTACTAGTTTCCCCAAGCTTTCGATGCAGCGCTTCTCAGCTGCATGTGAGCGCAAGAACTTCACTCTACAAGCAAAAAGAATCCCTTTATATATCTTTTTGAGAGTTTCTGTGAAAATGTGGGGTAAAACGCTGATCAGTGATGCAGTAGAGTTTTTCCTGCAGACGTCGTCAAGCGCGACTGGAAGATCTCGACACGGACGAGCTGGAGCATTACTCAGAAGATGTCGTGGAAATGTCCAATAAACGGGTGAGTTTCGCATGTTCATGTGCATTCTGCAACTCCAGCACATGCTCCTATGGTATAAAATTGATTCATGAATTTCTGGCAAGGGTTTCAGATCGAACTTTGATAAAATTCCATCTCTTGATAAGAACGACCACAAAAACGTAGATAAACTCGGCTGGTGCGATGATATGCCTGTAGCGCTGTATGGTAATCACTGCGTCGTAACAGGGATCTGACCCATGTTGCTGTGTTTAATTGTTCTTTTTATTTTACTTTTACCAAATTAATCAGACGATTTTGTATGCAAATTCTCTTTGCAGAAAATCACCACCCGCAACGCCTTCGACATCAAGATGATCGCCTGCACCTACGAGCTCCTGCAGCGCTCCAACGTGCCCCCGACGCCCGAGACCAGCCGGGGCACGACGGACGAGATCAAGATGTTCGCCAACCGTCTGGAGACCTGCGGGAAGATCTTCGGGATGCGGGTGGACAACACGCGGCTCTACGCCACCGATCTGACCGACGATCTGGAGCGGCTGGCCAAGGGGAAGCGGCTGAAGGCCAAGGAGGCGGGGGAGGGCGACGCGGAGGTGGTGGAGGAGGAAGAGGAGGAGGCCGCCGAGGAGAATCCGCAGGAGAAGCGCGCGCCCACCGAGGAGGTACCGGAAGTGGTGGCGGTGGCGCCCCGCCGGGTCAAGAAGAACCGCAAGAGCCATGTTGTCGAGGATGAGGAGGAGTTGGCGTGTGCGGAGACGGAGATTAACGCGAATGTAAGTCAATGTTGACTGGAACCTCTTATTTACAGTGATGTAAACAAATAAAATGGCAACAAATAAAGTAAATAAAATTTAATTGCATGTAAATCAATAAACTGGCAATAATGATAGTACTGTATGTAATGGTTGGGCTTTAAAAATCTACAAAATTGAATCTATTCTTCAGATCTATAAACATCGAGAGAAATATCAGCACTGCGAGATTTCATCGTGAATGTGCTTAGTTTGTGTAGTATAGGCTGTTAACGGTTGCGCTCATTGAATCAGTTTATGCGGGCGTTATCTATTAATTGACAATCACTTGACGAAATGGTCCAGCATAATAAAACTTGGAAATTTGGTTATTATGAATTATGATGTATGAATATCAATGAGCAATGATGAATAAAAATAATTGTTTGTTACCTTATGATTTCTGGGAGATGAGTTTTGCTTATGAAGCACTAGTAGGCGATTTTGATTATGAGCTTTTTGTTATTAAAATGAATAGTTATTGCACTTTGCCAGGAATCTGTTTCCAAAGCAGCACTGAGGCATTAACCGGATTGTACGAAATATCTCGTTATTTATTTATTTTTTTACGAAATATCTCTTTTTTGTTTTTTTCTTATTTTTTTATTGATTGCAGTTCGTCTCGCGATTCTGGAGTCTGATCGGGAATGTCCAGCCGGGCGTGATGAAGGACAGCTGGGTACACCAGGGCGAGCGCATTGAGAACACGGAGCGGCTGACCTTTATCATGGATCCCGGCTTGACCTGCGTCCAGCGGTACAAACACATGCTGCCGCATACGGCGGCTGTTGAGGCGGAAGCACCGCGTTCGCAGCGAGCAGCACCCACGCTGAAAAAGGAAGTGGCGGATTCGGCGGAGCGAGCCGTTCTGCAATTATGTACGCAGGCATATTACCAATCACGATACTCAAATTTATTCGGCAGCAGAATAGGCATTTGAATACAATGTTTTACTGTAATTTTTACGCTTGGTTAAAGTTGTTCATGATATTTCAGCGCTCCAGCTCAAAATAAGTCAGCGGCTGACCGTTGATTCCTGTGTGAGTTTTCCTAGAGCGCACGAGAAATATATTGCGAAAGCGGAACAGTCGGCCGGCGAGAAAACGGTACGTGATCACGGTAGAATTATCGATTGACAAGGTAGACTTTTTTAACGGATTCGTTGACCTACTGAACCGATTTAAAACCCGCGGATGATGGGAATAATTATCAGTAAGTGTTGAATAAAAAATGCACATGATTTGAATGTATTATGAGAAAATTCTCCATGCATGCATTGTGCATGGGGATGATGGGATAACTTGCATTACGTGTACTGAACTTTATATGTACGAGTTCCTAGTTTGATTGAATCGTAGTTTAATTCAGTTAAATTAAATCTTAGTTCCTAGTTTAGTTTAATTAGTTCCTAGTTTAGTTTAGTTTAGTTTAGTTTAATCGTTTAGTTTAATTAAATCGTAGTTCCTAGTTTGATTAAATCGTTTGATTAACTCGTAGTTTGATTAAATCCTAGTTTTAAAAACATCACAGCCATAGTTAAGCTGAATACATCGTACTAATAAATAAATATACGTAGATAATAATAATTTGAATAACTTACATTTTAGCTAGGGTGAGGAATTAATTACTAATTAATACACTAAATAAATATAAACAATGGTCTTTTGAGTCATTTACATCACAGTAGGGAAAAGGAATTAACTGCTAATTATTATAATAAATTTAAACAAGGTTATTCTGATTCATTTACATCACTGCAAGGAAAAGGAATTAGTTACAAATTATTACAATAAATCAATCCGAACATGATTGTTGTGACTAATTTACACTGTAGCAAGGATAAACAATAATTCTTGCCTTTTACAGAAACGAAATCACCGAGTGTTGCCGGAGAATGTGGCGGACATTGACAATTTAGAGGCGCGTTTCCTCGAGCGCTGCAGTATCTCCGTGGACGGCACCGTCCACCAGATGACGGAAGAGGAACCCGCCATCGAGGAGGATGAGGAAGTACAGGCGCGCGAGATCGTGCCGTCCCGCTTCCGGACTCCTCAAGGTGCGTCCTTCCGGTTGACAGTTTTTATGTGCACATAAAAAGCGACAGTGTTTACTATTTCCATTGTGTTTTGCAGATCTGGACGTCTCCAATGTCACAGATGATCTCCACGGCGACATGATTGTGGACGACGATGATACCGGTATTTCCAAAAACTCCAGTATAACTCCCGCAGTTGAGGATGCAGGGGAAGAAATTCCTTCGATTCAAGACATGGATACGGTCAACAATGAGAATGTGGGATCGGAGCATTCCAGTGATCCATTTCGATTTGTGTAAGGAGGTTTTGATTTCTCTGTGCATTATAATGCTGCTGAATTTTAATTTTTTAATTAGTTTAATTTTTTATTTTTTAATCGTAAGGCTGCTGAATTTTAGAGCATTAATAAATATAAATTAATAAATATGTTTTAAGGTTTATATTTTATGTACGATTAAATAAATGTTAATAGTTAATATATCGCTTTATATAAAGTTAGCAATCAGTAAGCATAGGTTTTGTGTGCAGCACAGAATTCATTGAAGCTGTATAATTATTTTGGTGGAATCTGAATTTTTCTCTAAATTACAACTTGCTGGTGTTATGTTTTAGTGCGCCGGGCGCTTCGGGTCGTGGACTATCTGAAAATCGTTCCGTGCATGCGCCTTCGGAGCCCGGAAGTGCCTCCTCCAAGACGTCCAAAAAGAGTCGCTATGGATCGGTCGTGCAGGAACTTCCCGATGTGATTGTGGACGGTATGTTGAAGGATTTGTTGCCGCCGAGACCTTAATTTTCTTCCTTTTCCCCTGCAGAATTATTTTTGAAAAAGAAGTTTTTCGCTGGTAATTTGGTAGTTTGTAATTTGAATATTTCTGGTAATTGTGAACAAAAATAAGCTCTGCTACATTTTGTTTTGTATTACGCATTAAGGGATTTGGCCCGGTACATAGCACCAAATTCGTGTACATTCACGGGAACATTCGCTTTCGCGCACTTCCAAACACTTTTTTGGGTTGCTTTTTGACATTGTGTAGCCAAATGAGTTGAATACATAGGCGTGAAATCCGTTTTTGCGCGCAACATCGGGTTCGGGAGTTATGGCTGTTAGAAAATTCCAAAAAGTTAAAATGCATTCAGATGTACCAAAAGTCTCATTATGGACCGATCCCTTTAAAATTTTGCACGTAAATGCACATAACCATGAAGATCGTTCTTACACGGATCCAGACTTCCACGATTTTTTTTCGAATTTTAAAATGAATTTTAAAATTTTTGAAATTCATTTTAAAATTTGAAAAACATGCTAGAACAGTGGATCGGTGTAAGAACGATCTCCATGGTCATGCGCATTTACATGCGAAATTTGAAAGGGATCGGTCCATAATGAGACTTTTGGTACATCTGAATGCATTTTAACTTTTTGGAATTTTCTAACAGCCATAACTCCCGAACCCGATGTTGCGCGCAAAAACGGATTTCACGCCTATGTATTCAACTCATTTGGCTACACAATGTCAAAAAGCAACCCAAAAAAGTGTTTGGAAGTGCGCGAAAGCGAATGTTCCCGTGAATGTACACGAATTTGGTGCTATGTACCGGGCCAAATCCCTTAATTCAAAATACTCGAATTATTATCGCCGGCTTTTACTGGTAATTTGTGAACAGAATAAGCGCTGATGCTTTTTTTGTATAGCGCATTAATTTAGATCGAAATATTACCGCCGGCGTTTGCGCGTCCGGCGTCAGTACATTTTCACATTTGTAGAGCATTGCGTAGTGTTGTGGCAGTATCTGGGCGAACGTTGCAGGTGGCTGTTACCATTGCTGTTATAGCAGATTTAAGCATGAATATACAATACCTACTGCACGTTGTAAATATTGAATTAATATTTTTTTGGCTCTAAAGCCAATATTCATCGTACTGAGCGTGTTATTTCCAGATGATTCTGCATTTACGTAATTTAAATATATTGTTTTTGCCGCATTATTTCATGTACCGCATTTAGCTGTGCAGTTTTGTTCGATTAATATTGCTTGAGTGTTTTTATAATAACTTGACATTCTTTTTGGCATGGCTGTAGAGAAGCCGTCGCTGCTGAACAGCAGTCTGTTATCGATGAAAAGCGGTAGTCGCGCGGAGAAAGACGAAACCTTCCCCCCGAGTCTCACCTTCACCAACGAGGAATTTATGCGCGTCAGCAGCATCCTGGCGCGCTCTAAACGCGACACCATCCGCAACGGCTCCAAGGATAAACTCTGTGCGCAGATCCTGCGCAGCCCCGGCAGGGATGTCCCCCCGGTGATCATCCCCTCGCGCACCTTCCTGCAACTGCCCCCCGGCCTCGGGCGTTGCGATCCCGAGGCGGTGATGTCGGTGCTGGGCATCCAGACCAAGGCGCTGCAGAAGAATCTCAAGGTGCGTTATTTGTAGTGTTTTCTGTGGGATTGTTTGTGTTTTTCGTTCCGCGCTTCTTGTGTTTTGGCTGCCTGATTGTGAGTGTGTCGGTGTTGTAGGATTTAATGACATGGCTGCCGCCGGTTGATGATAACGGCGATAATACCGAGATTAATAATGATGAGCTGGTGCTGGCGTGCCGGCGCGGGTACGATGAGGATTTTGATGCGGATTTGGAGCGGTTGCAGCGCGGTTGGGGCGATAATGATGATAATTACTCCCTGTCGTCCGAGGATATTTCCGATCAAGAGGCAAGGAATCGTAGTGCTGTGGCAGCGTTTGCGACGATCAAAATTTTCAAAAATTTGTTGCTTATGTAAAATGTTGCACGCTTTTTGCTTGGCTGTTTATATTTAAATTTTTAACATCGTGTTCCCTTTTTGAATTAAATTAGATTTCGTGGGATTATTTTCAGTTTGCACTGGTGAATAAGTTGCAGTTTCTTGGCAGGATAAAAGAGAATTTCGTTTTATTTACCTGCATATTAATGTTGCAGACAAGTATTTTATATTTATTTTTTTTGACTGTATGATTTGATTCCGTGAAATTATCTTCAGAGTTGAATAAGTTTATGGTTTGCAAGTTGTGTGCAAGGTGAAAATAATTTCGCTTATTTATCTGCAGTTCATGTTTCATCCAAGCGAAGAAAAACAGCAATTTTAATCGGAAGTATAATTCTATTTGGAGCTTATTTTACTTTCAGTTGGGCTTTTACTGGAAAATGTAACTGCAAGATTTCTGACTTTAATTCATTTTTATTGGCTTTTTTTAAGATTGTAAATTGATGTTACTTTTTTTATTGCAATTGTGTCGTTATATTGGCTTTTTTCTGTGTAGGATTTCGCCGACGCGGACGACGGCACCCTGAACACCCCCAGCGACCAGATCAGCACCGTCGCGTCCCCGGACACCGATGAGCGCAGCGCCTCGCACCTGGACACCACCAACCCCGAGCTCAGTGCGGTGATGGACGATCTACCCGTGGACGAAGGGAACAGCGACACCACGAAGGATCCTGTGCAGCCGGACACGGAGGCGACGGCCTCCTTGGACGGGGTGCCGTCGCGGTCACCGTTCCACTCCCCGGAGCAGCGGGTGGCGGAGGACGCGCCTGCGGGCAGTGATTGGCGCGATGTGATTGATCTGCCGGTGGCGGCACGCACCGATAAGGATCTGGGGATACTGAGTGCGCAGGATGTCCGCCAGAGCGGCATCGATGTGGTGGCCAATTTCGAGCAGCTGACCGAGGAGGATTACGCGCCGGAGACCAATGTCGTGTTCGCCGAGGTACGCGTGATGTTTTAACATGTTATTTTAATTGATAAATAATAGTGGTTGAACACGATACTTTAATTGGTAAATAACGGAAATTTATCTCAGTTGAATTTAGATACAGTAATAATTTAATTGACATTGTTCCATGGTACTCCACTTAATAAAAATTTATCTCGGTACTAATTTATTATTTAGATATAAATGATTTACTTAAGGTCACTTCTATGCGTCAGGAAATTTCCTGGCGCATAGTCAATCTGCTATGCGCCAGGAAAATTCTTGGCGCATAGTCGTTTTGCTATGCGCCCGGAAATTCGCCGCCAAATAAAAATTTATTGTTCTAAGTTATTAATAACCTAATACTGTGACTTTGTGAAAGTACTTTCTGCATAGCTAGCATAAAAATACATGAGATTCATTACAAAAGGTACAAACTACCCTTTCGAATAAGTCAATTTTTACGTAAAATTATGAACTGGAAACCAGTAATACTTGTGATGGGCGATGGGCGTTACACCTAAGGAAGCATTTGCGTCTGCTCGAGAACAGCACGACAAATAGAAGCGAGCGTTTTTTTGCCGTGGTAAAAGCGGAAATGAGAGGATAAGGCCTGCTAACACCTAAGAAAATGCACCCGCGGGAATGCATTGATGTTGTTATGGCCGCGTTGGGAAGTAAAACAGCTCCGTACAGTTTTGCCGAATTCTCAAATTAAGCAAAAAAGAAGGGCATGTACGATTTCCCGGCAGCCGAACGGAATAAGTAGCAACGGTCTTACCGGCATGTTAGTACCTGGGTGTGTTGTGAAGTGCCACCGACCGTACCAGGTTATTCAACAAGCACGATCGGACTTGCGAAAAGGTCTATAACTCTTATCCAGCTTCTTTGTGATCCCACCGGCTGTCATCTTGTGACTTTAAAGCTTCTTGGCTCCCTACTCAACCCAAAAATCTCAGTACTATGTACCCTTGTATGGAAACCGACGGACTGTATCAAGATGTAAGCATGGATACAATGCAGTCAAGGAAATTAAATTCACAGTGAGTGTCTTCCCGTCCCGCAACAAGGGATTGGTTAGAATAATTGTGGGATATTTGCAGCAACGTTTTGAGTCGACCTTGTCCTTTCAAAAAACGCAATATCGAAAGCGCCAATTATGCCGAAGAGTCCACATTTCGAGACTGACTAAACGAAATTTTTGAAAACGGAAGCGTTGAAGAAGCCGCCAAGAAAAGGAGGCGTCAATAATCACGCAAAGCCCGAGCCGCAAAAAAGTTCGGTGTGTGTTACCGCAAAAAAAGATCGATGATATTCGAAAGCGCAGAAACGTCCCGGAGAAAGCCGTCTTGACGAAAAGAACGGTGTGCTCACTGTGCTGTAATAACAGCTGGGACTACAGCATTAAGCTGATACAACGCGGTTCTCTAGGGGCTGCATTCTATTACATACAATACAGAATACCTTCACTGTATACAATACAGTGAAGCTCCTTGAGTAGGGCGATAGTTGATAAAAACTTCTACCAGCAATGTTGATCAGTGGTACTGTGTTAAAAAAAGTGACAGTGATAAAGAAACAGGCTGTAATCGTAATCAGACGTGTGGGTTATGATTAGACTTCGTAAAGTGATATTAACAACTTGAAAATACTCAAATTTTAATTTTGCGAGAAATTTCCTGGCGCACAGCAAATTGACTATTCGCCAGGAATTTTCCTGGCGCATAGCACTTTCGTTTACTTAATTCACAATGTACGGGTTTCTGTAAAAGCAATTCAACAAAATGGGTGTGCATTTTTCTCTTGGTTCCGTTTTGGAAAGTAGCCCCGTTTAATGGAAGGTGTAGTGCGATGGCTGAATTGATATGGTCCTTTTTCAAGCCATTTGTTCTACATATATCTCGAAGGCTCTATAAAATTCAAACGTGAACGTATAAAAAATTCGATTTACATTTTTGTAACTTACTGTTCTATTTGTGCCATGGTGAGCTGGTTTTCGTTTTATCCCGCGATGATTACGAACAGATACTTACCTGTTTTGAAAAAGATAGCGTCGTTGGCACCTCAGGCAGCCGTTATGGCACGAGATGTTAGCATACCAACGCAGAAAATTGCATTCTGTCTATTTTTAATTGAAGCTTATGTTGTTGACAGCAGACTGATAATTACAGTACCCTGTTCTTAGTTTCTGTACTGCTTGATATTATTATAACAGAAAATGATGATGATACATGTGTGATGCATCTGCAGAATATCGCTCTGCGGGATTGCACGGGCGCCGGCGTGAATATCGGCAAGATGAAGTTGGCCGTGCAGAAGACCTACATGATGCTGATTAAATACCGGCAACGGGCCTGGGAGCGGGGCCGCGGGCAGGATCGCGAGCAGATGCCGGTGTTGCGTGCGCGGCATTTAATTGAATGGGTGTACTTGAAGCTGGACCGTAAGCAGCGCAACCACATCAATCCCAGCGTCGTCTTCAGCTGCTTGCTGCACTTGGCATACGAAAAGGTACGAGCATTCTTTACTCATAAGTCATAATGAATGGGCAATTGGTATTTGTGACTATTACGAATACTCGGCCCAGTGTTTACGCATTTGATTTCTCTGCTCACGGAACAACGTCACATTATTCCTTCTAACGAAATCGTTCTGCAAGCAGTTGGGAAGGATCTAACGACGACAATACATTGGAGATTTCTGCTTGAAAAAAAACACTATGTTCTTTTTGAATTTATCTATTATCTACAAGTAATTTTAAACTAGTACGCCCGCGCGGATTTAAACCAATTAAAATGATCAACTTTAAACGTAGTTTTTATGTATGATTTTACGAAGTATCTGTTTTTGTGCGATTTGAGGAGCAGTTACGGTCTAGTTGTTACGGTCATATGGCGTACGAGTAGTGTAAGGGATGTTATTGTCAGAAACAATGGAGTTTCACCGTTCTTAAAATTTACAAGTAACAACTGCCAAGCTTTTGATTTATATTTTTATTTTTTTAGACTATTTAATCTTTGTTTTTGAAGCATGCCTATTGCCTACTGCCTAGTCCGTTCGTGTTTTATCTCATATTGGCTTTATTTGAAGAAGAAATTAAATGAAATTGTGTTTACTAGCGATGTGATTTTAAACTTAGTAATCACTGAGCATCGGAAATACAAACAGCAGAACTGTGAACAACCGAAAACTGTACGAGTACCTCATTTAAAAATACAGGAAGTTCAGTATATAAATCATTCATGAAAAAAGAATCGTATCTTTTTACAGGCATTCATGTGAAATGATATTTTCATTTTTAAAAGCTATTTATTAAACTTCTCTTGCCTTTTTTGGTTTATTTGTTTAAAAACAAATGAGACTTTTTCAGCTAAAGAAGTGTTTTTTAGCTACTAATTTACTGTTATTATTTTACCATTTCTGACTGCATGGATAAACTTGATAATAAATTGTGTTTAATTTGTGTAATCAGAAACTGTACCTGATCTGCGCGGAGGACCTAACGGATGTGCACGTCATGACGGAGGAGGAATACACTTCCTACACGCGCCTCCACCCCCATCTCAACCGCCTGACCGACCCCTACATCACCACCCTCCTGCGCCTGCCCCTCCCGCTCTCCATCACCCCGGAAGTGGACATCCCTACCCCGACAGCTCCCCCGCCGCCCCCGGCCACCCCGCCACGGCGGCGCTGCAGTCGGACGTGGAGAGTGACGAGAGCGACACGGAGACGGCCTCCCTGGCCACCACCTCCCCCCGCACCACCGCCACCAGTGTGGCCAAGCGGATGCGGGTCCTGGAGACGGAATAGTGGAAGGTTCCTGGTTGTTACTTGTTATTACGTCAGTCCTGGTAATATGGGTTTCCGAGGATTTTAATTTCTGTTTAAGTTAATCTTCTGTTTGTCGCACTTTCGTGGCGTGGTGGCCTTTTGTTTATACATGTTTTTGACCTTTTATTAGTATTTTCCGTTCCAAAGATGTATATTAATTTTGTATTATTACGTTATGGCTTCGGTTGGTTGGTTAACGGCGGATGTGTGGCCGCAAAATGATCTGGTTGTTTGTTGCGTTTCCGCATAGTTGCTGGAAGTTACTGATGTGCGATAATCGTCCGAAAGATAGGCCAGAATTATAGGAATAAAGCATTTAAACGGAATTCGAAGGTTTCATGGATCGTCGGCATAAAATGTAGCTTCGCCTGTGTAGCAGTCTCCCGTACATTAATTTGAACTGTGCGGTAGCAATTTTGTGCATAATGAACAACACATTCGCACATGATGAATATGTTTTTGCACACATCGAACCGATATAAATACATATTTTTTCGCCAATACAAAAACGCTTTCGAAGTACTAACCACAACACAAATAGTACAAACTGGAGCACTTTAATACCGACGTAACTTATTTCTAACATGTAAGAAAAATAGAAACGAACATTATATAATAATTAGCTGAACCGCTAACTGGTACTTGTATTAAAGAGCTCTTGTATTCATTGATAATTAATGATAATCGATAATATGCAGCGTTAACTGAAATTCAAATTTCGCGCCATAAATGCACTGGTTTAGCCAGTCTTACGGTACGATTGCCTGCGGCTACAAGGCCCCCCTCAGACCGGCAGTTATGAGTTATCGTAGCAATAGCTTGATTTCATCCTGCCTCTGGCCTATTGATTGGGCGACTTGAACCAATCAAATCGTTCACAGGCTTTGCAATTGGCTGAAAACAGCCAGTTAAGTTTGACAGGTTGAGCAGAAGTTCTGTTCAATTCTGGTTCGGTGTCGGATTGCCCGTCCACCCCGTGGGCCCGTATAAATAATGGAGCTTAAACAATAGTAATAACTTCTTAACGCCTCATCGTCTAAGAAACCAAAAATACTCCACAAATAGAGCAACCTCTAATTAATGAACGGTTTGGGTGCTGCCATTTGCCAACTCGCCTGAGCCGGCTGACTGTTAAAAAGCTGTACAACCTCTTCGGCGCATGTCAATTCGCGGTACATCTCCCCATCTACGTCACAGGGGCGGGGACTACGCCACCGTGAAATCAATCTAGTAAATTTGTGGTGTCCGCATCGCTTGGTGATTCCAGCGGATCTGCTGCGGGATCGTTGTTATCCCGGTTGCGCATGCCTGGATTGGGAAGCTGTACGTTAGGGGTGGGGATGAAGTGGACGAGGACGGTAGCGTCAGCATCGAAGTGTACGATGAAGAGACGGATATGTGGAGTGTGGACGCTGTATCCATGCCGACCACCCGTTGGCAAGTTCGGCTTTGACTGCATCGTCATAAAGCTGAAACGCGGGTGAATGGCGATTAGCTAAGGCCATTGTCCAAAGTTTTTTTAGTTTACTTAATTTTGCCAATTATTTTTTACGCTTTTCGGTTTAATTGAGTGAGTCTTTTCCTTGAGCTCGGGTAACTTCAAAAATTAGACATTAAACAAAAAAGTAAGAAACCAATTTTCCTTAAAAATACTTCCTCATTTTTTCCCAGCCTGTAGGAAGGTTTTATCAGTTAATTTTACAAATTAATTTAGGAGTTTTATGAAATTAAGTTAATTTTACACGAAAATCCATCCATCCAAATCCATCCATCCAAATCCATTTTATCCATCCTAATCTTACCACGTCACAGAAATTTTATTTGTTTCAATAGTTTCATTTTTTAAAATTAATTTTATGTGAATTTGGTTTAAGGGAAGTGGGCCGGTACATGGTACCAAATTCGAGTATATGCACGAAAACTTACACTTTCGCTCCCAAACACATTTTATTTCGGTTTATGACATTCTGTAGCCAGAAGATTTGTTTACTGGTGTGAAAACCGTTTGCGCGCAACATCCGGTTCGGGAGTTATGGCTGTTAGAAAATTCCAAAAGTTTAAATGCATTCAGGTGTACCAAAGTCTCATTATGGACCGATCTCCTTCATTTTGCACGTAATGCACATAACCAAGAAGATCGTTTTTACACCGATCCAGACTTCCATGATTTTTTTTAAATTTTAAAATGAATTTTAAAATTTTTGAAATTCATTTTAAAATTTGAAAAACATGCTAGAACAGTGGATCGGTGTAAAAACGATCTTCATGGTTATGTGCATTTACGTGCAAAATTTGAAGGAGATCCGTCCATAATGAGACTTTTGGTACACCGGAATGCATTTAAACTTTTTGGAATTTTCTAACAGTAATAAGTCCCGAACCAAATGTTGCGCGCACAAACGGTTTTCACACCAGTGCATACAAATCTTCTGGCTACAGAATGGCATAAACCGAAACAAAAATGTGTTTTGGGGTGCGCGAATGTGTAAGTTTTCGTGCATGTACACGAATTTGGTACCATGTACCGGCCCACTTCCCTTAACTTAATCCGATATAAATTGCCCATCCTAATCTTAGCATTGATTATCCGAAATTTTAGTTTAGTTTTCAAAATTTGTTTCGTTTTTTTGAATTAATTTGCCTAATTTTATTAAAAAGACTATTTATAAGAAGTTAACGTGAGAAAATCGTACCGAGAATCATGGTGCCGGCGCAGGCTCTGCTCGTGTGCCGCTACTCGTGCATTCCGGGTTTCAGCCCGTGACGCAGGTTGACGCGGGGCATCCCCGTGGTGGAGCGGAAGGCATCCAGCAGCTGCCCAACTGCCCAGCTAGCCCAACTGCCGCGCCGTCTCCAGCAACTGCCCGCCATACCAGACCATCCCGCGCCGCTTCTCCCGCAACTCCTCCGCCAGGACACACGCGCTAATCAGCCCGCCCAGCATGCGGATGTTGGTCTCGAAGACGCTGACGACGATGTCGGCGTCCAACCGCACCGCCTAAATCACCAGGCGTACCGCGCGCTCAAACTCCTCCAGCTCCCCCAGGAGCGCCAACGAGTCCAGACTGTCCATGAGGGTCATGGAGAAATTCCCCAGCGCGTCGTCGACATCCCCCCGGCCCGAGCCGTGACTGCGGAAGCGCACCCGACAGCACAGTTCGTCGGCAGGGTAGGCGTGGGTTCAATAGGCGTGGTAGACGTGCAGGAACATGTCCTTGATTTAGTGGCGGAGGGCGGCTCTGTGACAGCGGGAAATGGCCGGGGAGGCGGCCGCCCCCCGGGAGGGGGGTAGAGGGGGGCAGGAGAAGGAGGCGAGGGAGAGCATAGTGTACTGCATGGTGCCTGCCGTGCACTGGTGCACACGACGGCACCAGCATAGTCTCGCACAAAGGGACCGACGGGAATCAGCGATTCCAACTGCTACCAGTATTCATCAGATTATGGAGCTAACACGTTTGAACAGGTGTGCGAACTGCGTAGAGTACGACGTGGCTGCAGATTCGGTCGGCTGTCTTCACTCCTGTCTGTCTGTGGGCCGTGTGCTAGTGCTGCCAAGTACTTATGCCATCAGCAAGATATGAAAAAATCCTTCATCCAGTATTGCAGTACAACAGCAATTAGCAGTATTGCAGTACTATTACAATTCTTCGAAGGATAGAATCAAGGCCCAAGGGGAAGACACGCTGGCGTATTGGTCCATGGGATGCTGGCTGGGTTGACTTGTCACGATTTCACTGAATACTTCGACATCACTGGCAAACTGGCAATAGACAGCAAATAAAATATGATCAGTTAGTGGGTTCTGTATATTACAGTACTTCGTATATTAGATAATTTACTTTTACAAATAGTACTTATTATGCAAATAACAAACTTATGAAGAAAATTAGAAAAATTATTAAGCTGCCTGGTTAAACTGGTTTGCCGTTTGCGAGCAGCTTGGAAAAAGGGAAAAAGTTGATCGTGTGACGTACGGGCCAGGTGCTTATGGCGGGCACCCGCCTTGGCGGGCGCAATAAGGCGGGTTTCAATCGTCAATATCAGTGGCGGGCACCGCTTAATTGCACATTGCACTGAGGCATCAAGTGCGCTGCACTTGCCTAATCGGTAGTGCACTTCTACTTTGCCACGAGCCTTTTTAATTTGAAAAGCTTTTGTGTATTCGCCTTTTTGTTTTTCGTGACTGAACTCGTTCTTTTAAAACTGTAAGTCAAAAAAACGAACGTTTTGTAGTCTTTCTGTTTGTTTTAACTGTCCTGCATGTAGGAAGCAGGTTCAATCACGTGACCACCTAAAAACAGAAAAGGATGTAAAGCTATATGATGTGGGTCGCTTTGACACCTTCAGAATTTCGAATGACTTTTTGTAAAGTTGAATAAAAAACCAACGTATCCTGACACCATTCTATATTTTCTCAAGCAGCCGTTATATATGGTTATCTACTTTAAAGCACCAAACAAACAAAAAAGACCTTTATATAAAAACTAACAGCAAAAATTGAGAATAGTAAGTTATGTAGATAAAAAAACGTACAGAATGATATTGTCAGTGTTAGCTACTTAGCTGGCATAATGTATTTAAATGCTTAAAAAACCGTTCACCGTATGCTCACAGAGTCTCGGCCATACCCTGGTGCCGGGAAATTAAGCAAATATCATTCAAATAATTATGATTTTGTATCGCTAATGACAAAATTTATATTCGATTAAGTCTTCTAGCCGTACTGTTAAAATCTACGAGACATTCAGGCTACCAGTCAGAGACCAGTAGCGAAAAACGCAATTCGGTCTACTAACTGCTTACATATATCGTATATGTAAACCGTTTTTGCTTTAGTCCCATACAATCTTGTTTGACACCATTATTTTCTTTATCAAAAACAAATTAAAAAAGGTTTCACCCTGTATCACATAAAAAGGTTGAGAAAAACGCAATTTACTGAACACTTCTATTTTTTTTACTGCAGTTTCCCCAGTTTTTTTTCAATTTTTTTCAATAATTAAGGCTACAGCCTAAGTGTTTTTTACCATCATTTACTTTATTACAGAACATTGTTTTACCTGTTTCGATCTTTGGATTCGAGCAAAATTGGAAAGGCTTATTTGGAATGCATTCTTTGTTAATAAGCTGCGGTTACCAGATTTAGGCTATGGCCTAAGTTGGTAGCCTGAATCAAAGACGTTTCCCGAAAAAATTCTTTGAATTTAGGTTGCAACCTATTTCGTTGCAGTATACAACAGACTTTTCGTTTGATGTCAAGAAATGCTGTTACCTTTTAACTTCCGCAAATAAACACTGAAATTGTAAGACCATTTCAGGACTGAAGTAAAATTGGTTTTCTTTTCAAAGTGCCTCTTTTTTGTTTCGCTTTGGTCGAAAATTGTTTTTCAAAACTGCTGCTTTGAGCGGTTTGTCTTTTTAAATATCAATAAAATCATCTTGTTGTTCTTAAGCGATGAATGCTCAGAAACACGTGCTTACAAAATGATATCATTTATTACTTTTTTCTTTTGCGTCTCATAGCATCTTATAAATGAAAGCCAGATAATTGGCTCTGTAATGCGCTAACGTTGGACAGTTATTTAACAAACCAAACTGATTATATATATGCATAATTTGGCTTGCTGTAAAGTATTAATAATTTGTTTAGTGCATAAATGCCACAAAATGGCATCGCTGTTAACTCAGACAGCTACAATTAAAAATTAAATTAACCTGGCGCTGCTCCAAACCGTAGGCGTAAATATCGGTGCGTGTTAGGTGAAGTTGCCATCTCTTTTTTTAACGCGGAATGTTCGTATAGTTATTAGTATTGAACTGCTTCAAAGTCCTAATTTTATAACTGTCATCGTCTCCACGCAAGCTTTTTGAAAACAAAATATATATTTAAATATTTTGCGTCTGTGCCTTTAATCTAGTATTTTTGTATAAAAGAAATTAATTCTTTTTAGTGATTTGAAAAATATCTACCAAGGTTAAGTGAATCCTAGAGCCAGAATAAGTCCGCAATCAGAGTAACGGGTCACTGGGACATTTATCCTGCATTACACATTTTTTGAATTATAGCTAAGCAGCTTAACAAGTCGATTTAGAAATATCTGGGTAAATCTTTTTTGTAAACAGTATTGTAACGGTTGGTTTTAAAAAGCGTGGAGTAGCGTTAGTAAGCTACTTGCTAACGCTAGTTATGACTCGCACTAGCAGCTTGGATGCGCAGCTAGCGGGAAAGTGCACTGTGCAAATGAATTTCTGCATTGCCCGCTACCGACGCCCGCCTGATGGTTTACACCCGCCTTATCGCACCCGCCTTGGCGGGTGCAATAAGGCGGGTTTCAATCAGTGGCGGGCACCGCCGAATTGCACATTGCACCGAGGCATCAATTGCACTGCACTTGCCTAAACAGTAGCGCACTTCTACTTTGCCAAGAGCCTTTTTTGTGCGCCTTTTTGTTTTCGTGGCTAAACTCGTTTTTTTAAAACTAAGTCAAAAAATGAACGTTTTGTAGTCTTTTAGTTTGTTTTGACTGTTTGACTGTCGTAGTCTTTTGTTGGTTTTGACTGTAAGCAGCAGGTTCAATCACGCAACAAACTGAAAACATAGAAGGATGTAAAGCTATATGACGTGGATCGCTTTGACACCTTCGAAAAATCGATTTTTTTAAAAGTTGAATACAAAAATCAATGTGTCCCCTGTTCTACACCATCCCTTATTTTTTCAAGCAGCCGCTTTTTGTTATCTACCTTAAAGCAACAAATAAACTTAAATAACTTTTGTAAAAAAATTAAAGGCAAGAATTAAGAATAGTAAGTTACATAGATCAGAAAAAATGACCAAATTTAAACATAACAGTGGGCCACACAAATTGGCCTCAAATCGTAAAAAACAAAATTGTCAGCGTTAGTAAATTAGCAGGCATAATGCATTTAAATGCTAAAGAAACCGTTGACCGTATTCTCACAGTCTCGTGCATACCCTGATGCCGGTAAACTGAGCAACTATCATTCTAATAAACATGATTTTTTCTCGCTAATGAAAAAAATGTAACACTCGATAAATCTTTCATCTTTACAGTTAAAATTTACGGGCAGTCTGGCTACTAGTCAGTGACCAGCAAACAGAAAACGCAATTTGGTCTACTAACAGTTTACATACATGTAAACCGTTTTTGCTTTAAGCGATAGTCTCATACAATCTGGTTTTACTCGCAAACGCACGCATAGTAGTTTTCAAAAACAAATTAAAAAGTTGTCAACCTGTATCGGATAGAAATTTTAGGCAAAACGCGATTTACTCAATTCTTCTATTTTTACCGCTGCAGTTTCCCAAATTTTTTTCAACATTTAAGGCTACAGCCTAAGTGTTTTTTACCTTCATTCACTTTGCCACAGACCATTTTTTTCACTTGTTTCGATCTTCGGGTTCGAGCAAAATTGGAAAGGCCTTTTTGGTATGCATTCCTTCTTAATAATCTGCGGTTACCAGATTTAGGCTGGGGCCTAAGTTGCTATCCTGAATAGAAAACTTTTCCCGAAACAATCTCTTGAATTTAGGTTGCAGCCTATTTTGTTGCAGTATACTACAGGCTTTCCGTTTGATGTCAAGAAATGTTGTTACGCTTTAGCTGCCACAAGTAAACATTGCAGTTATGAGACCATTTTAGGGCTGAAGCAAAATTATTTTTTTCAAAGTGCTTCTTTTTTGGCTTTGCTCTGGTCGAAAATTGTTGCAGAAAAAGCTGCTGTGATCGCTTCAATTTTTTGAAATATCAGTTAAATCTACTTGTTGTTTTAAAGGGATGAAAGCGTGCTTGAAAAAATGATACCATTTACCTTTTTTTTTAGTCTTATAGCAGCTTATAAAAAGAGCCATATAATTGGCTCTGTAATGCGCTAACGTTAGACAGTTTATTTTAAAACAAGACTGATTACATATGCATAATTTGGTTCGCTGTAAGATATTGATGTTTTTTTTGGTGCATAAATGCCACAAAATGGCATCGCTGTTAACTATGGACAGTTGCAATTGAAAATAAAATTAACCTGGCGTTGTTCTAAATAATCACCGTAAATATTGATGCGTGTCAGGTGAAGTTGCCCTCTCTTCTTGAATGCGTAATGTTAGTTTATTTAGTAATACTGAACTGCTTGTCCTAATTTTATTATAACTGTCGTCGCCTCTACGCAAGTCCTATATAGGCAAAATATATATTTAAATATTTGCGTCTGTGCATTCTACCTTTGTATTTTTGTATAAAAGAAAACAATTCTTTTTAGTGATTTGAAAAATACCTGGCCAGTTAAGTGAGCCCTGGAAGCCAGTAGAATAAGTCCGCTATCAAGGTAACGGGTCAATTGGACATTTATCCTAGCATTACGCATTTTTTAAATTATGACTCAAGCAGATCTTTCTACTGATTTGTTGGCTGCAGAGTCTTTTTTGTAAACAATGTTGTAATGGATTGTTTTAAAGGTATCATTAGTCATAAAGCGTGAAGTAGCGTAAGCACGTACTTATAGTGTATGACTCGCACTAGCAGCTTTAATGCGCAGCTAGTGGGAAAAATGCATTGTGCAAATGCATTTCTGCATTGCCCGCCACCGACGCCCGCCTGATGGTTGACACCCGCCTTGACACACTCGCCAAGGCGGGTGCCCGCCATAAGCACCTGGCCGTACTTACTTCCGCTTTGTCCATCGCATCATGACGTATATCCGTTGACGTGAGGTGCGAGTAATTATTTTAGCTGCCATCTGTTGGGTGGTGGCCGTTTCGTCTATCCTCTAGTTGCGGATCGTACATACTACACTACGTACCCTGGCGCGTATGGGGGGATCCATAAATTACGTACGCAGCGAACCAGGGAGGTACGCAGCGAACCAGGGAGGGAAGGGTCCAAAAAATGTGACAAGCTGACTGCAGAGTGAAAGATGCGGATTATACATATAATCCGCATCTGAGTGAACCAGGGAGGAGGGGTCAAGCAAACGTAACGGACCGCTACGAAGGGAGAAGGAGGGGTGAAAAAACCGAGGTTTTCTGCGTACGTAATTTATGGATGCCCCCTTGTACTGCGTAGCACGTATTATTGAATATTTACTACGTAGTAGACGTACTACGAGTGCAACATACTTACGTAAGTATATTGCACTCAACGTATATACGTAGATTTTTTTCAACTAAGTAATATTAATTTTGTCTTCAAGAATTTTCTCACTTCTGACTACTGTAAGCTTGCAACTTTGTACCCCGCGACTGAAGAAAAGCAGCTGAGATTTGAGTGAATGTCCGTGTGAGGAGCCGTTGAATAGATTGCTGCGCTATGTCGTAGGAAAAACCACAGACATTCTTAACGTACTTTGTTCGCGATATACTGCTATTTGCCAAATGCCAAAAGATTCATGGATTACATTTTTATCTTTGGCAGTGTTGGCTTGGAGATTTTGTGGAAGGGTTAACGAGGGACTGTTCTTGTGTTGACTGTTGTAAAAGCAGAGTTCTTTGAATTTAGGCTATTTAGCGTCCAATTCATGCAACGTCGTCTTGCTGTTAACCCGCTGCCGACCCGTCGGTGGCTGACATAGTGGTACTGTCTCGGCAATCCCATGAGTCGCTTTGTAGTAGTAAACGAATGGCTTTTCCTTTATGATCTCGCTGATTATCTGTCGCCACGGTACATCTTCCTAGCGCGGTAATGTTGAAATTTGAGTAATACTTCTACAAGTAGTCTGTGGCCTTGCAGGTATGTGGGCGGCGCTTGTGCGACTGCTTGACGTCGTTTAGCGAAGCGGGCCTGACAATTACTCCGTAATTAGCGACGTTATATCATACCAGCTTCGCATCGGCAACCTGCATACAGTATGGATGCCGAATCCAAGTATCAAGTGGGCCTCGAACCATGGCCGTACCGCCGATTCGGCCGCAGTGTCAGCAGCGGCAACACCGTGATGGTGAAGCTAAGCGGTGCTTGGTACCTGGGCTTCATCGAGGACATTGCCGACGACCAGCAGCAAATCTTCGTCAACTTCCACTGTAATTTTTTACCGGCCGCCTGGCTGCCCGCCCGCCAGGTCTTCCCCCATGCCCTGCTCACGGAGACGTGCGGCGACTTCTTCACGGTACTGGCGGCGTTGCGCGCCGACCCTACCGCGCCGCTGATATTCCAGCGCGCCGACGTTGTGGCCGTTTGCCTCAGCGGCCAGTTGATGTGCTGTGTGCAGAGTCAGACAGGAGCCGCTGCACCGCGCCAGCTGGTGCATCCGCTGCAGATTGCCGCCGAGCGGCCGCCTCGTCGGACGGTGTTACAACCGCCGGCTTCGCCATACCAAGGCGTCTACGCCGCCTACACGACCGAGACGATGGACGTGGCGCACATCAACAGTATCGATGAGAACCGGCTGCAGTTCGAGATGAAGCGCGCTCTGTACGCCGCGCAGTGCCGGGCCGTCAGCGCCCCGATGCGGCGGGCGATCGGGGATGAATTACGGTATTACATGGGTTTGGGCCAGAATTCCGTCAAGTTCGTCATTTGGCAGCGGCAGGAGGAAGCTTGCAATTGGAGTGTGGAGATGCTGTCGGAATGCGTCCGCCGTTGCTTGCAGAATGGCGTATTGGCTAACGATAATGCCGTATCATGGTATGGCTGTCCCAGGTAGAGATGGCAACGGCTGGCTTAACGGCTTATCGGCTGGCTGCGGCTGGCTAAAATAGCGAGCCGGTTCGAAAGTGTCGGCTCACCTATCTAAGCCGGCTCAAACGGCTCGGTTTTGAACGCGAGCCGGCTAAGCCGGCTCGGAGCCGGCTTAGACGATAGTTTTTTAGCGCAGAAAAACGCAAGTATTTTTTCACTAAAAAGCAAAGTTTTCAGCTGTTTTTGGTCAAAAAAACTGTTTTTCGTCAGTTTTTAATGGAAAAAGAGATCTCTGAAACGAAAATTCAGCGCTTTTTTATAAGACTATTGAGTCTTCAAGTCTCAAAATCGGCTTTGAACGGGCCAAAAAAGATAAAATTGTACTTTCTTACACATTTTTCCCCCTAATGTGCAAGCCGTTAGCCGACATCGGCTTACGGCTGGCTCGTGGCTGGCTGAGGCCCTGAGCCGGCTCAATCGGCTCGGCTTGCATCGGCTGCGGCTACAATTTTTGGTCGAGCCGGCTCAGCCGAAGCCGGCTTAGCCGCGGCTTAAACGGCTTCGGCTGAGCCGTTGCCATCTCTAGTCCCAGGGGTGATGCCATTTCCCATGACGACGTCGGCAGCGGTTTAGCTGGTCTGCCGCTGGAAATCATAGAGAATATGCTGGAGTTGGTGGATGTTGTCACTCGCACCAGATTGCAACGGTAAGAAATTAATAGGCTTGCATGTGTAGCGCATTGTATGCGTAAAGCGTACACGGTGCAAAGCTGCAACTAACCACACGTGACGTGATAAACGCTTACTGTACATTAACTGCAGGGTCAGTCCAGCGTGGACCGAGCTGACTGCTCGCAGCCTCTCGCTACGCCGGCATTTCATCATGGATTTCGGCCTGCGTGTGCGCAGTGCCAACAAGTCGGACGAAATGCACCGTCTCGGCCTACTGTTATACTACGGGCTGAGCCCCGACGTGCGGACGCTGGTGCTGAGCCGATGGCGGCCCGCCGACTATTCACTGGGAAGCAATGGTTACAGCTACGGTGATGCTGATTTAACCGTCATGCGGCAGGTAATCAGGATGCGGCAACTGCCAGCCGGCCTGCAGCGCATCATCTATCACCGCTGCGTCGTCACCTACGACCTGCCGGCTACGTGGTCCTCGTCTAGCCCGGCCACTGCCGACCACCCGACCTTCTTCCCGCTCAACCACTTGTCACCGTTGATGGATGTGTGTAGCGGCAGCGGTCAGGTAATTATGGTTGACTACGTCCAGAAGGACGCCGTCCGCCACTGGGACTGGCTGCGGCCCCTCCGGAACCCCGACGGGGGCCCCTACAAGCAGCGCAACACCAGCACAGCCCCGCCGCTATGCGTCGCCCTGCCGTTTCTGCGGCTGGACTGCAGTCAGGATGCCGTCAGCCTCCTGACCAGCGTGCGGACGGCCATGGAGGCCGCACTCCCGGAGCCGCCAGCGGCGATGCGGCGGATGGCCTCGGACATGTACGAGTACTGGCGAACCCGCGACACCTACTGGCGCTTCCTCCGCCATCTCCTCACAGCGTGAGTATTGACTCGCATACGTACATCACCGCATCCTGTATGTATGGCTGCGGGACTCCTAACGGGCCGTAACGGCATCCGGGATTTAATGAGAGCCCCGGCCGCCGTACAACACAACCGCCGACATTAAATGTTAACTGCTCATAGCGTGGTGATAGTGCGTCTGGCTTCAGGATTATATGCCCTGGATTCGATTCCTTGTTTGGGTAACTTGTATCTCATATCTATATAACCAAACCAGAATGAATGAACAATTGTTCAGTAGCCTGGTTACACAATAGAATATGAAGTATCTCCGGCAATGCAGTGTGGCTAGTGAATACTACAGTACGATAATAATAATAATACTTAAGCTTTGTTTTGCAGCACGGAACCGGGCGGTTCAGTATGGCAGCACGTTGACTTCCCCAACACTCCGCTGCCGCAGCTGACCCGTTTAACCGTCTGCGCTCTGGACTCCTTGTGGTGCCCGTGCAGCTGTGCAGCCGATGTTGCTGTAGACCCATAGCGGTGATCTGCATCTGGCCAAGACAATGGCCATCCGCTTAGATAGCGGATATAAGGCGTTTGTTCTCAATTTCGAGTCCAAATAATCAGTTTCGCGAGCTAACCATAAGCAGTTGGTCACACAGAATGTTACAGATACTGAGCAGTTAACGTAATGAGGTGAAAAAAATTGACTGCTTGTTATAAATACGCTAATAAATTCTCAGTGAAAATAATTCCAAGTTCCAACTATGCTGGATGTTTAGCTAGTTATTATCGTTTGACAGAAAATCCCGTTTCCTTGAACGTAGAGTACGTACCTTCGCTTCGGTCGATTATACAACAAACAATAATAAAAAGTTTATCAATACTGGATGTCAGTACCGGACGGCTATCGTATCACATCCACTTAACCCGAGCGGAGAAGCCGTATTCGCAGCCAAATTCCGGAGAGGCCCGGCGCCCAACCGCGTCACCGGCGCGCCACCAGCTACGTAGTCACCTGCCGGTAAAGGTCGACGAGGCCATCGATCGGTTCGTCCGCCTTATAATTTCAGTGCGTGTGTATATTGACTTTAATTACGTCGTTCGTGACAGATTATCTGCCCGTACCGGAAGAAGAAACTAGCGCAGGAACACGCCCTGGCCAATATCCAGACCTTCGTCGACGATCTGGAGCGCTGCATCCAGCACATCCACAAGGGTTGGGTTTTCCCTGGAATTTCTCCATCGACGTCGATAATCTCAATGTTTTTTTCGTTGTTCAGCGCCATCTTCCTCCGGAAGTCCCGGCAAACCCGTCCCTCCGTCGGCATTAACCACCGTCAGCCTGCCGCGGCCGGTCATCCGCCGCGAGACCGCGGGCGACGTGGCGTGGGAGCGGAAGAACAAGACAGTGACCTTTAACGACCCCACCGCGCCGGGCGAACTCCGGCTTATGGCCAGCCGCACCTACAGCGTCCTGGAGCTAATGGCCTGGAGCAACTTGACCTGTTTGAGTCAGCGCCGCTTCCACAAGAACGTCATGAAAACCCCCACCAATGGCAACCATTGGGGGTGCGCAGTGCGCGGCTGTTTCTCGTTTTCACTATGAAAACATATAAAAAAAGGAAATTAATCAGGAAGAAAAAAATAGAAAAATAATATTTAATAAATAATGAACAATTAAATATAATTAGGAATAAATTCAGCGAAAATCGTTGTTACAGGGATGCGCCCGCGGGACTAGTTCGGGCCATCTCTCATGTCCTGGATCTGACTCGGGAGCGGGCCAAATTGAAAGTGCGGCGCAATGGGCGTGTGTTGCAAGAGGTTAGGGATATTGTGATGAGCCAAAATTTTAGAACTTTTTCCAAAATTTCTTATTTCAGTTTTATCAATTAAATTTAAAATAAATTAAATTAAATTTTAATTTAATTATTAAATTTTAAATTCGTCAAGTTAAATTTCAGTTTTGCCAGATAATTTGAACGTCCTACATTTTTAATTTGTGGTGTATGTATTTATCGTTAATTCAGTTTATGCCAGTTTTTTCATTTGAATTTGATCAGAATCTAATCGTAATTTGCGTTTTGTAAATATTAATTTGAATTTTTTTTATGTTTGGTTTTCAATTTTCCCATTTTAATTCGCACAGTCAGTGTGAATTTAAATTGTAATCTGCATTTGTGTGAATGTGTCAGGCGGAGAAGCTGGCGGTAGAGAAGCAGCTGCACAAAGCTATCCGCAAAGACTTGATACTGGCGTTGTACGCGCTGAGGCAGCACGGACTGGCGCACGTTAGTTTCCGGTGAATTTGTTTTATAAATCGCCGGTAATCGTCATTTGGCGTTATCTCCAGGTCAGCAACGAGACCAGCCTGGTGCCGCGCCTGGTCTGCGTCTCCCGCCGTCCCGAGCCCACGGAATTGCATGCCTGGGATTTCATCCTCAAGAATTTTCAGTGTAAGGTCAGTTTCGCCGGTCGATTGAATTCAATCAACGGAAAATGCGACGGTAGTTTTGTTGACGCAGAAGGGCGAGAATTTCAGCCGGTCACCGATGCGGCGCCTGGCTGACAGCTTCCAGCTGTCCAGCGTGGGCAGCCCACATATCAGCCAGCCGGAAGCGTTCCGGGCCAGCATCGCCGACATCCTGCACGTCCACGGGAATCTGCAGCGCACTCCGCTGATGCGCATGAACACTTGCGTCAAGTATGTTTCTTTCTGTTTAATTCGGATTTATTTATTCACGTAAATTTGCCCGTATTTAGTAAGTTAACTCACATGTATAAATAAAAATATTTTGCAATCCAGTGAGGGTTTTGTTTGGAGTTGGATGCCTTTACAGAGGGTTATTCAGCCAAGTGTGGTCACTTTTTGGAAAATTTCTGCTTAGCCGCTGCAGGCTCATTTTACTTTTTTAAAAATTTTATCAAATAGCCACAACATTCAATCACATTTTGAATTCAACCGAGCCAAGATTTCGTTATCCTGTAGCCCAGGAAAAAATTCAGTTTATCCCCACCATGTTGGCAACAGTTGACCAGTTCAGCTATAGGAAATGGATTCCCTTTACTCAAAATTAATTTAAAATTTGGGTTTTCGCCATAATCGACTGGAAACCTGTCATGGGTTTCGAACAAACCTTTTCAGAAGGAATTACCAGTTTTTTCGATCAGGAAGCTACATCCTTGTTTTCTCAGCAGTGCTCCCGGGAGCACATCTCTGGTTCTGGATGACTTCTTCCTCTCTGCCAGGCTTAATCCGTGGAGCGTCTTTTTCGACCAATGAACATTGTAAATTGTGAAGGAAGACCTGCGTTACAACTTTAGTTTGTGGAGGAACGAAAAGGATAGCCATAGCTCCGTGAGTAACAATTCGCACATTGAGCATGGCTCTTGCGAGTGTCTTCCTGTTTTCGCGTTTTTTCCAGCCGTCCTACCGCAAGAACGCGCAAGAATATGGAATCGTTTTTGCTATAAAAAATATTCGGATCGTCGTTTTTCACAATTAAAACCATCCAGATTTGAAAAGCAGACGATCCTTTTAAGGCCAGATCATCGAAAGCCAAATTTTGCCTGGTCAAAGGTTTAGAGTCGGAGTCTTTAGGTCAGTAGCCAATATTGCGGGCTGTTTAAACCCGATTGTCACAAAAACTTGCAAAAAGCATCAAAACTAATTTGCCATAATAAAACAATTATTAGAATCTGACTCTGCGCAACGGCTGAATTATAGGAATTTTTTAATGCGCTGACCACACTTGGCTGAATAACCCTCTGTATTTACTGCAGTTTTTGTGTTTTGGAATTCAGTTAGTTATTGAAACAGTTTAAAATATTTTTCCTGTTCAAATAATTTTTTTATTACAAGTCTCTGCTCTACTACGGTACTAGCTGCTGTGTAATATTTTGACCAATTTATTTACCTTAACTGTATAATGTAAACTAATTTTTGCCGGCATCGTTTGGGTAAAACCGTTAAAAAACTGGTGTTTAATCTGCGCAGAATTGGAACAGCCTTGCCAGACGGTGGACAATTTCCGCCCCTTGGACTTCCACTGGCTTCTCGACTTGGCCGTCCGCCCCTTCCCCGCGCTGGCCAGGGCAGGCTAGCCGCACTGTTTCGCGCTGTCGGATCTTTTCGCCCTGGACCATGTTTCCCTCGTGTCTTCCGATCAGAATGTGATTTTTATACCGAGTATTAAACTGTCAAGCGCCAGTTTTTCTGCGACTGATCCGTGCCGGGCTGTCAGTTCAGAGGCCGATGATTTTGTCTAGCAAGTAGTTTATTTTATTTATTAGTAAATTATTATATTTATAGATTATAGAAGTTTATTAGAAATCTCTTGATTACTGCGGGCGCCGTTTTTGTGCCCTGTTGGGCCGGTGTGATGGTGATACTGATTATTGCCTGGGGAGCTTTTTTTGGTGCCGATCAGGGATCTTTTAGTGATAACATTTAGTACCGTTTGACATTGTCTGTTTTTCCGTGAGATTACGACAATTTTGGCAGTCGGTCTCGACGGCTGGAAAGGTGCGCGTGCCATTTACTAATGACCTCGCGTATCCTGCGTGTAGGCAGTAGCGCACTGCGTGTAACCGGCTTGGAACGTCCCGAGCCCTCGTGCTGCCGACTGTGCATGGCAAGGTTGGGTTGGCCGACGATTCTCGTCCTCGGTTACGTCCGCGGCCAGCCGCTTGTTGACTTCGTTGTGCAGGCGCCTCACACAGAGGACGGCGTTGCGCGGAGACACGATTCCGTCTGGGATGACAAGGCCTCGCGGATGAAATCATCCCGGCACTCGCTGCAGGAAACGGAATGCCGCGCTTCGCTGAACCGAATAAGCCGCTCACGTGGCATTCATTCCCTGTCCGGTCCGAAAATTATCTAGCGCCTTGACCTCGGTCTTCTTCCAGTTCTTCTCTAATATCGCAGCGTCAGCGCAAAACCGATATGCCCTATAGTGCACGGATTGCAGCGGGTGCGTTTTCGTAATGCGGACAGCATATTCTCAAGTATTGTAGGATTGTAGGTACCGGTGTACCAGGCATTCGTGCTACGGTTCAAGTTACAATGCACAACTTGTTAGTTGTTTACTAGGAAGTTTCCCATTCATAATAATTTACTAATACCATTACGCTCAGTTACGAACGGGGCAAACAAAATTAATAATACATCGAAATTTTTACTCCTGTTGTCAATTATTCTGGGTCACAAATCACACAACGAAAAAGCACTCGCGATCGTGGGTAATACGAACTCTTGTAGCGCATTTGTGAATGAGTTTCAAGCAGAATCGGAATCGCACAGTGTTGTACTCAAGTTAAACACAGGTTATCACAAATTTACTCATCGACATTATCGGGATTTCATTGCCCCTGACTTGCAAGTTACCTTCTGAAGATGAGTGGTTTTGCTAAACTGTTTTTCGCGGTGGTCTTGATTGTCATTATTGCTGTATATAAGACTTCGGCTGACAGTAAGAGTACGGTAAGTAAAATAAAAACTTTTATTGTGCATTTTGGTGCTTTGAAGCCTCCTCGTGACTCGTACAGATATAAGTACGTACTGTACCGAAGAATTTCGGCAAAAGCGTTCCAGAGTAAATGTAGTCCCCATGGTGTGATGCAAAAATGATTCCATGCTTGCTAACAACTTTATGCTGCTATGAAAAAATATACAGTAATTAATTCGCACCACCGAAAGCAAAAAAAATCGCTAGTTGGCAGTTCTATTCCTGCTACGCTACGCTTCGGTGCATTCATTGTCTCAGTACTGCGCTTTTCGTTTTTTTAGTTAGAATTGAATTTAGTGCTAATTAGTGCTTTGAATTATTCTGTTGATGGAGGGGTAAAATGTTTCTCCTTTTGGTTGAATAGCTCATTACCCGAATAACAAACTTCCAGGCATACGTTGTGTTTCAGGCTGGCGATCAGGGTCAACATCCGGAAAATTGCCCCTACTGTCGTCAGAAGCGTACTATAGTGGAGAGTGAGTTCCAGTGCTGGACGAAAGACGTGAATCATGCCGATCGGAAAACAGCCAAGGAATGTGGTGATATCCATAATTTCAAAGGAAAAGACAGCGAGAAGGATGCCGAGTGTACTAGACAGTATCCCGACTGCTGCAAAAAGGGAGACAACAACAGATGCCATTTTGTTCCAATTACGAAAATCAGTCGGCCTCCGCACTCGCACTGAAAGTGCCGCTGAGCTGATACGATCATAACTTTGTATCGAAAATTTGTGATCGTTGCACTGACGTGTAGCATCCAGGCAATGCATATGCGGGTTTGCATTTTTAAGCGCCAAGCTGCCGCATTTTGGTACAGCATGCCACATTCCTCAAATTTGCTGAGATATGTATGGTATAAAACCATATCTGCACATGCACAGATGCGAGTTCATAAAATGCCTTCGTTGTTGTTGTAATTTTTTGACGGGCCTCGTTACGTTATTGTATATTACAAGATTATACTAATTCGCTGCAGCCTCGTATACGCTTGGGCATAAGTAACATGACGGTCACATTTTTTTCGTTCTTTGATCTCGCGCGTTAAACAAAGCGAATATTGCGATGGAGTCAGAGCCAGTGTTTGAGAATGTAGCAGACCAGGATGAAACACTGTGGCTTAATGCCAGTACGTACGAAATTCCATCATTCGCATTAGTGTCTGCTGCAGTCTTCAATGCCGGAATGCGGTTTTTGCGGAATCTGATGTACAAAACACCAGAGAAATGACCAATTAGGCTGTTCCAAATCAGCAGCTAGCTCCGGTTTCGTTGCACAACCGCTACAATAGCCTCGAAAATTATCGGCTTTAGAGAAAGCAACGGATTCAGTAACGATGAGTGAATTTTTAGTTTGCATTTCTGCATCGAATGCCTCATCACTCCTTCTAATTTTCAATTTTCACTGAAGACGGTATCCAGTTTATACTTATTTAGTGTCGTTAGCATTTCTGTGGAGAAGTTGCAATCATGTGGATTAAAAGTTGTTTTATGGCTCTGTTGGTTGTCAACATCGTTATCCAGCAAGTTGCCGGCAACAACGAGGTACAGTAGACTTGCTATCGTATATCGTTTTCTTCAGCTGATCTCGGTGTACAGTAATTGTTATTTGGGACTGCTGAAAATTGTTGTGCAGTTTAATTTGCCTTGCGGTATGTTTGTTCGATATTATCGATAACAACAATTTCTTTACCAGGAACTTGCTCATTCACTGTTTACATCGTAAAACTTCGTTAAATTGAAACTAGTGCCGAACTGCCGATATATATCTGTACACAAGGGGACTGCATTCTTTAATTAGTATTGTAGATATTTTTATTTTCAACCAAATTTTTACAAGCGCTCGTTAATCGTTAGCTACAGTGAGTACATTTCTAGAAATGGCTGGTTTTATGAAAGTTTTGCTCGCTGTGGTGTTAGTTGTAAATGTGGTTCTCCATCAAGCGTCTTGTAACAATGAGGTACATAAATGCTAGGGTAAGCGTAGAAATTACTCGAATAGTTTTTCCAATGATTTACTTTATTTAACCCTAAGAATTCGAAGTCTGATATAACTGAATTATTACGTTAACTGGGTTTCTCGCAAATGTGTACTTAGTCTGGGCCAAATAAATCCCGCACAAAGTAAACGGTATTTCAGTTTGCCATTTTGTTTCAGGCTGGTAATGAAGACCATTTATCCCGAGAGAAACGTAAGGTCGAACCGGATACCTGGTTTAACTGCTGGACGAAAGATTTGAATCATGACCGGAAGAACGCCGTGAAGTGTGGCCAGGTGCACCATTACAAGGGGAAATTCAGCGCGCAGGATGACGAGTGTACTAAGCAGCATCGTGACTGCTGCACCAAGAATGGGAATAAAGGATGCCACTGGAGTTTCAGTTAGAGAAGAAAGTGCGGCCGTGTTCATGTAATGGATTGGTAAATAACTGGTTATTTGCTACGAGGTCTGATTTTTTTGGCATTTACGGTATAATGTTGTTACTGTTCTGGTAATGTTTATTTTTGTATACAGTAACTGAATGTACGGGCGGATGCGCCGGGCCCGGCAGTATTGCGCTCGCGTTGGTACTTGAAAATCATGAAATGTATTCCGTCTTGTAATTCAGTAAAAATCCAGAATCTTGCGGAAACTGATACTTTCGTTTAGAACTTTAGGAGAGAAAGAAACCAATATTACACAGGCTTTGCCGTATTTTATGCGCGGTAAATGCTCGCACTTGTAAGTTGTAAAGTACACATATGATAGATACATAATGCAATATTACAGAAGTGGAAACTGCAACGCCATGTTAAAATTATTTTCATGATAAAAGAAGACAAGCCGAAACGCTGTGTAATCCTCATAAGAGTCTGTTAGACATTATTGCAAATAATTTGAGCTTTTACACTGTTGGTACCCGTACTCATACAGAAAGGCCACGCATTCATGGGCCCGGTCAGTGATCATCGTCGATTTCAACGCTAGCGCTAATGTCCGTCACTTTGTTGTGGCGTCGCCATCCCAGTCTGGAGAAACTGTTGCGAATGACCGCTCGAAAACTCTTCAGACTAAGGATAAAGAGTATTGGATCCAAGACTGCCTGCAGAGCGAATAGAACCATAGTAGCGTTGCGTAGTCCGGGCTGGTCGTTGATGGCCATGAAGCTGTTGACAGTCCACAGGGTTTGGTCCGGTGTCCAGAAGATGAAGACGCTGATCGTTAGGAGCGTCAACACCAGGAACGGGCGGGAGGCTTTCCCCTGTGTGGGCGGTTTTGACTAGGGAAGCAAAGACGATACAACAAAATATGTCGAACTGAATAGTCAGGAAAGTTTTAAATGGAGCAAAGAAAAGCGAAGCGACTAAATCATCGGACATCCAAATCGTTGTATCACAGCATCGCACACTTGTACAAGCAATGTACAGTAAAATACGATAAAAACAGGTACCAAAATATATATACAACGTATATATATTTGTGTATATAAATATATGTATATTGGTATATGTATATATACCAAAATATAGATACAACGTATGTACGTATTGTACATACTTATACTACCGCGAAAAGCTTCAGCAGTATTCAAAGGTTACTCACTTTACTGCCACCTTAAAGTTATCAATGACAATTAAACTTAATCAAGAATGGAACTGGAGCAGTTATAAATAACAGTTTTACTTTTACGGAATTTATCACAGTCCTCACAAGTCACATACGGTAACATGCAACGGCGAATGTTGCACTGGATAACACTGCGTATAATTGTCGTTTGCTCGATAAGTTACGAGTGTATATTATTAGGTCGGCTAACATGGATCAATAATATCGCATTAAATTAACCTTGAATTCGCGATGTGGTTCCGGAGTTCAGTGATGTGCGAGGCGACTTCCGCGTGCGGTTTTTGGAGTTTGAAGTGTGCCGGCATGGCCGGAGGTGCGCAATTGCAGCTGAGGATCTTACCTGTGGGTACAGGTCGCTCACTGCCGGCACCCTCCGCCGGTGCCCGGTTTCTTCGCCCCCCTTTATTGAACTTGATACAGCAGACATACATGACCGTAACGGTGAAGAGAATAACAAATCGTGCCAGAAGGGCGGGCGGGTGGTAATCGAAAACCGAAAGGAGTAAGGAATGATTTTAGCGTAAATGAGCGACAGGAATGAACACACACTATGAGCAAAGCAATGGATAGCACACGGCCCGGTGCCGGTGCCCGTGAGTACAGGGAATTGCGAATTCAGCGGTAATTTAATTTCTGCTAATCCTTAACTGACATTTTAATACACACATGTGACATCGTTAACGAAATGCACTTTGAATATGAAGCTTAATGTTCATAATTAATGCAGTTATGTAGGTGCGTGAGAACTTTATACGGACTCATCATCATGTACACGGATTTGTGATTGCCTTACACCCTACATGCACAGATGCACTTACCGTCACAATAACCAACTGACTCGTATTTCGGTTAACCATTTCCGTGGCACCCGCCCTGCTGACCACATCCACAATCTTCAGTGCGCCCTTCTTCCTCTTAAACTGTTTACACAGCAGAAACGGATACGCTCCAACAACAAACACCACCGGCAAATCTTGAGTGATGATCGCCGCGACAATTGAGTACACTCGGTACACATCCCCGTTTAAAAAACACCCCTTCTCCGCCACATTGCCTTTATACCACACCGCATCGATAATCACTAACGGCAGCACAAATAGGTGAAGATACAACAGCATCAATATACACAACAACACCGCCATTCTTTTGGAATGTCGGTTACGGTACGACACCGGGAAGGCGATGGCCCAGATACGGTTGAGCGTGATGAGGACGTGCATGTGCATGGTGACCGGACAGAAGATCCAGCATTGGTAGATGTAGAAAACGCATGCGGAGGTGGACAGTGCCCAGTGGGGATACAGTTGCCGGACGACTTCCAACGGGTATTGGCACGTGGCGTAGATGAGATTGGCGATTAAGAGAAAGATGATGTAGATGGTGAAGGAGGTGCGAAGATCTTTGCGGAACATGAAGACGATCAGCATACCCAGGTTGAGGATCACCTGGACGATACCGAATGACAAGCGCCCAACAGCGGCGAAATTCCATACGGCATTCAATGATTGATTTGGAAAGGTGACGGTTGTGTTGTCCATTTTTACTAAATCACTTTAAGAATCGATTAAAATACAGCAGATGTAGTAAGAATTTAGGGAGTGTTTTAAATGACAGGAACAAACTCGCCAGTTATCAGCAGAGGAAGCCGGTTTTCTGTGCAAAGTAGGATGGACGTGTAAAATTATTGATGCCGTCATCCGGATGACTTTTTAAGAAGGCATCGTAGTAAAAGTTGTACACCAACTACCAAGAACTGCACATCTGGAACAGTTTTTTCATCCTGGTTATCACATCGCCAATAACTGCCAGTTTATAATTCATCTACGCTGGATTCTCATTGATAATTCCGTGTGAACCCAGTGTCCCGCATACACTAACGTTTTTGTCGCAATCGCAACACACGAGGATCCATTATATCAAGTTATGCACAAGAGGCCACTTAATACCACAGCAATAAATGAAAACCGGCACGTTAATGGACCGCTAATCCACCGTGGCGTCAAACACAAAACACACCTGCCACATTATCCACGATCAAGCCGAATGAATTGCGAGAAGTCGTGCTGAATGAATGTAGCACATCCTTTTGTATTATGGAGTGCGGTAGAATCCATTTAATTTCTTCGATGAATACCGCATAATCACCATCGACAATGACCCTTCTCACACTGTCAGGAACGATATTGTAAAGTTTTCACATGTTTGGATGACACTGGACATTTCGATACTCATTACGCAGCGATGCATTCAAAAAGCCATAGAAACTGGTGCGTCATTTATTTTTATTTAGCAAGCTGCCCAGTGTTCTTATGTACGCAGTTTGTTGATCACCGTAATATGAGCTGACATTTGCGTAGTCGCTGCAGATTTCTACTGAATATTTTATGCTGAAAAGAGGCAGTCTAGGTTTACAGGAAGTACTGGTTCGACATCAGTTAGCTTTGTTGCGAACTTGCGAATATTGTATATTGTGGCTAATTTTTAACATGAGTAGGCGTATGAGACCAGGAATACGTGATTCGGATTAGCTCTTCTTCCGGGAGAATAGGCGAAGGTAAAAGGTCAAAATGGACACTAAGGGAGGCACATGATCATGTTGCACAAGTGTGGCCTGGATAGACGGAGCTAGGCAGTGGGCACTGCCCACTCAGAAGCTGGTATTGTGCTGGCGTTATTGAAAATCTTGCGCCTGACTTCGATATGCTGCTAATTTCTAACATGAGTAGGTGTGCAAGATCAAGATTACATGCTGGGAATCTCGGATTACTTAGTTCCCGCTAAAGACGGTGGTGCGTTTTGTACTTGACGTATCGGGGGTGTCTAGGACGTGATCACCTAATGCGGACGATTCTGTTTTCGAAATTAAACCTACGATGTGGTGAACGCGTAGTGCGGGCGCTGCATGTTGCGCATATGGGGATCACAATCAGTTCAAACTGTATAAACAAATAAAAATAAAATATTCCGCAATAAATCGCATTTGCCGCAAAAACTTCTGCAGAATAGTTATCAGGAAAATTGCTTTACCATGAACAAGAAGACTCCTGTGCATTGTACCAGTTTTACCCGCCTTTTCTTGCTTCTGCTGTGTGCATTGCAACTGCCGCATTTTAGCTGTACATACATAATGTTCCGGTACGTATGCATTTTAAATTACTCCAGTTTGCCGGCTTTACTGCCGCATGAGGCGCGCTACTGATGAGAACGATTATTGATTTTAAAACTTGTACATGTACTCTGTATGTGAATAAGTCAAACACGTTCTGGGAAACTCTGCGTACCTGCATGAGAACACTCTTTCCGTAGCTTATAAAAGCAGTGTATTTAACTACAGTCATTCTGCTGTACATGTAACAGCCGCTTTTGCACATTTGTGAAGCAATAACGGTTAAATTCACGGCAGAAAAATGTAATTGCCCCAGGGCAAAAAGCACTAACATGCAGCAGTGTTTTCTAAAAACCGTGTTGCCATTTTAATTGCATGGCGCCGCAGAAGAAGGACCTTTTTAAAATAACGTGTGCAGTGAATGTGGATTCTGTCGCTGCTAATGTCAGCATCGGCAGAGACCGCATTACGCTGCACTGTCATCGTTAATTTTGCCAGCATTAATCTTAAAAATTGCTTCATCGTAACCGGAACGAATGCGTATGTTGTGCGTGTTCCCCAACTCCAGATTTTGTTAAAAATTCGCATCGCAGATGGGTCATTCAAAATGGCTTCGGCACGAATGGAAAGACTAAACCCGTATGTACAGTGTGGACTGCAATCATTGGCTGTCGCTCTGCACTTGTTAATCTCGTACGGCACTTGCGGATTCAGCGTTGTCTGCTTCCTTCTGTTACTTTTTACTCCCCTCCGCTGGATTACCGTTCTGTACGGCATCTGGTATTGCTACGACTGGAACTGCAGCTCCCGTGGCGGACGTCCATTACGCTGGTTATGTTCATTATCCGTATGGAATCATTTCCGCGACTACTTCCCTATCCACATCATCAAGACCGCGGATCTGGATCCCGGCGGCAAGTACGTGATGGGTGTGCATCCGCATGGCGCCAGTCTGGCACTGGGAGCGCTGTGCACTTTCCATACCGAGGCTTTGGGGTTCCGAAATCTGTTCCCCGATATCGATGTGCGGTTGTTGGCGCTGAAGACCGTCTTCCAGATCCCGTTGCTGCGCGAGTACGCGTTATCGTTTGGGACCTGTGACGTCAGCCGAAAGAGTATTGACTATCTGCTAAATCGCGGTGCCGGATCGGCGGTGGCTATTGTGGTGGGCGGGGGCAAGGAAGTCTTCGAGATTGATTCGAAGGACTACAAACTGGTGCTTCGCAACCGAAAAGGTGCGAAGCCAGGACTTCTGTTGTACATGTTCATTAGTTCGTGTATAACTATGCCGTGACGGTTTTAGGCTTCATCAGAACGGCGATTCAACACGGGCAAGTACATTCTGAATTGTAGAATTAAGATTTATTTGTAAGCTTTGGTAAAATGGATACAGTAAACTGTGTTGCAGGGCGCACCTGGTTCCCGTATTTATTTTCGGTGAGAACGACATCTACCGGTTGGCCTTCCCGCGAGGCTCCGTTGTCTACAAGGTCCAGCGGTTTATCCAGAAACACTTTGGAGGATGTCTGCTGTTTGTAATTGGAAAAGGATTATTTACGAAGGGCGCTGGACTGATGCCCTTTCGAAAACCCATAACCATGGTGGTCGGAGCTTCCATACCTACTGAACAAAAGTCAGATCCGTCTCAGGCAAGACTGACGACTGAGAAAGTCTTTGCTGTATCACAGCGAATTTTTGCGACGTAACACTTGTCTGTTTTGGGCAGTTAAGACAAGTACTTAGTTTTTGATTTTAAAATTTCTCTCGAGTAACTTAATAATACAAGACGATTAATTTTAGGCGGAAATTGACTTACTGCACCGGCATTACTTGGACAGACTGCTCGATCTTTTCGAAACGCACAAAGAGCACTGCGGTTATGCGGCCTCGAAGCTCTTCTTTATTGAGTAAAGCAGTGAAATCCGGTCATCCTTAAAGTTAAGATTAAACAAATTTGTACATGCGGTTGTGGGATGATTATGTCGTGATGTGTAAGCAGAAAAATAAATGAATTAAAGTTCCCATGTACATACTTACTGGCAGTACTGCTGATCCGGGAGGTACTGTACACATCGTAACACATGTACACAGAACTGTACATTCACAGACGGTCGAATAACAGAAAGGGAGAAGGGGAAGTTATAACTGAATTTTTTCAGTTAGATGCGGTTTTTACAAGCAGTTTAATACATATTCGAATGCAAAGCAGGGGATGTTTGCATTACTAAAGTAAGAACTGACCAGTAAGATCTCGGGATGCCACGCGTCACAAAAATGGATCGCCCGTCAAAGAGCGCTTGGTTCAACTGTTGGTATTGCAGTGTAAATGAATGTATTCTGTCTGTTTACAAAATTAATGGAATCGCAGTTCAAGGCTCAAACAACATCCGTGCTGTAATAAAAAATCCGGTTCAGTTAACATGGTATCAAATTATCAAAGTAAGTACAATAAGTACAGTACCAACCAGTATAAAAGTACGACTAACTGTTAAGTCTTTATAATTTTATAACAATTTTACTAATAAATTTAGTTATAACCAGTATAAAGTACGGTATTGTATGGTACGTAGTACTGTACTAGAAGACGTACACACCTATCAGTAGGTACATACGTTTGGTTAAACAGCTTAAAATTAATGGTTAAAAACTTAAAACTGAACAGCTTAAACTGGTAAACAGCTAAACGGCTGTCAGATTGGCGTCGGCTGAGAAAAGTCGGGATTTCATCTGGCGAGAACAGTTCAGTCAGATTTTTCGAATTTTCTGTTTAAACCTTCAACCTTTTTAAATTGTCTGACATTTTGGGAGTAATGTTTTTTTGCTACTGTTTACCGTTTTAAATTTCGATTTTTTCGCTCCAGCTGGCTCTAATTTTGATTTGTAGACTACAGGCAGAGCCTGTGAATGTACAGTAACTTTCGTCTCGTCCATTAGATTTCGCGAGATTTGTGCAATTTAAAAAAATCATGTCTGACGAACCTTCGTTTACCAATGCAGAACGTCGCGGCACAGTGCAACACATCGCCAGTCGGATGAAGTGTGTTCTGGCCAACGGGGAGCTGTGCGACATTAACTTCTCTGTGGGCCGCGATCATGGCGCCGAGCAGATCTTCCGAGCCCACAAGTGCGTGCGCCGTGCTGAGCAAAAGGTTACGGCTCACTTTCCTGTCGTGGCGTGATTGTGCTACATTGCAGGTTCGCTCTGAGCATCAGCAGCGATGTCTTCTATGCCATGTTTCACGGGAGCTTGGCCAAAAGCGATGTGGACGTCATCCAAATTCCGGAAATCCTTCCTGAAGCCTTCGCTAACATGCTCTGGTAAGTCAGCGTTAAAAACGCGGGCCTGTCAGTGCGATGCGATAGCAAGTTGCAGTGGCAGCTGCTACGGCGTGTTATTAGGTACACTGGGCGAACTATGCTTCCTTCATTTTCAGCTACATCTACACTGATTCCGCGGAGAATCTCAAGCCGGAAAACGTTCTGCAGACGCTGTACTGCGCGGACAAGTATGACTTGCCGTGGCTGGCGGACAGCTGCACAAGCTTCGTCATCGAGGAAATCAAGCCCACTAACTGCCTGTTACTTTTGGAAAATGTGAGTCTGTAGGTAAAATTAAAAATACTACCTAAAAGTAAAATTTGCAACATTGTTTCAGAAAATAAGTTTAGAGTAGTACTCAGTTGTTATGCCGTGCCGTGTACATTTCAATGGCTTATAGCTCAATTTCTTATGTACGCTTGGTAGCTGGCGTCTGGTAATCAGTAATAGTCTGGTGTCCGATAATCAGTAACAGTCTCTGTCATGAGCTGTCGGTTGTCATTGTGCAGTTCTGTGTAGATATTGCGTTGGGCGCCCGATTGTGACTGGATGGAGGAAATGTGCCTGGATGTGGTGGATGAGTCCAGTGTGGCCGTGTTCCAGTCGGAGCAGTTCACCGAAATCGGACGGGACACGCTGGAGATGCTTCTGCGACGGGATACACTGTCGGCGGAGGAAAATGTCATCTACGCCGCTGCGGAAAAGGTCAAGCTCCTGCAAAATTATGTTGAGAGTTGAAGTTAAATTGCTGCACGGTCTAAACCACAGTTATAGCATATTTTTCAAACTTTTAAAATGTGTTTCAGACTTTTAAATTTCATTTTAAAATTTGAAAAAAATGGTGCTGCTCTGGTTCGCTGTAAATACGATCTTCATAGTGAACTGTGTTCTTGTGCAGAATCTGAAAAAGATCATGAGACTTTGGGAATCTTGCGCGTACAAACGGTTTTACTCTAATGTACATAAATCTTTTGGCTACAGAATGTGATAACATGTGGTACACATACTCATCTTCAGTTGTTTGTCGGATTTGTACTCCGCTAAATTAACTTTCCACAGGGCGTAACGACTGTGCTGTTTCCATGTAGAGTGGTCTCCTGCATCCCGACGAAGTGTACAAGCTTTACCTGTACAAACATGGTGCAATCAAAGAACTGAAGTTCCCCGCGGCGCCCCGGGAATATGTCACCTATCACGTCCGGGTTGAAGAGTGGAACGGTGATCGGATTCACCCAGCCGACGAAAAGGTCTTCATCCTGCGTGTGGCATCCGGCCGCGGTTGTCGGTAATGATAAGGTGGATGCCAGTGTGCCAGCGGGTCTGAAGATGGCGGCGCCGGTGGGACAGTTCGCTTCGCCCATCCAGACTGTTCATTCATATTCTGAAGCGGGGCCAACCAGTGTCTGTCTACATTGACGGTGCTTTCCAGAAAGCGACTTATGGTCAACAGCGCGCTGGCCGCCATACCGTGAGCGTCGCCGGCCGGGAATATACTGTGGATTTTATGCAACTGCAGCTGACCATTAACAAGCGGAAGATGGATGAAATGCTGAGGGGAGACCGGGAGCGCCTTAAGCGTTTCCGGAGATCTTCCTTTTCACTTGTTGGTGACTCATATGCTGTATCTGTAGGGGAAGTTCGTCGTTTTGTGTTCCCCCAATGCTTCCCTCTTAAGACGTAGCGATCGCTCTTCTTAGTGCTTTGTTTCTTAGCGTTTCTTTGTGCTTACGGGGGAAGTTCTTAGTGATGTGTTAGATCTTTCTAAAAGTAGCGCTCTTTTTCGTCAGTATTTTTTGTCAGTTCATGTCTGTATTTTTGCAGTTGAGTGATTGATCACATTTCCCTTTTTACAATAATCCAGTTACGGTTCATGTCGTAATTCGAAATACGGCACTGGAATTGCGCAGATAATTTCCGCGTTGAGAAAACGTTCCATGGTGTTAAAAGAACGCGGCGTACCTGGAGTCGTTAGCGTTACGTAAAGTAGCGAAAGTCTTACGCAAAGAAAAACCGCAAAATAAACAGTACTCGTATAGTTCACAGTAAACAAAAATTATCTTCATGAATAAAACGTTTGGTCCACTTTAAATCCGTCTCTATGCGGAACAAATTAACTCAGATTAATCTATTTTCCACAAAATACCGCCTCTCATGTGATCCTTGCTATGTCTCGAATTAGGTTATCAAATCAGTAATGTTTATAGTTTGTGCACATTGGAAACAAACGTCAGCCCCAGTATTCGCGTACATAAGAGCTGTTCACGTTCCTAGTCAACCAAAAACTTAAACATACACCAATGCCATCAGGTTACTGCATGTTACTATCCGAGAAACAGCAAAACTGATTATCCGTACACCCATCCGAATTGGAAATAATCATGTTGGAACAAGTAACCTGCAACTGCGCTTCCGATACACAAATTCCCTTGGCCGTACTGGACAACCGGGGCGTGCACACCGTCGGGGTACGGACACTGACGTCTACCTGCACGCCGGGCGCAGTGATCACCCCCGCCTCTTTATTGGCCCCGCCCTCCTCCACCGGGGTCAGCATCACCCGGTGCCCGTTCATCATGAAGAACTGCGGAACGTTGCGCGTGGCTCCCGAGGAGTAGGACTGGTAGTTGGCCGGGGCGGGGGCGCTGTAGGACGGGTAGTTCACCGACGGGTACGTGCCCATGTTGTAGTTGCCGTAGGCGTAGGCGTTGTACGGCATGGTGGTCGTGGGAACCGTTGGTCGCGGGGTGGTGGTTGTTGTAGTGGTGGGTGCCGGGGTGGGAGCGAGAGTGGGCGCGGGGGTCGGTACGGGAGCTGGGGTGGGTGCCGGTGTCGCGGGGCGCGGTGTAGTGGTGGTGGGGCGAGCGGTGGTCGTTGTGGTTGGGACGGTTGTGGTGGGTGTCGTGATTTCCACTGGTGGCCGGGGTATGACTGCAATTAGGCAATTAGCACAAATCAGCAGTTAAACATGTACCCGATACTAGGTAGTTCCGTACAGTGCGCTGAACTGATCTTTACTCGGACCGCTACTACGGTGTAAAATAAATTTATGTGAAATTATTTCCGCGCCTGCAGTGCTTAACTACTGCAGGTATGCGCATAACTATGTTGAATTGATTTATGCACAGTAATTATAAAAATGATAAACAACACTAATCTGCGGGGTTCGACTTATGCCTACATGTGGATACTCGTATTACGGTATTAGGATGTTATTACAAATCTTCTTTAGCAGAATTATAAGGTGAATACAGTTAACAATTATCATTACGAACTCAGTATTGAAATATAAAGTGTTATATACATATAGAAGTATCGAAATAATCGCTTCACAATTTCCATAATAAATTTGCTTCTCTGTGGAAGTAGAACGCGGAAATTATCGCACAATCTGAATTTTGTAATTTTAATTGCCGAAATGGGAAACATGCACTTATGTTTTTTAGATTCGTATGAATGCGCTGAATGTGTACTTAACTAACTTATGTACGTATCAATACGATTAGAAATTATTGAATTTTTACATCATACCAGAGGACGTGAAAGTTATTGCCCATTACTGGCATAGGTCAATTGCTCTGTGTAAGCATTACGCGACGCGCAAGCGGCAGTCGGGTAAAAAAACATGACGTCACGGCGCGTAAGCAGGTAAACGATTTGATTGGTAAACCAGAATTCTGGGATGGGTTTTCAGTTTACCCGTCCGCGTAACCGTTGCGCTTCGACGTCGAAGCGCAACCGTTACCCAAACTACGAGTAACTCGTAACTCTCCTGCCCAGATCAACAAAATTTTTGTTTTTTGAACCAAAAGTGCATCCAGCGACCCAGATTGACACTTCTAAACTCAGAATCAACTTTTTTGACGTTTTACCGCATTAAAGCATCAAAAACAGATTTTTCAGTTCCACTTCAGTTTTTCCGTTGTTCAATTTCTTTCTTGGCACGGAAGCGTACTCGCCTTACGATTGGACGATATTTTTTTCGCTGAGTCATGGACAGATTTTTACCCGTTTCTCCGTTACCCGACGCGCATCGGTTACCCAAATGCAATTGACCTATACCACTGTACGTAAGTATCTCATATCTATATGTGATCGTGTTTAGTATTGTTTAGTTACGTAGCTATTAAGTATTACTGGGCATAACTTACACAAGCCCCATCCCTGCATTGCCAAGGGCACCGGATGCACTCCCGGCTCCCAGTATCCACTCAGTCCTCCTCGTCCCGGATACCCTCCATACCCGGCATTGGGCATGCCATGTCCTCCATCATTATCCCCGCCGTATCCCGATCCAAAGTGGCCGGAATCCGCTAGCGAATTACCCTGCGCACCGGATGTAAACTGATTACCGAACTGCTGCCCAGGCTGTACTGACCGGAACTGATTGAACTGGTTAGGCAAGTTAGGCATAATCGGCATTTCCGCCGGCTGCTCATTGGCCACGTTGAACGGGGACACTGGCGCGCCGCCACCGGCGGGCGGAGCCGGTGCCGGCCGGGCGGCTCCTGCATTCACTGGTGGGGCGTCCGTGTTGAATTTCGGGCTGACGAGGTCATCGGCGATGCCGTTGGGAATCTGCAGAGCACCGGGGGCACGCGCGCCGACGGGACGGGATAAACCGCCGGTATGGGTGGCTAACACTTCACCACCGAACCCACCGAAGGTCCCCTGACATTCCACAAACCGGGGAATAATTAATACATTAAAAATTAATAATATTTCCCACAATAAACGCATTATAATAAATAGAGAAAAAATGATGCGTTAACCGGCGAAATTAATCACAGTAAACGCTGTGATTGAAAATAATTACACGATTGCGAAGAGAGTTGCAGCATCTCCGTGATGTTGCATCGTCACTAATCATGTTCAACGCTTTTATTTTATTACAATGATGGATTGGCCTTCACCGCTTCCGTGTCATGTGCAGTATAATCGGAAGACTGCAGAAAATCATCAAAAATGACCATAAAACTTTAGTGTCAAACACGCTTAATTACATCTCTTTGATGTACACATCGTGGGAAAGCGAAGAGATGATATTGTACCGTACGCGGTAGAGTTCGTGGCCTCCAGCAAACTGTACTATTGTGCTGACAAAAACGATGCAATTGTGACTGCAATATGTTATGATCCTGCCTGTCGATCATATACGAGTACTTGTACTTTTTTACAATGCAGACGATATGACAGTACTTACAGTGGTCGCAGTTATATCATCCCGCTTAGCTTGTCAGAATCTTGAATTCTAAGCACTGGCAAACAATGCAGTTTGTCGTAAATAAGTACAAATCCAGGAAGATTAAGTCATATGTACATACGTAGTGAACGAATTGCTGTATTTCAACACGATAATTATAATATGTACATTTTACGAAAAATAATAAAACGATCAAGGTCGGTGTTACCTGCTTGCAGAAGGTTATAGCTTAATTAATACAATGCGTAATCATTACCTCAATTTTGCACTCAATACACCGTATGCTAACTTCCATTATATAAAAACGCAAGCTCGCTTCGCTCGCTTGCTTGGTGAACAAAAGCATGTATTGTACTGCGCTGAATAATTTGTACTGTACTTAAAATTTTAACAGTGACGTAGTGGGCCTGCGCTTGCACTTCTTGTTACTTTGACGGCTATTGCCTATTAAAATATATTTGTACTTACTAGTTACTATCGAAGGACTGTGCACACTGCTGCGTTTCTGCAGTTTATCTGCAACAAAAAGTTTTGAAAACAGTGTTTTTTTGCTTTTGTGTATAATAATTATGATCATTACTCATACATACTGTGAAATCATTACTGGTATTGTCAAACTGCAAATGTGGGATGTGAAAAATAGTTTTATATTTATAAATATCTACTATTTATATCATTTATTATTAAAGTAGAATATTTTACTGCGAATACTGAACTATGTATCATATAGATATTCGTGGCTGCTAAAGTTTTTTAAAGACTTACACCATTTGTCTGCACAATGTGCGTAAACATCTGCATCTACAGTATGATTATACCAGATAAAATGAACTGCCTTTATCAACTGCAAATTACAGTACTGTACGTCAGTGACGTACAGCACTGTAACGTTTACGCCTTAATTTGTAGCTTCCATTCTCTGTGCCGCAACTAGCCTAATTTGTTAGAAAATTTTCGCACTGGGGAACATAATTATATCCAATGCGGCATCAACTGCCTTTACGTAATTGGTAAAGTGGCTTTTTCTTTGGTACAAAGTACGAGCTTTGTTCGGGTAACTGCCGGCTACCTTGACGCACCGGAACCGCAGCGGCATATATCGATATCGGTTAATCGAAAGTGGAGATGCTAGTAAGAGAGGGATACATATAAAATGTACAGTATATCTCCTTCCAACAAATCAATAATATTTCGAAATGTGGCGTTTAATACCGCTGAAGTATTCCGCCGCTAAACGTAACCGCCAGTAAACTTTGCCTCAAAATTTCAGCATAATGCTGGCTAATCTTTCGATTTTATTTGCAGATGGACAATGCGGTTCTTTTACATTCAGAATCCTTATGTTTCCGGTGAAAGGGGATGATATTTGGGTGTAAAATACACCTGCACATGCGATATCGCAGGTTACTGTCGCGCTTATATATTCGCCGCTGGCCAGAGTTGGCCACGCGGCAACTGCCCTCACAATATGTTATTAAGTATAATTGTTATAACTGGATTTACCGGCATCCAAGCCGCGCCTGTGAATTTAATCATTATTACCATTGGTGATAATCCGTCGTATGGGTATTATGCCGCGGCACCGTATTTTGACGGCGCACTGCACGTGGCGGAGGAGCGCTATCCCCGCGTTTTCAGCAACTACTCCAAGCAGATCTTCCACAAACCCGGTCTTCCGGCGTGTCCCGATGCGGCGGCGGAAATGTTCGCGGTGACGGGCGAGATTTATGATGCCGTTATGAGGACCGATGGCTTCACTATGCTTCTCTCGCCAGGTCAACTAGCAAATGTAACAAACGGCGCAATGTTACCCGCTTAAGTGTTCCTCCAATTTCATTATTATTTTTACGATACAAGAATTCTTGTGCAGCAGACACAAAGGGACTTCAAGTCTGCTTGACTGTCGCCTTCTCTGTATCCATAAAAAATTTGCAGATGGTTTCATAGTTTCCGTTTTTAGGAGCAAGATATTATATGCATACGTCGGTATGTCTTTTCGTACAGTTCTCTCATCAGGCGAATTCGTTAGCGTTGGTTTATTTCGTAGTTCTTGTGGAACGCCTTCAAAATTGCTACTACTTTATTATTATTTACTTCTCCACCTGCACACAATACACTTGATAGCAATACACTCGAATCAGGTGGCAACATAAGTACACGTGGCGGAAGAGCGATTAAGTTACCAGACGGATGATACGAGTACTTCCCGGGAAAATTCCGTTTGGTGAATGTCTTAAGATTAGCAGTTGCAACATTAATTCCTGCAATTTCTCTCGCACACTGAAATGAAAAAAATAAATTTCAAATTAGACCAAACATGATTGGTGTATAAATAGAAGTTTTGGTTTTAAAGTTCATTTTGAGCAGGGTCACGCAAAGGCACACTATTTTGTCCTAATGAAATTATTTTTTTAAGAACTGAAGTTCCAAAGCAGGTACACGATGAAAACATCTGCTGAAACTTTCTATAGCATGAATACAGTCAAATTATTGTAAGCAACTTGGCGGTTTTTATGAATTACGCTGTTTATGGCTTAATGGTGTTTTTTTCGGTGGCTGTTTCCTGTCCCCAGATGCACTTGCACACAAATAAGCCGACTAGTAAAGCTGTAATCAATCGAAATCCCGGATGACTCGCTTACGTGATACGTTAAATTATGCAGGCAATTATTTACGTTTCCATATTACATGTATGTATCTTTGAAACTTGAAACTTCGCGGAAATTCAAGGAACATTGTAATCATGCTATTTTATAGGTTGCAGTCCGGAACTGATGCCGCTCGGGGATCTGGCACGAGGTACAGATAACTTATTTACCGGCGCATTGACTTTGTACTGCACAAATTACCGACATCAATCCCGGCATGATATTACAGACAACATTATGTATTTACAGAAATTGATGTCCCTCTTTTGGCAAGGTACAAGATCACGCAAACGTTTAATTGACTGCGGATCCACGGTAATAAATTATGGATCTATCGACAGCACATCAGCCGATCCCATGTTCGCCAACCGGAAACGCTATCCTACCATGTTGACCTTTGGCGCGGTGGGGCAGGGGGCGCACGCGGCGGCGGCGCGAGCGTTCCTCAGGTACTACAGATGGAAGACACTGACGTTGTTCTGCGATGATCTGCTGAAATACACCAGTATCGCGGCGTTCTTGTCGGCCAACTGTCGCGCCATGAAGACGCTGTTTTCGGTCCCCGGCGAATTCGAGTTCTACATGGAGAGCTACGATTCCAGATCGAATCCCGACTACGAAGCACGTTTGCGAAGAGCCCGATCACAAAGCCGAGGCAGGGATTTATTTGAATACTAATTAACATTATAATTCACATTAGGTTCATTCTTTGTTTTTGGCTTGCAGTGATAATTCTGTTGACCCGCGCAGATGAATTGCGAAAAATAATGGCAAGTTCTTATATTACGCCTATCAGTCTCAAATTGTACTGTCAAGCGATATTATTTTTTAATTTTTTATTCTATCGTTTTTTCGAATATCGTCTTTAATTTCTGAGACGTATTGCATATATACATTACAGATAGAAAACTTGTTAATCCCGAACAACAAAATTTCATCCATTTTCATTTGTATAATTTGTGCTGCGTTCCAGATAACAGCCCACAAACTTGGAATGGCGAAGGACGAATTTGTAAGTCGGTCGGCAGTGACATCCTCACAAAACAAGGATAGAAAGCGTAAAATCATAACACGCCGCATTTCGCGATGCTATTGATAATGCTGTGCTGGCGCCTTACTTTCATTGGAAATTTAAAAGTATCGGCTGGCATATATACTACAAGCAATAGTCAATTAACCATAATAAATATAAAGCAATGCTGTTTAATTTGAATCGCTTTAAGAAGGGTCAGCAAGTTAGCCTATATTTGTCGGGTTGGTGCAAAGCCTATAAAATACCTATTTTGTATTCTATAGAAGAGGCTTTGGTAGTGTTTGCAAAATAAGTTACTGGGACAATTTTTGTATTGCCATTGATTGGTTGTTGGTTTTAAGGTGTTCCTTCACACAATTCCGATACAAGGCCCAGAATATCTGCCCTTGACAATCGATACCGGCGCTCCTGACGATGACGTACGCGTCAATACAGCCGCTGATTATTGCATTTATTTGTACACATATGTATATACCACACTGATGAGCGTAAAAACCTGATTGTTGGGCAGATTGTCTTCCAAGCTTACAAACATCTGGTTACGATGAGTTTCCACCTGCCTGACTATAACAAATTGTCCCCGTTTATCGAGACGGTGGCCCGGGATGCAGAGCGCAACTACTCCCATCCCTACAGCCTGGATGAGAAAGTAATGCCGCATCATTTCCGGTCGGCGATGAATTTGCTGTAAATCTGTGGGTTGTCTTTCGCAGAACAATGAAATAACGTTGGCGATACCGGAACTGATCTATGCTATTGGAACGGTGAGGATAATGACAACATAATCTTCCTAGTAGAATTTGTACGGGTTGCCCGGGCCGTAACGTTGTATTTCCCATGTACCCGTATATAACAGCTGTGTAAAGAATGACATCCCTACAAATGGAACTTGCAAAGCGTAAAGCGTGTACTGTGACATTACTGCGAAACGTATGAGAACCCAAAATTAATTAATTGCTGATACAACACTTAAGTGTTTATTTTGTTTTACACAGAAAACGAATATTTACCCGTCCGCTCTTCAACTCTTACCCCGCTTTTACACTTAACTACACCAAATAAACTTTAGTAATATAGTAAAAATAGAGGCGTCACGGTATTCGCAGCAGGACAAATTTAAATACAAGAGATTACATAATAAAATATGAAACATACGTATATACGTTTCATAATAGGTGCTCAGTGAATCAGCGCTTCCAGTGGACCGAATGACTACCAAACACTTTCGACAAGCGTTTCTCAACAAGAGTTTTGAAACCGGTATCCGGCGCTTAATGATCGGCTCGGATGGGATGCGGATGTCCAATACAATTTATTCGCGTCTAAACACCACGACCCGACAATTTGAGGTACGTGCTTGCTTTTCTCTTGCATAATTTTATGCAAGTCATCAAATTAGATGCCTCTCATAGCCGGCTTGGTATTACGACTTTCCATCGAAAATCATCAGCAAGACATCGATCCTGGCGGATGAATGGAACGGTGTCTATGCAGCACCGGCTAACGAGCCCACCTGTGGATACCGGCACGACCGGTGCCAGTCAGAACAAAACGGTAAATTTAATGTCCGCTTGATCGCCTACAGAAACAACGGTAAACTGCCTGTGGAATGACATTTTATGGACTATTCGGCAGACATGCGAAGCATCATTATTGGTTGCATCTGCGGGATCCTAATTGTGTGTGCAGCTGGATTCGGTTATGTCTTCGGTTTTGTGTAAGTGGCCGACAAACATTACGCAAACACGGATTTTATTGACCTTTAAAATGCAAAAGGTCATCGACTGGCTCTACAACGGCCTACTTTGCCTTGTGCAATATCGAACCACATTGGCGTTTTACTGACGATTCACGCGCTGCACGTGTCGGTCTGTCATTTTGCTATAATTTGTTATTGACATGATTTCAGACTTCGTCGCGGACCAATCGACTTAAGCAATTGGTGGCATTTGGAAGGCGAAGCTCTGCAATTTCCCTTTTCAAAAAACATCAGTACAACAAGAAAAGAAGACAGTTTGATACCAAAATACGATTCCGTAATATCCATGGCGAAACTGGGAGGGGAAATCGTTTGGATGCGCAGCGAACCAGTTTTCATAACACAAAATGATTTACTAGCTAATCATCCCTTACGAGTTCATCTTGCTCAGGTGCGTCAGTTAATGACAGAGGAAATAAGAAAAGCCATTGCGTTGTATTCTACGCAGCCGACACAGTTTCGTTACAGTTGCGCTTACTGCGCCACGATAATGTCGGACATTTTGTGGGCCTCCATCTTGCCAAGCAGAAGCTGTCCATCGTGTGGGAAGCCGGTCGGAGGACAATGCGGAGTTTATTCTCCAGTGAAACTATAGTATCGGACGCAGCTGTCCAACTGTTCTTTATTTTCAACGTCCTTACGGTAAACTTCGAAATTTTATCGCTTTCGTAGCAGATTTACCATCCAAGAATTTGTAGGGTTTGGCTTATATCCATGATGCATCATCAGCGTTCTTCCATGGAAGCCTATCTAGCTTATGCGTTGTGCTGGATAGTCGTTTCACTGCCAAGTTAGTCGATGTCGCTTCCATCGTCGTAATGCAATCGGTATCCAAGAGCAGCCGGCTCTCCAAAACCGATGTCCTAATGCCACCGGAAAATGATAATCCCGAATTTTGTGGCTCAAAGGAAGCCGATTTGTACGCATTGGGCGTGCTTCTCATCGAGATTTGCAATGGAGTTAAAGCAACGCCCGATGATCTACTGAAATTTAGTAAGACATGCAGCTGATGGAATAAAGACTGCAATCAACCAAACGAAAGTGTTGCACAATACGAAATCAAAGCCAGCCTTGGCAGTTTTATAGTGCGCATGAAAAAAGGCCACTACTCTAGGCTGTATAAACAAGGACCTTATGTGTACAAAACTACTCTTTTTGCAGACACAGCAAGGCTTTTCTAAGTCCCCTTTCCAAGACCAGCTCGGAAAGGTCATCAGTGAATGCTGTTTACTGAACGCGCGATCGCGACCGACCCTGAAGGCGGTTATGGCAAAGCTGGGAAAATATCGACCGGGTGGCACAATTGTTAGCAGCCTGCTGAACCGACTGGAGCAGCACGCGGAAAATCTAGAGAACATCGTGGCCGTGCGAACCCAGGAGCTGCTCAGCGAACGGGCCAAGGTCGACGCACTCCTCGGCGAAGTTATTCCACCGTAAGGCAACATTTGCTGGCAACCCATAATGCGTAAAGAGCAGTATAAAATTGGACGGTATGTTTAAAGGTCCCTGGTTCCGAGTTTGCGAAACAAGGTCCTTGTTCCACCGGAGACGTACGACTCAGTGACCATCATGTTCAGTAGTATGGTGGGATTCGATGTGTTCTGCAGTTCATCGGCACCGATCGATGCCCAGAATTTTCTCAACGATCTGTACACGTTTATGGACAGTCAGCTGCTGACGTTCGACGTGTATAAAGTAGAGACGATTAAGGATGGGTACGTGGTGGCGAGCGGCGTACCTATACGGAATTATGATCACCATGCGACCGAGATCGCAGCGGTGGCATTAAGGATTTTAAGGAACTGCACACCTGAGAGTCTTAAAAAGTTTCTGCCGATACGCATTGGAATACACACAGGTTAGATTTTCTTTCCAGTTTCTTACGCCATTGAGTCCCAGACCTGGGCAGTTATAACTTAACTCTATAACTTAACACGAGTTATCGAGTTTTAACGTAACTCTGCAGCGTAACTCGCTACCCAAAAAACTTTACTCTAACGTAACTCGCCCAAAATTTGTATACATTGTGTATGGTAGCGTAACTCGCGGTATAACTCGAAACTCGGTTTTACTTGCATAAACAGCGTAATTCGTAGCGTAACTCGCACGCTACCTGTAACTCGTAACTCTAACGGTGGTTGCATTTTCCATAACTGCCCAGGTCTGCGCCATTCTAACTGACTTTGTAGGAACTGAACGGTTTCGCTGCAGGTCCCATTGCTGCAGGATTTGTCGGGCTGAAAATGCCGAGATATTGCCTGTATGTTAATTACAAACTGAATAATGTGTTTGTCATTTATTTGCCCGTTAACAGAAATTACAGATACTTTGGATGTAGGTTTGGTGACACCATGAACACTGCCAGTCGCATGGAAAGCCATGGCGAAAGTACGTTTTCGCATTTTTGAGTTTGCGGCTTGTGCGCTTTAGAGAATAACGGTTTTTGCAGCTTTAAAAATTCACATTAGTGAAGAAACGGCTAAGCTTCTTAAGCGTCATCCACGTTTTGTACTGTCTTCCAGAGGAATTATCACAGTGAAGGTCAGTTGTCGTTGCGCCTCGGTAACGTATAAAAGAAAGATAATGCACCATAGCTTTACCATATTCTTATTTTTTGTTTTGTGTTTGTTTTTAGGGAAAAGGGCAAGTGGAAACATTTTGGCTTGTACAAGAATCGTAACTAGCCACAGCAATAAGAAAAAAATGCATTTTTCTTAATACTGTTGCACCGATGTTGATAGCGTTGTATGTGTAATACGACAAAAAAACAAATTATGTATTTTTATTTTCGGTTGTGATAGAACCGGCAATTTAGTAATATTTGTGACAATGAGCTTTGACAAGTAAGTAAAGTTTTCGAGTGGTGTTTTGGCTGCGATGTATTCCTGCCTGAAGAAGTCTGCGCAAGCGAGGCTGTTGCTTAAAACAAACTGTTTATTTGGTTTGCGGTAAATACCAATGAACTGCAGAATTGTCTGCAAAATATTTTCTTCTTTCCGGTTGTGATTCACGGCTTTACCAAGTTACCGGCATGTGAACAGCAGGCGATGTACTTAGTATTATTTACTGAAAACCAGACTGGATTCTGTTGGCGGCTTTTTGCTCTTAATACGGCATTAATGGTTGCCGCTCCAAGCAATCAAAACATTAACTTAATTGGTTAATTACGGTACGCTACATTATATTTGCAAGCAGCATGTGTAGTCATTCACATTTTGCGCATGTAACTAACGCTGTGTGCCTGCAACAAACGGCATTAACGATAAGTATTATAACTGAACACAGTACAAAGGAGCATAATTAATTGTCAGCAGAAAGTTTCTGCCGAAACTATGACTATGTCCTGCTATAAGTTGGCAGGATTAATCGTCTTGATATTCTTTCAGTACCAAGTGGTTTTAGCCGGCGTGTCGCGAGGTAAGAGCAATGTACTTTGACAAGCGCGATATCACGTTACCCTCTTCGATGTGACAGTAACAGAAATTTTTGTCCCATAGTCACATTGAAACCGTGTCGTATTTTAGCTGATAAGCCGTCATTCTCGTATACATTTGTTGTTAGTGATATGATACCGTATTACCGTATACAGCAGAATCTATTGCCAATCTGCCGTTCTAAACAGTTATTGCAATAATTTTGGTAACAATTATCTATAGATACAACTATTCTGTCTGTCAATTACATTGCATAACGCTCAAAGTGTTTGGTCGTCGACTTTACTATAGCGACCGATCAGCAATCGGATGAACGCTGTAACCGCAGAGTCGTCGCCTACTACACCTCATGGGGCAAACGCGAAATCACCAGAGAGATGATGAGTTATGTCACCCACATCATCTACTCATTCCCATCCATGTCCTCCAACGGTAGCCTGTGGTTCGCCAACGGATCCGATATTCGCTTTAACAACCTGATGAATTTACGTGGAGAGCATCGTTATCCAAAGATTACGGTGGCTATCGGTGGATGGGATAATCGGGAATATTTTACCAATCTTTCCAGGTCGGGTGAGGCTTTCCATGCATTTATTTCGAACTTGAAAGAGATTGTACTTCGATATAAACTGGACGGGATCGACGTTGACTGGGAGTTTCCCGGCGATCATCCCGATGATAAATGGTTGTTTATACTGTTTATTCGGAAGATAAGGGATTATCTGGATATGTGGAGTGCGGAATCGGGACACCAACGATACCTACTGACGTACGCAGGTAAAATTTGATTAAGCGATTCATTAAGAGAAAAACAAAAAACAGGCCGTTCTGTGAATGATGGATAGCGTAAACAATCGTTTAAGTGTTTTTGGTAAAACTTGTTGTTGAATGAGTTACCGGTGTTAGGACCCGCAGGCGATACGATGAAAGGCTTCGACCTGCAACGTCTATTCGACACGGACGCTCTCGACTGGATCAACGTGATGACCTACGACTACTTCGGTCCCTGGGTCAACAGCAGCGCCGGGCGCCGCACCGGTCCACCGGCGCCGCTGTTTTTCAACGGTCCTGCGAACTATTACCGGTGGAACGTCCACTGGACGATGGAAAAGTACGCCTGCGCCGTCAAAGATTGGAATAAACTGGTCGTCGGGATTCCGTTATACGGTCGCTACTGGACCGACGTCAATCCGACACCGCTGAATGACTCAGATCCCATTTGGCGCGAGATGAACGAGGATATCCTTCTGGAGAATCACATTCCCTGGTACGATATGAAAGAGAAATACCTGGATAACGGCTACGTTCCGGGGTATAACGATAAGGTCATGGGAGCGTATGCATGGTACGCGAAGAACCAAACGTATGTTGGGTATGAATCGCCGGAGAGTGCCAGTGCCAAAGTGGAGTACGCTGCCGCTGCGGGACTTGGTGGGGTTATGATGTGGACTATTGACTACGACGATGACACACTGTCCATGCTGAAAGCCATACGGAAAACTGACATTTGTGCGCAATCAACCGAAGCGTTCAAAGTTCCGGAGTATCGGTGTTACGAACCAAGATGGTGGTCTTGGTCTAAGGAAAATATAAATAAATTTGGATTGTGCGGGGTTGCGGCACCGCTGTTGAACGGACTGTATCCGGTGTGCGATTCCCTGGATGTTGCGCATTCCTGCTGTGGAAGCGAAGGGCGGTGTGGAACGGGAAAAGCGTTTTGTGATTGTCCCGACTGTGTTGATTACGGTCGGCATCCAGAAAAGATACTGAAAAATAGTAAAGCACCGAGCGTGAATGAAGTTCAGTGGTTTACGTCCGATCTGAAATATTTTGGACGATGCGGAGTAAATGCCCCGTTGATCAACGGAACGCCGGCTATCTGCAATCCGGATAATGAGAAAGCGTACTGCTGCTCGGATAAAGGACGGTGTGGAACGGGACTAGAGTATTGTGATTGCGAGGGCTGTGTTAATTTTAGAGAGAACCCGGCGTTCCGGTACAGTAAACAGCGGGCGGAGATTAGAAAGTGGTGGACATGGGAGAACGGATCGGAGCATGTGGGACGGTGTGGACTGTTAGCGCCCCGAATCGATGGGGAGGTGGCCGGTTGTGATCCGAAAAGTGAGAAGGGGTACTGTTGTGGGGCGTTTGGGTATTGCGGGTCTGGGGAGAAGTTTTGTGATTGCGAAGGATGTGTAGATTATCGGTTTCTGTGATTTTTATTGAGTAAAAAATACTTATACCGAAAATTTTAATTTATTGCGTGCTACTTTGTAATACGTACAGAGTTGTATATGTATAAATATCGGTGTGAATTTCGAGTGTTGTGGTGGCACAATGTTTGCTGATTTGCATGTATTAAAGAAGTAGTAACTAGTAACACATCGTTAATGATACAATCATGACTGATATTCCCGGTACATAGTCCTCAAAATATATTATTATGAATGCCGTGAATGTATAGGTAGTACGGCATATGCGGTAAACGATCGCACGATTTCGAAATTTCTTTGTTCGTTAATATCCGGTTTCAAAATGACTTTTAAACGTACAAAATTTTGCTAGAATATTAACACAGCTGTATATTGCGAAAAGTTTTGAAAAAAATGTTCGGAAACCTGCGCTCTTGTATGTTCGCAAATGTTCTCTTAACAGACAACGCAAATTTGCAGCCGTATAATTTAAAAAAAATGATATGTATAACTGCTCAGACGTTATCAGTCCGCGCCGAAAGAGAATTTACATAAACAGACATGCGCCCACCCGTGTGTATCATACGGAGCTTTTTGTAAGCCACTACCGGCGAAACCTACAAATCCATCGTTCCACAAAAATGTTGTTAATACGGCATGGGTGACACTGGATGTTAGCATGCGCTCAGACAAAAGCAGAAATTCGTCAATATTATTCCGGCAAACTTAGATCTCGACGTAAGCATGTAGACCATGAATACCATCACAAAGTGCACCTACGTACAGATAGAGAAATAACAAAGCCCGGTTACGACTGTTAGACTCCTGATGGGCCTCGAAACAACTCGGGCTTCCAGTACACTGTCCGCTCCCGTCGTCCCAGCTGAGATGAATCTCTGATTACCCCACTCTGTCCATCAATATCTGCTCATTTCCTGCTCATCCCGCTGTCAGGCTACATTCAGAACGGGGTTCTGAATGTAGTCGGACAGCGGGATGAGCAGGTGGGCGGAAGTGGCCAGGAGGACCGGACGGAGGTTGTCATCTTGAGGCAGAGAGGGGTTGTATCAGGCAGAGAGGGGTTGTAGCCGACGGGCGTGGCTGTGCGACAGGCTGGAGTAGAGCGACTGGCCAGGTGGCGGCTGGTATTGCGCCGAAGAAAAGCGGTGCCGGTGTAGGGCAGGCCGGTGAACAGGCCCAGGGCCTGATCACCGGTCTGTCCTATACCGGCCGCTGGCGCGCGCCAGCGTCAATCGCGTCAGAACGAGGTTGCCGTGTGCGTGTTCCTGTAGGATCCGTGTTAACGTATTTGATATCATATCAGCAAAGTTAATAAGTTTAAATTTATTTTGATAAGCGGGCAACACATTCAGGAGCGCAACGAGTAATGACATAATTGTTCAGTCAAGGTATATTTAAATATGACTAATTATCCCAGTTACTAAAATACCTGTTATAGAGTAGACATTACGCAGTTAACATTACGCGTTCAAGATTTGTGCCTACAACTTAATTATTTACAAGTCTTTTCAGACATTGTTCGAATGCCAATTACGCCAATATGTTTGATCGTACTCATAAACCAATATGTTACTAAAATTGTTGATGGTAAGACTAAAAAACTACGTGGGGAAGAGGTGTTCGGTTGTGGCTCTATTGAACTTTACCTGGCTACTTTACGTTCAAATAACCTTCTGTAATATTATGTTACCTCGACTGTTCTGCCATCTGAATGTTGTTTTTTTATTTGTTATTCTTATTATTATCTGACCAGACTAGCAAGTGCCTCAGGGTTTGTCTGTTCTTGAATAAACTAAACTAAACTAATGTCGACATATTAATTCGCTAACTTTACAATAAACCTCTGCGGCCGAACGACATAATTAAATAAATGTATGTCGAGATAAACACTAAACGCAAACCGAAAATTAAATGACAAGAAAAAGAAGGAATCAATTATAAGAATATTAATTTTTTTTTTAATTGAGCTCTTTTTTTAATTGAGCTCTTAATTTTATTTTTTTTTAATTGAGCTCTTTTTTAATTTATTTCGTTGATAAATAATAACAAAAGATATGTCACCCGAATTAAAATAACTGAATTTACAGTCTGTGCCAGCCTACGCATTATACTGTGCCAAGGGCTGCTCGCACAAACATGTGAAAGCAACGATAAGATTATGGCTGAAAAAAAATATATACAAGTCGGGAACAAGTTGGTACTGTAGCGCAACAGTAAATATGTACGACTGAAATTATGACGAAACGCAATTATCACGAAAACAATTATGGTGCGTCGAGAAAACAAAATGCTGGACCGCAGTGTTAATTGCTTATAATTATTTAAGGACAGTACTCGTAGTTTACCAGTAATTTGAAGGCAAGTGGACAGCGCGGCGGCCACGGCGTACAGGATGGCGACTCGAAAGGATCCCTCTGTGACAAAGATGTGGTGTAAGGAATACGGAAATATAGAATCATGATAGTGTTGTTCTGTCGTCAACTGTTGACGGCAGTTAAAGGATTCAGCCTACAATACGTACATATAATATAGCTATCCAGTCGACGAATAATTTTGTGTTACAGCCGGAGCGTACTTACAAATCCGGCCGTTCATCGTATTACCATAATCCGTTTGCGTGAAATTTATGGGTGATTGTACAAGGGAAAAAATATATTTGTATTCTGTTGGATGAATATTACTTAGTACTTCCATACGTATGGCAAAATAATCGACAAAGCAAAATCAGCATGGGTAATTCATGCACCGGATCCCGTCATCTGGAAATCGTTACTTAACCACAACTGCCACATTGTCCTGGCATTTCGAATCTTCCGATACGAGTACGTATTTAAATGCGATTTCTATCCTGAATCGTGACAAACAATCCGACGGCTCTTTTTTTGATCGTTCTCTGCAGCATATTCACAAGAATCTATTGCATCGGTTAACTGCATTCCTTCTGATAATATCCCTATTGGAAGTTTTCATGTTGTTGATATTTATTTCGGCAGATTTCTTAGTACGTTTGATAACACGTGATATGTGTCAGCCACAATACCGTATTTTTTTTGCTGTGTACAGCAAGCACAAGTTTGCCCGTCAACCGCAATTTTTTTTATTCTTTCCAAATGTGTTTTGTGCTAAATACGTACTGTTTAACCGAAAGAACGTGACCTTGAAATAATATTGATTTTCTAGTTTAATTAGACAAATGCCAAATGAATAGACGAATTTCGCGATTTCGACATCAGTCTGTCTGTAATACTCGTGCATATACGGCACGCCACACTAGGGTTGAAATTCAAACGACTCTTGGTCTTTTTTGAAATGATTTGAAATGAAATTGATTTGAAATGAAATGATTTGAAATTTGAAATTTAAAAATGAATTATTTTATTAATTTTTTATTCGGATATTTCGAAAAATTTTTCCTGGTATAAACAGGGATATTAACGGAATGGTTAACAACAACAGTTTTTTCACTGATTTTATCAACAATTTCACTTTATTGTAAGAACTTTTAAGCAGATTTCATGGTTTTCTCCACTCAAAAGTAATTAAATAATACTTTAAAGAAAATTTTCTTCCATTTCAAATCGTTTCAAACGCATTTCACGTGGTTTCATAATTTCAAATTTTCACATTTCAAATCACATTTCAAACGGACCCTCGTTTGAATTTGAAATGATTTGATTTGAAGCTTGAAATGTGAAATGTTTGAAATTGTGATTTCAACCCTACGCCACACAAACAATCAATACGTTTGTTAAGTGTCAAATATGCAATTGATAACAGGAAAGGACTGATTATTGTCATCGGTACGTTTAAAAAGAATTATATTTACGCGAGAACACAGCAAAACACCACATATTTTTTATTGCCCTGTCCAAGGTCTGCTTTTGTCGTTTTATAGTCGTTTGCAATGAGTAGCCGTAGTACCGAGGCACTAAGAAGTAAGAATCAACTGCAGACATGAGCACTAGAATACAGTCGCACACCATCAGTTGCTGAGAAAACCAAGCATGACACCACCTGTCGGCCATTTAATTCCGTATATTCGTAACTTCTGGAATCCCGTGTCGAATTTGAGTGCGGCGAAATGTCATAGCAATTAATTTTTTGGATTTCATAGCAGACAGTTCGGTTATTTATAGAACCTTTACTATTCAGCCTTTTAGTTTTTTTGTTAGGAATCAGACAGACTATTTAACATATTTCGTAGTAGACAGCTTGGTCATTTCTGGAATATTTGCTATTCAGCTTATTTTTGTTTGGAACACCATATTCAGATTCTCACGCACAGCACAGCTGACGACTTTGAATAATCATGTTGGATGCAACGCTAATACGCCTAAGGAGCCGGTAGTGCTGTAAATACAGGCAATTCTAAAGAAGCCGACTAACCCTAAGCAAAAACTGCCACCAGATGCTAGAAACGTGCGAGACGATGATCAGACTTCCGCTTAGCACCCAGGCACCGGCGCATAATTACCGGCCGTTCACGGGCTAAGTGTAAATGGCCGAATGCAAACGATACTTTCTTTGTTACTGCCTGCGCCACGGATTATGCTGCGTAATCGAACAATTACATCGCCGGATTACGGTAAGTGCCGGTACAGTTCATAGCCTCTTCTTGTCATCAACATTTGTGTTAATCAAATTAAGAGTTTAAGAATTGTTGCTGCGAGCGATGAAATCTCCATACATAAGGGCCGCGTTGCGGCATGCTGTGGCATGTAAATATTTTCTTGTGGAGTTACACGTTTAATAAATGAACAACAGTTTAAACACCCGTTAAACGGGACTTTTTGCGTCAAACGGGCAGAACGGCAGCATCAGCCATGGCCCTATCAACCTTCTATTTATTATCCTGCGTCTTCGTAATACTCGTCCAGCATCGAAGCGTTTCATCCGCGCTAGTATCGCGAGGTAAGGTTTGAAGATCACTATTATGCAGTGCTTCCAAACAGGCTATTTAACAACTGGCTAAAGGAATACCTTAGGTCTGCTTTAAAGGAATACCTTTGGTACTTTTTAAAAAAAACCTGCTCTGTAGCAGTTGACTATCTGTTTTAAGGTTCGGCTCATACATCGGACGAGCAATGCCATCGGAGAGTCGTGGCTTACTACACATCTTGGGGCAGCCGCGAGATGACCAAGGACATGATGAGCTACGTCACCCACATTTACTACGCCTTTCCCGACATGTCATCCAACGGAACCATGTGGTTTACCAACGCATCCGAAGCGCGCCTCCAAAAGCTGATAAATTTACGCGGAAAAGACGCTTATCCTAAACTCATGGTGGCTGTGGGCGGATGGGTCAACCGTATCTACTTTGACGGCATCGCCCGCAATGAAGAGGCCTTTCAGACGTTCCTGACGAATTTGAAGCAGATGCTGATCAAATATAATTTGGACGGATTGGATCTCGACTGGGAATTTCCTGGAGAGCACGTTGGCGATCGATGGATTTTTGTACTTTTTGTCCGTCGAATCAGGGATCACTTGGATTTTTGGAGCTCGGAACTGAACCGCCCACGGTACATCCTTACATATGCAGGTACATTTTTTCATTAAATATTAATAACAACATTAATTAACTATCTTTTTTTTTCTTATTTATAAATTATGGTTTAGGGTAGTATGCATCTTTAATTAACTGGGTAGCAGTACGTGCGACAAAATTATTATAATTCCATTTGCAAATCGTCACTTGCACGGTTCCCGAATATCGCTGCATATTACATTTATTGGTTTTATGCAGCACCGGCTCTCGATACATCAAAAGGTTTCGACCTGAAACGCCTCTTCGACGGCGACGCCCTGGACTGGGTCAACGTCATGACGTATGACTACTTCCTCCCGTTGGTAAACAACACGGAAGGACGCAAGGCCGGTCCCCCGTCCCCGCTGTTCTTTAGCGGACCAGCTGGATATTACCGCCAAAACGTGCACTACACGATGGAACAGTACGCTTGCACCATTAAAAACTGGAATAAACTGGTGGTCGGCATTCCGCTATACGGCCGCTTCTGGACACCCGTCAACCCGACACCCGTCAACAATTCCGATCCAATATGGCGCCAGATGGACACAGATGTGTTGCAGGAGAACGACATTCCGTGGTACAAATTTAAGCCGAATTACTTAGATAAAGGCTACATCACGGCATTCAACGATAAGGTCATGGCTCCTTATGCGTTCTACGAAGAGAATATGACGTATGTGGGTTATGAATCGCCGCAGAGCGCGCAGGCCAAGGTGGATTATGTCGTGGCTGCGGGATTGGGCGGGGTTATGATGTGGGCTATCGACTACGATGACGACGCGTTGTCAATGTTGAAAGCCATACGGAAAACCGACATCTGCGGGAGCAGTTCCTCGGTTACGTCCTTCAAGGTTCCTGAATATCGCTGCTACGAACCGCGATGGTGGTCGTACGACACCAGCAACTTCGGTTTATGCGGGGTCTCCGCGCCGCTGATTAACGGAGTGTACCCGGTTTGTGACTCGCTGGATGCCGAGCACGCGTGTTGCGGAAGCGACGGGCATTGTGGATCAGGCGCAGAAGTGTGCGAATGTCCCGACTGTGTGGACTATCGAACAAATCCCAGTGAAATTCTGAAAAATGCGGTGGCGCCGACGGTGACAGAAGCTGCCTGGTTTACCTCTGAGCACAAGCACTTTGGTCGCTGCGGATTGGATTCGCCGAAAATCAACGGAACGAGCGCCATCTGTAATCCGGATAACTCCAAGGCCCACTGCTGCTCCGATAAGGGTATGTGTGGAACCGGACCAGATTTCTGTGGGTGCGAGGGATGTGTCGATTTCAAGGAGAACCCGGCATTCCGGTACACGGAAAAGCAGCTGGAAGGCACTAGAAAATGGTGGACGTGGGAGAAAGAACCGAAGAATGTGGGACGATGTGGACCGTCGGCTCCACTGATTGATGGAGAGGTCGCCACTTGTGATCCGAGTAATGCGGATGGGTATTGCTGTGGAAAGCTGGGGTACTGTGGATCGGGGAAGAGGTTTTGTGAATGCGAAGGGTGTGTTGATTATAGATATGTATAATTGAAAATCTGTGGATTTTTCACTGCTTATAGCTTCATTATAATGCTCGGCTTAGACTTCAAAACACTGCCTTAAAATCGTTAGAAACGGGTATTTAATTAAACCATACAAGAGACAGTTGTGCGAATTCGCGAAAAAGATCACAGAAATCACAGCAGATGACCTTCGAAGAAAGACAACTGGACACGAGTAATCAAAAAACATAATAAAAGCACAGTCGTTAGAAGTCGGTCAGCACTGCAATTGTAAACATCATGTACCGTACTTACTGGAACACTGTGGAAGGGTATAGAACACTAAAACACTAATTTATATTTTCAGAGCAGAAAAATTTGCAAACCTCCTTCGGTTATTTGTTTCCCGGAAGTGCTGTATCCAGTTCTTGATTCAATTAGTCATAGTAACACACCTGTGGAACTGGAGCCACTGTGGATTTTTTTCAGCCGCTTTTGATCAGTATCGAAGAATCGCGTTGAAATCGCTTCGTCATCGTTTCGCCTAGTTTCATTAGTAATACAGTGTAGTTATTCCACATAGTTATTTTCCACTTCGCGATCTGACTCCTCAATTAGCGGGCTCCTACAAATCTGGTGCACCGCCAACCGCATCACCACGCTCTTGATCTCCTCTTCGCTCAAATTAACAAGATGTTCCTGTGGATAATTCTCCTTAAGAAGCACCATGACCGCACCCAGCTCTTTCCCGCTAAGACCGGTCCACTCCGCCACCAAATTCCCGTTAAACTTCCTCTTTACTTCCAAATGCATCCGGCCGCGTTTTACCATCTTCGCCCACTTTTGCTCTCGCCCGAAGAAAGTAACCGCTTCCGCGAAGGCTTCTTCCGGGTTTCTGCGTTCACGTTTCTTAACCTCGTCCGAAAATTCAGTCACCGCGCAATACGTGACAAACTCGTTAAACATCGGTCGGTCTCGATCGCGATATCGTCGTTCCTTATTCATATTGTCCCGGTAGAAAATTCCCGGTCGAAAGAACCGGGAAGTAGCTATCCAGGCAAAGATCTCCGGGAGCTTTGTGAATCCATTGAGCCATATATTTTTATCCAATCCCAAAAACTCCAGTGTTTTCCACACATTACTGGTTAAAAACAGTTTCTCTCCGACACAGGGTTCCGGTGTTAAAATACGAAACCGATCATGCCCCATCAATAAACCGTTGGATTTACACAACATCCCCAGAATCATCCCGACATCGCCGTACGACAGGAACAGCTTGGCGAAATCAAATTCCTCCTCGGAATGCACGAAGATCATGTCGATCTGGTGTTCCTTGTATTCGAACGATGTCACTTTCCCGTTGACGATACATTCCTGGCTGTTTAACGCGATGACGGGATCGAACGGGGCGCGGTCGGGTTCCAGGAGACAGATGACGTCCAGATCGCCGTGATCGAATTTTTCCGGTTTCTCAAAAGGAACTGCCACGCGCGGATAATATCCCGAGAGGATTAGTAAAATTTCCTGTTTGATTTGTTCGTAACGCTCGCGCTGCATACGCTTAGCGACGACCTTCTTGAAGGCGTTGCCGCCCATTTTACAATCAGTAAGTAAATCCGTCACTAATTAAAGCAGTGAAGATCAGAGTAGTTGAGATTTATAATGAAATGTGACAAATGTGCCTCGACGAATAGTTATATGCGAAGCAGCACGATAATGATAAGAAAAGAAGCAGAGCAAGTCCCATCACGTACAATATAAATGGATTAAATAACAAAAGCAGCTGATAAACGTTTCATAGGCTACATTTTCAGGGAAACGATAACGGGTATGAGATCATAGTTCTGACCAGAGCGGACACAGAAATGTGATGGATTAATCTAGAGCGTACAGTATGTACAAAATGTACCCATAAACATAGAGAGCGTGTATTTTAAGTATACCATACCGTCGAAATAGCAACGCTGCATTGCATCACGCCTGTGTATCATCGATTTTGTACCCGTCAGTTATATGAGTCATCGGTTCCCATGCACCGTGCACCGGTTCGGCGAGTGACAACGGCATGACGCAGCGGATTTCAGATGGCTATCAAAGCTGATTTACCGCCGATTTGTTTATGACATCATGCTGACGTTTCACCGCCTTCTCCACAGTAATTGTTATAAGCGTTTTTAGCGATATGTGTGCTTAGTTTGTTGTAAAAACTTTCAAAAAATATAGGGGGCAAAAGTAAACGTGTTCCACCGTTCCCTGTACTGCTGCCGTCACTCGCCTGGAGTTTGACGTTGTGGCTGAACATGGCGCTTATGTACCGCGCCAGATTTAACCATATGTATTGCCGTAACGTGACACTCCAGGCGGGTGACGGCAGCAGTACAGGGGAACGGTGGAACGCGTTTACTTTCGCCCCTTATAGTTGTTGCTAATAACACTGTAACTAATACGCTGACTATTAATCGGTATAAATCGGTATCTACATAAACATCAAGTGTATAGAAGTTTTCTCTGCAATATGCTACAAAGTTTTACTGTACAATCACATTAATATTTCTGATAATTCGCGAGTACATTAATTTATAGCTCATGTACTGATGTGCATATTATAGTAATTACGTAGTACAGATACGTTGATGTACATGTTATTGTATTCAGGGCTAATTCTACAGTGCAGTATGCATTAAGCCCATATAAAGTGTACTTGTACTTCTACTTATCTATACATTTAGCTTCAAAATGCGCAATTTTACTTACTGCAGCGCTTTTGTTGCTTGTTTAATTAAGTACTACAGACTCACAAGTTAAAAATACTGGTATATTGCCATGTACTGGGCTTTGTATAAAATGGGTATAATAGTTACAATAGTTGCAACCACCAATTTAGCAAAATTTTGGTACGAACTATACAAATACCGTAGTAGTTGTTCTCAAACATTTTTTGCTGCGCACTTTTGTATAATTTTAGCAATTTGCAATTTTAAAACTTTTGCAATTTTAGCATGCCCTTTACAAACGCTGTAACTGGCATCAAATGCCAACGCCTACGCATACAAATACCAATGCACAAACACACGCCATTTCCTGTCACTCCACAATTCTCTGGCGTGCTGGATTAACCGTTGATGGGTCGAAAAAAGGATTTAAATAAGGAAGCGGTGAAAGATAGATACAATTAGCCTGAACAAAAATCGATGTCAACGCACATAAAAGAGATAAAACAGTCGAAATTCCTAATTGATCCGATAATAATCGGTAGATGTGTTCAGTTGCGCGTCCCACCGAAATATTGATGTCCACGTAATTACCAACACACCGTATCGATTATTCCCGTCTATGGAGCGTTGGTTCTGCTGTTCCTTTCTATAGATCGGCAGCTTTCGTGCCGGAAACTGAACGCTTCATAGTTGTATTTCCTGTAGGTGAAACACATCAGGCTAATATCCCCTTGTGCCGGTGACCTTCACACTTTCTAACGGGATTTATTCTGTTTGTTATTTGAATATCGGATTATCGAGATAAACTGCTGATACAGCAATCCAGGTCATCCCGAACAAATCGCGTTTTTTTTAATCATACTATTGTACGATGGAGGATATCTTGTGGTAGATTAAAAAGACGCAAATGCGATGCAACTGTATTACCGAAATTATTTGGCCTTAATACTGCTGCATAACTGTATACGGAACGCTTTTTCCCGGCAATTAAATTTCATCATAGTGACACTGGGTGATAATCCGTTATACGGATATTATGCCGCACTGCCGCATTACGATGTAGCTTTTGGCATTGCCTCCCGAACGTATCCGGATGTGTTTCGCAATTTCACCCGACAGGTCTTCCATAAGCCGTACCTTCAGGATTGTTTGGATGCCGCGTCCGAAATGTACGGTACAACTGGGGAGATCTACGATCTACTGCAAAAAACGGATGGTTTTTCCATTCTAATGTCGCCAGGTACATACAGTGTATATTAATGCGTAAGTAACTGAACAGAACTAGCGAACATCGGACTTTCTTATGCAAATTCTGCTTGAGAGCATTTTTCATCTATACTCGTACCTACATATAACGGGATAGTCAAACGTCTCATGCAGATAAGTTCATATAAGATTTGGGAAATATTTGCCTCAAGGCGCGGAATCGCGTTATATCTGTGTTTTACACAGTACTAAGAAAATAAGCAATATTAAAGTGTATAGCTCAATTACCAAAACATCTATAAATATGAGCATAATTTTCATATGCATTTTGAATGACTATGATTTTTTTGTAATTTATTCTATTGCAGGCTGCAGTCCGGAAATGTTGGCCCTGGCGGATTTCGCACGAGGTGAAATTTTGCTACAGTTATAACCCACTTTATTAATTACTAATTTTTGGGAGTGCGTTTTACTTGCTTTACGTGCTGCATTAAATAGGAGCGCACAGAAAAAGTCGCGTGCCTGGGTTGGCTATTTGAGTGCTTTCTTATTTTGCATGTGCCTAAATGTACATGTTGACGTTTAAGATTTATATCAGATCCATCTTATTTCAGAGATAAACGTGCCGTTATTAGCCAGGTAATTGCACTTAATATAATGAAATCCAGATCCTCCGCCACAGTAAAACATATAATTTCACATTTCAGCACGTCCACCGATGCGAAATTTGTCAATCGAAAGCGCTACCCAACCTTCCTAACCTTCGGCTCAACTAATCAAGGCAGCCAAGCCCCGGCGACGATTGCCTTCTTAAAATACTATAAATGGAATACTCTGACGTTATTCTGCGATGACCTTAGTATGCATCCGCCAGCGGGGGCCTTTTGGGAACGTATTGCCGTTCCTTACGACCAATGCTGACAGGGAACGCCGGCTACGAGTTTTACTTTGAAAGCTACGATTCCAAAACCGATCCCGGCTACGAAGCCCGGTTATTGCGTGCCAAATCACAAAGCCGCGGTATTCAGGGAAATCACACAATATTCTATTTACTTAATTGAGTTCACCCTGCTTTTGAATTATAGTGATCATTATTTTGACAAGATCCGACGAGCTCCGTAAAATAATGGTAAATTAATGTTTTTATAAGAAAAATAAAACATAAAAAGGAGTGTTGTAGATTAAGCCGCAGGTTTTTGTTATCGATAAGCTGTTTATCGATTCCAGATGTTTGTTGTAGGCTATCGCGTACAAGCTGAACATGACCAACAGTGAATATGTAAGAAGGTTTCCTGGAGATCGACATTCAGCTGTGTTTGAGTGAAAGGAAACTGCATCGATATTTTATCCTTCCTTCAGGTCTTTATTAATGCAATTCCCAACCAAGGTCCGGATTATATTCCTTTAGACGTCGATATGGGAACGCCTGATGACAAGGTAACGCAGTACAGACTACAGAGTTTGTCAATGTGACAATGCCATTTATATGTGCTGAATCATTTTGTGTGAATTTTCAGGTGGTTTTCGAAGCCTACAAATATTTAATAGCCATGACCTTTGTCCTTCCGCAATACGACCGCATACAAACTTATATGAATGCTGTTACCAAGACCGCCGAAAAGCGGTACAATATGTCTTATGATTTTAATGACGTGGTAAGAAAACTAACGTGGACATAAATCTAAGAAAGTAATAATTATTAATAAATACTAAATCTATCGATCTTTTATAACTGGTGCATTTTAGCACAACGAAATTACCCAAGCAATTCCAGAAATGATCTTCTCCATATCGAAGGTGAATTATTCAGTTTATCGACCCACATTCGTAAATAATTACTTCTGAAAAATGTGTTTCACGTAGGCGTTAAACGAGTCAAGGACGCCGATCAGCGATATTGACACCCGCGGATTTCTTAATCTGTTTTTGAATCGGAGGTTTGATATCGGCGACTTCCGACCAGTTGTCATCGGACCGGTTGGTATGCGTTTGTGCGACACGTACTATTCTCGACTAAACGTTACCAGCCGGCGCTTCGAGGTAGCTTGTGGAGAACACATCTTTGTTCGTGTAACTTATGACCTTTCTATGTAGCTAGCCTGGCATTATAACGCCAGCACAACGGTCGTTTCGAAGCTGTCACCACTGGCCGATGAATGGAACGGAAATTATGCTCCACCGCTGAATCTTCCGATTTGTGGATATCGTAACGATCGCTGCAACTTGGACACCGGTAATTCATACTGACAGGCTATTGTGATAATTTAGCGTTTCTTTGTGGCATTTAATTTAATTTTTTTATGCAAAAAATCTTGTTTTGCGGCACACCGGTACACGACGAATGCCGCAAGTTTTGTATTATTTTAGTTTTTTGTACGCTCAGTTCGTAATTTATTGGTAACATCAGAAGTATCTGCTTATTATTGTACCGGTTTATTGCGCTGTTATTAACAGATCTGATGCCGATAATCGTTGGAGCGGTGTGTGGCGTCGTTGTTGTTGCTGTTTTGTCGATCGGAATTTCGATATACTGCATGTAAGAGCAACGCAAAATGCTTACCGGTTCGTCGAAGTAAAACTCCTCGATGAAGTAAACGCTTTCAATTAGCAAACGATCAGCCAATATGGATCAATCCAACTGGTGGCTACTGGACGGGAATTTATTGGAATTCCCAGCTGCGTCGTCGAAAACAGCTGGAGTCATCGTCGGCAAATACAATAATGATGCTGTTTGGGCACGGCTAGTGTCGGACACCGGTATTCGAGAAGACGATCTTACAACGAATACCGCCGTTAGGAAGCACTTTTCTCAAGTAAGTAATTATGCTTATTGTTTACGCGTACATAATGTCTCCCTTGAACGAATATCCTTTCACGCCTTTATAGTGCTAATATACTGGTATTTAATGAAATTCTTAGGCGAGATTGCTGCACCACGAAAATGTTGCACGGTTCACTGGAGTGGCATTCCTGGATAAAACGCTGTGTGTCTTATGGGAAGGAGGACGCGGCACCCTGCGCTTAGTGTTCGCCCACGAGAGCATTATCTCCGACACCGCCATACAGACATATTTTGTTTTCAACGTACTGACGGTAAACTGATTTTTTTTTTGCAAGGTAATCAAAAACATTGCTTGCTTGTTAATCTCCAAACACGCACATCTGCAGGGGTTGCATTACATCCATAGAAGCGCTTTCCGCAAACATGGAAACCTTTCCAACTTGACTGTGATACTTGATAGTCGTTTTTCCGCGAAAATCTGCGATATTGCCACTGCAAAATTTCTTCGCATAGCCACCAAGAAAGATGTCTCGTTGGCCGACCCTGATGTTGTTCTCGCGCCAGAAGCGCAAAAAAGCGCTGGTTTCCCAGAATCTCAGGAAGCAGACGTGTACTCACTTGGAATTATTCTGTTTGAGATAACTCGCGGTCATGCCATTATTTCTGCAAAAGAAATCCAATTAGGTTTGTTTACATGATGTGTTTTCGGTCCACAAAGTAAGCGAAGTTGCAAGTTTACAAAAAATTATTTCAGACAGGGTAAAGGCCACAACACCACTGCAAAAACAAATTCGCCAGACGATCGAGCAGTGCTGCGCCGTGGAACCGGCATCGCGACCCAGTGTTAAAAATATCGTCAACAGTCTCAGTAAATTCCAGCCCCGGGGAAATGTGGTGGGCAGTCTGCTTGCTCGTCTGGAAAAGCATGCCGATCATCTGGAGCAAACTGTCCTGCATCGAACGGAAGAATTATTACTGGAGCGGAAGAAAGTCGACCTCCTCCTGGCCGAAATCATTCCTCCGTAATAATTAGTGTATTTACTGTAACAAATACGCTTTACTCGAATTTTACACCCCTAGTTTTCCAGATCGTTGGTTCCCGCTTTGAGAAACAAAGTCGTCGTTCCACCGGAAGCGTATGATTGCGTAACCTTGTACTTTAGCAGTATGGTCGGATTCGATATTTTCTGCAAAGCAAAATCGCCGTTTGAAGTGTGTACCTTCCTGAACGAGCTGTACACCTTTGTTGACCAGCAAGTTGTCGCGTTTGATGTGTACAAAGTGGAGACGATCAAGGACGGATATGTCGTATGTCACTCACTTATGCCAGAAAACTGACCTTTATCACCATGTCATTCTTATCATTCCAGGTCGCTAGTGGTGTCCCCATAAGGAATGACAAACAGCATTCCAGCGAGATAGCCTCGTTAGCTTTGCGGGTTTTGAGGAACTGTTCGGCTGACAACCTGAAAACATACTTGCCCATCAGGATAGGCATTCATAGCGGTAATTTGCTGTGGAAGTCTCAGTCCGGCACGAAATAACGTTCAGTTCTTGCAGGACCAGTGGCTGCTGGTTTCGTCGGGCTGCTGATGCCGCGCTATTGCATGTAAGAGTGGCTAAGAGAAGTTTACCTTCGTCTGGTTTTGGTGGTGAGTTGTTTTCAGCAACGATTCTGTTCCGCTGCAGATTCGGTGATACAATCAATACGGCTAGCCGCATGGAAAGCCATGGAGAAGGTGGGTGGGCTTAATTTGCTGCATAGTAGAGTTGTTGAGTAGCATCGTAAACTTGTGTTGGTATACCGAATCTGATACCTTAAAAATTTAATGACCATCGGGAACCGACTGCTTAAAGCGCTACAAAGTTTATTGGGATCGCTAAGGGTTTTTAAAACATGTCGGTTACAATTAGATGGTCATCATATTATGCTTGTAAGAGTAATCAAAATGATGTTATTGTTCTTCAAATTTCGAAAGTGGTGGCCGTTGTCGATGTTTATTATTGCAAGCTCATTTTTACAGCAAGTATGATCCATGTCAGCCCTGATACAAAACAATTGTTGGAGAACAGTCCGGATTATTTTTTACAACCACGAGGATTAATTAATGTTAAGGTAATCAAATCACTCAGTACCAGAAAGATTCCTTTCAACTGCGATATTAATTTTGACATATACGTTATTAAGGTATATAATTTCGTAATCTTAAAATTTTCGTCAATAATTTATGGTGGCGATTGCTGTTTTAGGGAAAAGGTTGGATTGATACGTACTGGCTCAAGCCACCAGAAGGCGCAACTGAGTAGTTACTACTGCACATCTTCCTCTACTACTCGTAGAAATTTTGTTTTTGAATAAGCGACTGACTAAAACGAGGGATGCCGGAAAATAAGCAATCGGTTTCGCAAAATATTGAAGTTGTTAAAAGCATTACCGAATCCAGTGCTAATAAATTCAGTTCTTCAGCGGTGCGAGTGTTCCACAAACGCGTAATTAATCTACCGCCAATTTTATATTTCTCCAGATTCATTTGTCGAGTATCCTTTTGCACAAGCCACAAGTACCTGTGTACATTGCAATAATAGGTAAAACAAAAGTGGCAAGATCCGTCCTTTATCCGTTTTTTCCTCTGAGGCGATAAAGACGCGCTTATTATAAAAGTGCTTATTAATCTTACTTTAAGCTTTCACTTTTCATATTTCTTGCTCCATTTTGGCACTAGAATACGTAAAATTTTTTGCTTGTTCTTCTGATATATGACATTAAACGCTGTGTTGAGCCTTTAACATGCCGTCGGCAAAAAACTCTCCTATGGAGTTTCACCATCTCAACATCCAGGGGCTGCCCTATGATAATTATCATAAGCTTGATTTACTGTCAAATTATCTTTGCATTGATGACAATGTTTCGAAGTTTTTCGCTGTCACTGAAACTCATCTCCGTCCTTCGGATTCTGATCAGTTGTTTTCCATTCCCGGATACTGTTTATTTCGTAGCGATCGACCTGATATTCATGGTAAAACACGCGGTGGTGGGATTCTATGCTACGTACCTCAACATATAACGGCTGAGCGTGTCGAGCTGAAGTTTCGTTCTAAGGGATTTGAATGTCTGTGGTTACGACTCACTGTTTCTCATCGCAAAATTATTATTGGGACCGTGTATCGTCAGCCTGATTCGAATTCTGTCGAAACCAAAGCGTTGTTCAATCATTTGCGGGAAGTACTGTTAAAATATCCGGGCAGCGATCATATAATCATGGGGGATCTGAACATCGATTCCTCCCCTGGTTCCTCAAGCCCCTATGTCAAATTGTACAGCGATTTTGTAGATGAATTTTCCTTCGAAGATAAGGTAATCGGACACACTCGGGTAGCACATCGCTTGAGACAATCTGATAATACCTTAAGCACTACATCCACTAAGATTGACGTAATATTGTGCAGTCCTAAGAATTCATACGTGTCGTGCCAACCGTCAGATGTAAGTTGTTCAGATCATATGCTGTGCAAAACGGTCTCCGCTTTTCAGTGCAAACAACCGGAGCACAGAGTGATTTACTTTCGTGATTGGAAAGCGACTAATTTTCAGTCTTTCAAAAGTCAAGTTTTTGATTTTACAAAGAATTACGTTAATTACGTTGATTATCCGGACGTCGATGATGAAGTTTCAAAATTTGTTGGTGGTTTAGCTGAAATAATTAACAGGTGCTATCCGTTACGATCGAAAAGAGCCTCGAATAGCAGTGCACCTTGGATTAACGGTCGCATTAAACGTCTGATAAAAAATAAAAATCTCGCATACAAGCGGAAGAAGTTGTCGAAAAGTGCCTCTGAGTATCAAGGCAATTGTCAACAATTTAAGAACTTGAAGCGAGAATTATTTACGGAGATTAAGAACGCTAAGCGAATCTATTTCGAACAAAATGTACAAAATTCAAAAATAATGTGGCGCGAAATTAACCGTTTGCGAGGAAAGAACAACGAAAATGGTAATCTGGACTTCGATTTAAATAATTTAAACAAACATTTCGCTACAATGGGGGAGCACGGTAAACGGCACCCCGTGGCTGTCATCCCGAAGGAGGCTGATACGGCGACATTTGAATTTGATCAGCTTACTCCAGACGTGGTTGCTGAAATGTTTGGGAAAATCTTAAGTAAGAGAAAATGTGCGGGACCGAAAGGTATACCACATAAACTCTTGCTGGAAATTTCCCCTATACTGGTCGAGCCCATAACCCATCTCATAAACCAGTGTTTCAAAAAAAAATGTCTTCCCGTCAATTTTCAAATTGGCGGAAGTAATCGCTTTACCAAAAAACTGTTCATCCAACAACACCGGATGAATTTCGTCCTATTTCACTTTTGTGTAATTTGTCAAAATTGTTTGAAAAATGCGCCCAACTGCAGCTGAACAAATTTTTGAAAAAAGAAGGCATTCTTGCACCTAACCAATCCGGTTTCCGTAACGGCCATTCATGTGAAACGTTATTGTTAAAAGTGACGGAGACATGGAAAAAGGCTGTCGATAGCAAGAAGTGTGTTGCAGTTGTTTTTCTTGATTTGAAAAGAGCTTTTCCGTCAGTGTGCCATTTGACTCTGTTGGAGACACTCCGTGATATAGGAGTAAAGTCTTCAGCGTTAAAATGGTTTTACTCGTATCTGACCGGCCGCTCGCAACGTGTACGTCATGGCATGAAGTTCTCTTCGTGGGAACATGTTTGGGCAGGCGTTCCGCAAGGGTCTATACTTGGTCCCATTTTATTTACAATTTACATTAATGCCCTACTGAAACTGAGGCTACCAAACGTGCATTTAGAAAGCTTTGCTGACGACACCATCTGCTATGCTGTTGCTAACACGAAAGCGGACGCAGCAAAAGATCTAACTGAAGCACTACCGGCAGTCTGTGAGTGGCTTAATTCCAACCGGTTGTTCGTCAACGAGAAAAAATCGAATTTGTTACTAATAAGTTCAGCGCATAATCGCGAAACCAACGTAAGCGTAATGCTGAACGGTCATAAATTACTTCCAGAAAAGTCAGTGAAACATCTTGGAGTGATACTGGATGAACATCTCAGTTGGGCTGACCATGTTAAAAAGGTCCAGAAGAATGTTCGGTACGGTATATCACTGTTAAATCGTGTTAAAGTCGGCCTGCCAACATCCCAACGCATTGCGCTTTTCTATGCCTTTGTTCAGTCGCATCTGGACTACTGCTCTACAGTGTGGAGCGGGGCATCTGTGCGCTTGCGTGATAAATTGGCCGCGATGCATCGTAACGGTGTCCGAGCGGCTGCAAACTACGCAAAGATACCCACGGAATCGTTCATGAACCAACATGGGATCTTACCGCTCTTCACGAGATGGAAACAAAAGGAAGCGATATGGTTATACAAGATCAAACATCCGGAAAAATTCCATGTGCCGCAGTACATCTCTGAGATGGTGGAATTTGATGACCGTATAAAGCCGTACAACCTTCGGAGTAGAAACCGCATCCTGATCAAGGCGGTAGCGAAGAAGAAAGTTGGCGAGACGACCTTTGCTTGGAAACTTAATAAATTGTGGACATTTTTTGTTGATTCTAATTTTTCTGATCTGTTCCATATTCATACAGTTGGTGCCTTTAAGCAAGCTTTGAACCGTGTCAATTTTGTTTAGGACGTCTTTTCTGTCTATCTGCACTCGTACTTTTCGATTTTGCTATTTGGCCAGGTTTAAAATCCCAGCTAGAATGTCACCCTAGCCGGAAATGGGCTACCTGCTCCACGATGAATAATAATAATAAAAAATAATAATAATGTAGTACATTGAATTGATAAACGTAGGGTATATGTACGCAAATGTTCTTCCAAAAGATAAGATAAACTAAACAAGTTTGCAATTTACGTTATAGCAGGAAGTGTTGTCAGAGGTTACTACGTATTTAAACATCACCAGATTCGAAGTTAACTGCTGGCCACAATTCGCGTTGTAAACATTATGCGACTGTTGTGACCTGGGGATACCTTCAAATTCTTCGCTCAAATAATTACCAATAATGAACACTTCGCCCTCTTTCCGTGACTGCGTCAAATACGGTTTCCGTTTGAGGAAATTCCGATACCACGCCAAGGAACAGTCGCAATACAGACGCTGGACCGCGCCAATATCCTGATCAGTGATACAATAATCGGGTGACCGTTTGCGCGATGTACAGGGTTCTGCCCGAACATGATTCACCCGGTGCAGGAGTCTGTCTTCCAGCGACAGGCTTTGCAAATTCGGTAGGTCGGTAAAACTGTAGGGTTCCATGTCCCGGATGGTGGTCACCGTGAAAACGATCATCCGTGCATTCATCATGCGGGAAAAATGATGCCGCTTAATTATCAAATCCCTACAGGAATAAACGTTCAACGCGACCAGACTAGGCACCAATCCAATATCAAATAACTTCGCCGTGATGGGCGAAGTCACGCATTCTTCGATTCCTGATGAGCTGTTTGTGGATTGGCTGGAAGACATCCGGGTGGACGGGGTCCTCCGTGTCGTTTCTCTCGACCATTTCCACAAAGATCGCGCGCTGCGGACTAACCTTGCTAATATTTCGTGCGAACACGGCCATGGCTGATCTTGTGCCGCCCCATACACAGTCCATAGTGAAATACGTGCTGGATATGCCGGATGGTCCGTAGCAGTAACTTTTCTGGCCGTTTCCACAGTCCATTTCGTGCCATAAGTGGCATTCGTCCGCGGTTACTCGGTCCGTGCGAAAAGGCAGTATTTCTATGCTGGTAAAGCCTTCTGCTTTGGGAGGGGGATTCTTCGAGTTCTCACATTCTGTTTCATATTTTGGAACTGTCCTATCATGTAGCGCACCAACGACAACTACAAAGTACAAGCGTTAAAAAAACTGACAATAATGATGGAAAATTATTACGAACGGATTGTAAATATTGGCTTTAGTAGAGTTTAAATAACCTTGCCGGTAAAGTAAATATCGTACCTTACTCACCGTGCGATTCCGCAATTACTATGCACACAAATAGATGCGATGTGGCGATCATCTTTAGCGGAAGCAATGTGCTGTATCTTTTGGTGCAGTTCTGTATCGCAAAGACTGTTTCTGTAGTGTAAGGTGCTCGAGCTTGAGGCAGTGTTTAAGCAGTAATAAAGTGCATTTGTTTTCTCTTTGGTGTGCAATTTCATCCTCAGGGCTAATAAACTTTGTTGTTTCCTTGCTTCCGTTTATTAAATTTTGCAGCAATTTTTCTTGAATGGTTTAAAATTATAGATGTTCCGCTGAAACAGTTTATGTACGTACTACGCGGCATAGCTAAAACTCTTCGCGTTTAATAGAAATTTTTAAGATGTTCATACACACTTTTTTATCAATGAATACCTTATTATTTTCAAAGATTGGACGTAAAGGCCTTGTGAAAGCCTAGAGTAGCTCTTTACCTCTTGTCAATCGAAAAGACAACACCACAAAGATTCTTACTGCCCTTATCACTCTGATTTTTTGTGGCCATTCGTGCAGTTAAGCTTTTTGCCTTAACTATTCAATTACATGAGCCTTGGGTGTTTTATTTACATGGGCAGCATGACCTTTGATTATAGTTGCAGATTTCATCAACAGAAACCGTTTGTAGATTTATATACTGTCCACCATGCTAACGAGTATATAAAATCTGTACATAAAAAGCTAAATGTTAGATGATAAAGGTACCCGCAATGAGGTTCTCTTGTATGTACAGTAGTTCTTGTAGCCAATATTCTAGCAAGCTGGGAAAATTCATCTGACCTCGGCTGATCACATACTTCTAGTGTAGCTTTCCATGAAGCTGGTCTAGTCACAATCAAGTGCTCCACAAATACCAGGTTCAAACAGAGCTAAATAAATACTTATAGAATGGCGCACGACATTTTGGAAAAGAAGCATTGGGCACCGTTAATAACAGATGTTTTGAAAATGAAAAGTACCATCACGCTATACCCCAAAGTGGATCTCAATATCAATAATATATTTAACGTGGACTGTTTAGTCACTTTAGTGTACCACTTGGTTTACTGGCAAATTGTATCTTCCGTATTATTCAGCTTGACGCTGTGCACAAACATACATGTTTATATGGCACCAATATCGTTGTGGCACCAAAGCACATTGTGGCAGCAATGCACGAACCTGCAAATGGGATAATTTGACGCATCCATTTCTTTGACGATCAATGAATATATAGGTATATATATCACTGAAATATGAGCAGATTCGCTCTTGCAGTTTTACTTCATTTCTGTAAAGATCAGCCTTTTTCTCCATAAACAGCATAATATGCTTATTTTTAATTCCAGTTAATTTTTAATTTACTAGTTCTACAGTCATTTTTAAATTCTTTGCCGTCGCGTCAAAATTAATTTGTTATAAAAGAATATCGGCAAGCATTCCTGCCGGCCTTCTACGTCGTCGCATTTAATCATACACTACATGATCCCTATTTTTATCACTTCATTGACCACGGTGAAATTCTGCAGACTCTGATAATGATCCACTTTTTATCAGTTTGGGTCAGATCACTTTTATCACTTTTATCAGATCCGATGCTTCTCGCAAATCCGACAGTTGTATTGATAGCAACAATTACAGAGCGTATGTTGTTGTTGTTATTACTCGTACATTTGGCGCGGCAGTACAAATCGATACCGGATAATATACGCTGAGTAAATAAGACTTTAAGGGATACAGTAGTTTGCGCATCCAGGTACGGAATACGCTGGGCGGTATTTATTTGATTCCTGATTGTATCTTATATATAAAGATATCGAATGTCCATTCCGTGCGCTCACGCATGTGCCACTAATACCGGCTCCTCCCAGCTGATAAACGCTTGTATTCGGAAGCGTTCTCTTGGGTTATTTAGTTGCAGTATCCCGAGTGGTCGTGATAATTACTTCCTGCTCCCGTGCGATACCGGTTGTCAATAACAGTTTATTTTATAACACTGTTCACATACAATACCACTTGCTTCGTTTGCTCAAAGGCCGCTTGTCGTGTCGAACGAGAATCGGAATTTGTTGCCATCGTCGGCTCAATGAAATGCGGAATCTCCATACTTACTGTCACAGTTTTGCTGATTTTGCTAAGTGGTATAAGCAGTCGCCGTTTGACCTTCATCGTGGTGACCATCGGCGACAACCCGCTGTATGGATTCTATGCTTCATGGCCGCATTACGAAGTGGCATTTCAGAAGGCTGCCTCCATGTATCCCGATATTTTCCGCAATCATACCGTACAGGTATTTCACAAACCAGGATTGCGGGACTGTTTGGACGCTGCAGCGGAGATGTACGCCACAACCGGAGATATCTACGATCTTCTGCAGAAAACAGACGGATTTCCTATTCTCATGTCGCCGGGTAAATGTGCTAAATACGGCAGTGTCCGGATGCTATTAGTAAAATAATATTACAGTTCATTTTTGCGGATTGTTTCAGGCTGCAGTCCCGAAATGCTGACTCTTGCTGATTTTTCCCGAGGTACAATCAGTTGGGTTAAATTCGAGGCAAATCTAAAATAAAATATGCATGAATGTCCGCAGTAATACACGTCGTAAGCCGATGTCTTTGGTGGCACACTTAATAAGTTTGGGCGCACACCGAAATGGCGTCGATAAACTGCTTTGCTGCTTATTCGGTAAAAACCAATACTTTTATATAATTGTCTGTGTTAATGGACAATAATCAAAATTATCCAAATTAAAACTGTTTGGCCTTATTTCAGTTTTGTGATCTACCACGTATTATCGTAGACGCCTGTACAAAATTGCTGTAGTTGTTCATCAAAACTATGTACGTACATGAATTCTTTGTTACAGAGGTAAACGTGCCGCTATTTGCCAGGTAAGGTTTTATTGTGGTGCAGATTTTATTAAGTTGAGAATATTCAGTTGTAAGATTGTCGACTGCAGCACATCAACTGATGGAAGGTTTGTGAATCGGCAACGGTACCCTACATTTCTGGGATTCGGATCCACAAGCCAAGGCAACCAGGCACCAGCCACCATTTCCCTGCTGAAATATTATAAATGGAGCACTGTCACGTTATTTTGCGATGATCTCATTCTACATCCGCCGGCCAGTGCCTTTCTGGGTACTCTGTGCCGCACACTCAGGCCGATGCTCAGCGGCAATGCCGGCTATGAATTCTATCTGGAAAGCTACGATTCGAAAACTGATCCCGGTTACGAAGCAAGATTAAAGCGAGCAAAGTCGCAGAGCAGAGGTTGGTTAAAATCTCATCGTCGTTATTTTAAACAAACAAATCTTCGTCAAAGTTTCTATATTTTTATAGTTCTATGTCTAAATTTTCATACGAAGTATTCATATTTTGCAGTGATAATCATTCTGACTAGAGCGGACGAATTACGGAAAATTATGGTAAATTTTGGTTAATTTTGGTTATAGTACCGTTACATTTAGAAACTTTGTTCGGCAATGGAAATTGATTTGTTTTGGTCTATAATTTTTCAGATTATTGCACACAAGCTGAATATGACAAACAGCGAATATGTAAGTAAAAGAACTGCACTGTCATACGCTAAGGTTTTCTGGCTGATAATCGTTTGAACTGCGCAGGTATACATTCACGCGGTACCAAACCAAGGACCTGATTATATCCCACTGGAAGTCGATACGGGATCGCCTGACGATCAGGTAATCGATCACACCAAGGTCATCGACATCCAGCGTAATCAATTATCGACGAGTAATTGTTAGATAATCTTCAACGCCTATAAACAGCTGATCGCCTTGACCTTCGTCTTGCCCGACTACGGTCGCATACAGTCCTACATGGACATCGTGAACAAACGGGCAAGGAACGTCTATAATTACACCTACGATTACAATGAAAAGGTCAGCAGTCTGAGGTTGCCTGGTTCTACAATTTGCACCGATATTTACGCGGATGTTTCTGCAGCGCAATGAAATCACCCAAGCCATTCCCGAGATGATCTTCTCTATGGCAAAGGTATTAAACTGGTTGAACAGAAACGTCTGCACATGCAAATTTACTCATTGTCTCAATGCACTTTTCCAGGCAATTAACGAATCCGCGACGCCGATCAGCGGCATGGAACCCAAGGGATTCCTCAATTTGTTTCTGAGCAAGCGATTCGATATTGGTGATTTTCGATCTGTTGTGTTCAGTCCCGTGGGAATGCGGCTATGTGATACTTTCTATTCGCGCTTGAATACGACGAGCAGGACGTTCGAGGTAACTAATGAACACCTCGCATCTCAGGCATAAAAAAGTAGTTTCTGAAATTTGTTTTATAGATATCAGACTCGAAAGTTTATATATATTATACGAGTATATACAATCGCAGTTTTTTTGTACAGTATATCAACGATGTAATTCTTGCATGACATGATGACTGCATCTGTTGTTGCCTTTTGCAAAAATTAATATTATGCAGTTAAAAGGATGTCAGTAAAGTAAACAATTTCTCATCAATTTCTTCTTGACCTTTGCGATAGGAGTAAAACCGATGTTGGAGGTAAAACAATTTTCCATACGGTGTATTACAAATACGGTACTATATATTGGTCATTGACAAGTGGATCTAATAATATACCCATAAAAGAAGAGAGATTGGTTCCTGTTTCGTATGGTGTGAATAATTGTGTTTTAACCTGATTGCAATTTTGTTCTGCAGATTGCATGGCATTACGATGCCGTTACCCGCGTCTTTACAAAACTGTCCCACTTGGCGGATGAATGGAACGGCAATTACGCCCCACCGTTAAACCGTCCGGCTTGCGGATATCGGAATGACCGCTGCACAACTGACGCCGGTATTGACGACATGGTGCATGACGCATCAACTTCCTCTAGTGCCTGATTATTGAATGTTGCAGACATCATGCCTATAATCGTTGGCGCTTTGTGTGGTATAATTGCTGTTTCCGCTATCCTGATTGGAATTTCGATCTACTGCATGTGAGAAAAAGGATTTCTTTGGTGATCTCACTGATCTGTTGTCGTGCGTTGCTTGATGACACTGTGTCTCGGTTGTAGAAAGCGATCCGCTTATAACGATCAATCCAATTGGTGGCTGTTGGATGCAAACCTACTGGAGCTGCCAAGCCCAGCATCAAAATGCGATGTCATTGAGGTGGGCAAATATCAAGGCGAACCGGCATGGCTACGTCTGATTCCCGACAGTGGAGTGCGAGAGGACGAACTGGTTTCTAATGCAGCTCTACGGAAATGTCTCGCTCAGGTACACCAGAACAATACGAGTACTGTTTCAAGACTGGACGTTGTTCCATGAAATGCACACAGTTGGCGCAAAGCTGGTGAAAGCGATGTCATGTGCATATATTGTAATTATGCAGATTAAAGCCCTGCACAATGACTGCATTGCGACTTTTTATGGGATCGGTTTTCTGGAGAAAACCATGTGTGTCGTATGGGAAGCCGGTCGTGGCACGCTGCGCTCCATTTTCGCCCACGAAACAATCATCGCGGATAGTGCGATACAAACCTATTTCCTGTTCAACATTTTAACGGTAAAAACAGCTCCTTAATGACGTATATATGTAGAAGTGCTGCATATCCAAGTTTGGCAAATACATGACTATTTGTCAATACATGGCTGTTTGTAGGGCCTCAATTACATTCATAACAGGACGCCTTTCCGAAAGCACGGCAGTCTTTCCAGTCTCAGCGTGATTTTGGATGATCGCTTTACGGCAAAAATCTGCGATATCACTGCCAAACTCTTGCGAATGACGGCCAGAAGAGAGGTCGACATTAACGGTGGAGATGTGGTTGTAGCTCCCGAAGGACAGTCTGGTAGTGCTTCCCAGGAGGCGGATGTTTACTCCCTCGGAGTAATTTTCTTTGAGATATTACGTGGACATGCGGTGATCTCGGCCAAAGAAATTCAACTTGGTAAAGTAACCGGCTTCTTTTACTGCAACAAGTTGAACTCAGCAAGCCGGAATGTGGCTATGTAAAAAAAAAATAACGTTGCTAACATTTTTTTGATTATTAGAGAGCATGAAAGTAACGACTCCACTACAAACGCAAGCTCGCAACGTGATTGGTCAGTGTTGCGCCGTTGATCCCATTGTCCGACCGACCGTCAGGAGTATTATGAATACGTTGGGCAAATACCAGCCGAGTGGCACAGTTGTCGGTAGTTTGATTAACCGCCTTGAAAAGCATGCCGAACATCTGGAGCAGACGGTTGCGCACCGCACCGAGGAGCTTTTACTAGAACGGAAGAAAGTTGACCTGCTTCTGGCCGAAATGATCCCACCGTAATGACCGTTGTCCTTCCTTAAGTTTATTTCACGGATTATCATCGTTACTTTACGTTTTAGATCATTAGTTTCTTCACTGCGGAATAAGATCCTCGTGCCTCCGGAATCGTACGACTGCTTGACGTTATACTTTAGCAGTATGGTGGGCTTCGACGTCTTCTGCAAATCCCGGACACCCTTCGAAGTGTGCACCTTTCTCAATGAGCTGTACACGTTTGTGGATAATCAGATTGTCCCGTTCGACGTATACAAAGTGGAGACCATCAAAGACGGTTACGTCGTAGGTTAACTAAAACTCGGTACTTTCGTTACCGACCTATAGAAATCGCTTTTTCGTTGCGAGCACAGGTTGCCAGCGGGGTTCCAATCAGGAACGATAACGCACACTGCAACCAGATAGCGTCCCTGGCGCTCCGCGTCTTACGCAACTGCACAACGGATAATCTTAAAACATATCTTCCAATCAGAATCGGCATTCATAGTGGTAATTCTTATTGTTCCGAAAAGCAGAATTTGGAGACGTGTATGACATGAGATTTTTGTAGGACCGGTAGCTGCGGGTTTTGTTGGACTTTTGATGCCCCGTTATTGCATGTCAGTATTTTAACTATTTACTAAGAAGCAGTCCAGTTTCGCCAATGTTTACGAAATGTCAAATGTTTATCTAAACGAGATTTTACGTGATGCAGTTTTGGGGACACCATCAACACAGCCAGTAGAATGGAAAGTCACGGAGAGGGTGAATTGTCAAATATACGACACATTATGTTTCGCTACGATTTCTTTTCATGGATCTGGTTTCGCGCAGAGAGAAAAATCCATGTAAGCCCTGACACAAAGCGTCTACTGGAAACGAATGGGGAATTTTTCCTTGAACCACGTGGACAGATCAACGTCAAGGTAATAAGTAACAGTGTAGCATCCAAATGAACCGTACGGGTAACCCTGGTGAATGTACACTATCTAAATCCTTTATTGGGAAAAGGCCATCAATATAACAAAATATGCATTCGCGTAATACTACTTAAAATTTACATTTCAGGGAAAAGGATGGATTGATACATACTGGCTCAAGCCGGCAAGAAGCGCTGTAATTTAATTGTCTGCCATTTTACGTTTTCCACTGGAAAACGTTTCTACTTGAAGAGCCCTTGTAGTCTTGCGTTAATGCAGGTCATTGACTGCATTGCATGCAGTAATAAAGTTTAATAACTCGATAGATGTCTCTGCTAACTGCTTACATTGCTTACGTAAGTTACGTTAATAAAGTTAATAACTTGATAGATATCTCTGATAACTGTTACGTTACATTACTCATGAATGGGCTTGAAGTGCAAATGTGTGCAGTTATTAAATTATTAAACAGTTTGCGCGTTTCCTCAATATCCGTTGGTGGATTGCGCGCCTGGCTTTGCTGTCAGTGAGAGGTTTGATTTATTTATCCCAGAGTGTGTTATATATAGCATAACCGGCATTACAAATTTTGGATATCCCCACACAGTTTACGTCCATTGAATGCCAGCACAACACTTCATCAGCTCCGAAAACGTCATTTAATGCGCTTTCAAGTCTTGAGTGTTTTACGCTTTATAGCGGCTTTATGTGCAGAAAAGCCTTATTTCTGCGACAAAACTCATGCAACTGTACTGTTTCAAAATTCCGCTGTTTTGTCCATAGACTCCTTGAGTCTTGTACATACCTTATCGTTAGTAGCTTTATCACAACGGTTATATAAGCAACAGGACTGCTTTGACATTATTTCATAGCGTGAACAGTTCAAATATGCGCGTACAGTCTCTGTTAAGGATGTCACTGTATTTCTCGTCGGAACTGGTAAATATAATTTCCGATGCATACTAATCAAACAACTCACGTAATTGCGTCGGAAGAGAGGATACACTTTCATAACCTCCCCAGAGCTTGTTAGCAGCTGGGTATACAGACTGTCGGCTATGCGGTCACATGTTAAGCCATCCTCGATAAGCGCAGATATTTCTGTCGACAGGAAAATGTTCGCAAGATTCATAACGGTCTGCGTGGTTACGGGTGTGGTACAACAGTCCAGCAGTCTGAATATCATCATTGTGTCCATCGGCGATAATCCGTTATACGGTTACTATGCAGCCCTGCCGTACTTTGATGTTGCTCTGCAAATGGTTGCGGAAGCATATCCAGCACTGTTTGTCAACTACACCCGACAGGTTTTTCATAAACCGGGACTACCAGATTGTGGAGATGCTGCGTCGGCGATGTATGCGGTTACGGGGGAAATTTACGATTTACTACAAAATATCCAGGGATTTCCCCTAATGATGTCATCCGGTACAGTTTCTTTTGCGCATGTGTAATAAACAGTAAATAGACGCAACTTTAAGCCAAACATTTGTTTATTAGCAATACTTACTTAAAAACCCTATAAAATGGCCAACTTTTGTATATTCGGCTATTTTGCTAACATAGTTGCTTAAGCATTGTATTTTCATAATAACTATGAGACTATCGGCCTTGAGAATTACGTATATGAACGCGAAAGAGCAATAAATTTTCAGGATGCAGTCTGGAGATGATGACACTTGGAGACTTTGCCCGAGGTGAACTGAATGATCATATCCTTAAACTATCTCATTATGTGCGTGCTGCTTGAACATGTAATTTGTAGAAGTCAATGTGCCGTTGCTGATGAGGTATGTACAGTTCAAAACCATGCTCTATTTGGAGCTCGAGAAGATCGATCTCACTTTTTATGGAATAGTACCGGGGTGGACGCTCGGCTGGCCATTAAGAAGCGCTATCCGACAGTTCTGTCATTTGCCCCAACAAGCCTGGGTAGTCAGGCACCGGCCACCGTGGCGTTCTTGAAATATTACAACTGGAGAACGGTAACGGTGTTCTGCGACGACATTACGCTGTATCCGCCGATTTCCGCTTTTCTCGGGATCTACTGTCGCTCACTGAAGCCATTGTTATCCGGTAATTCGGGTTATGAGTTCTACTTGGAAAGCTATGATTCCCGGTCGAATCCCGATTACGAGGTCAGATTGCAACGCGCCAAATCACAAAGCAGGGGTAAGTAGGTTTTTACCTTGACCTAACGGTACTCGTGCCTTGCTTACCAGCTTTTCTAAATTATAAAATTTTAGTGATGATTATTCTCACTCGGGCTGATGAACTTCGGAAAATGATGGTAAGCCATTTTAACGTCATTCTTAAAATTGTTGCTGTGGATTATTGATTGCAATTGCAGCTCGTTGCTTACAGACTGAACATGACCAACAGCGAATACGTAAGCACTGCAGCGTGAATTTATTAATGTGAGGATAATGCACGAGGGAATTGTTGTAATTGCGTTGTGCATGAATTGCAGGTATTCATTCATTCCATACCTAATCAAGGGCCGGACTATTTACCGCTCGTAGTGGATATGGGAAGCGCTGATGACGATGTAAGCGCTACTTTTTTTTTAGTTTAGTTTTCTACTCGCAATATCCATTATGGATCGGCTTTTACGACCAGGTGATTACGTCATGTAATCGTATTTCCAGGTGATTTTCGAAGCGTACAAATATATCGTCGCAATGACTTTTGTCCTTCCTCAATACGAAAAGATTGAGCCGTTTATGAAAAAAGTTAGGGAAACTGCAAAAGCCGTGTACAGTCATACGTACACTTTCGACGAAACGGTATGTTGCTTAACAGTTATTATAGATACGTAACTGCAATGAAATGTAACTAAGTGTTTGAAAAAAATTGTATTTACGATGATTTTCTACTACAGCATAACGAGCTCGTGCTATCGATCCCAGAAATGATTCTTTCGGTAGCAAAGGTAAGTGATTTTGGTTTGGATGACTGGGTACATGCACAATACGAAATGTACTAGCTAACTCAGCCTGCTTTTAGGCCTTGAACGAATCAGCCATTTCATTGGATGAAATGAGCGTTCAAGGCTTCCTAAACTTGTTTTACAATCGGACATTTTACCATGAATCCATGCGTACTGTGGACATTGGACCAAGTGGTATGCGATTAGGTGACACCATATTTTTACGACTGAATACGACAACTAGACAATTTGAGGTTGGTTTTGCTATGTACTCGTACAATGTCTATCTAATCAAACTTAATACACTTGCGCTGCGAAAGCGTATTTATTTTTTTTTGCAGCCGGCGTGGCGCTTCAAAGCTCGTGCTCAGGCTATACTGAAGACGTCCCCACTAGCAGACGAATGGAATGGTGCATCTGAACCTCCGCTGAATCTCCCGAAGTGCGGTTATAGAAACGACCGCTGTGGTGTTGTCAAAATCAGTCAGTGGTTGCATATGATATAGCTTTCCCGGCTCACATTGACATTTGCTCCTTTGCAGCGCTTAATCCAATATTTGTTGGAGCCATATCCGGAATAATCGCCCTGTTTTGTATTCTCATGGGAACAGCTGTCTACTACATGTGTGTACAGTGTACCGTAATCTGCAAAGTTTCGAAGTTTATTTCCTGTACTATAGGTAGCATATGACAAAAGTAACAAAATGGGTTCATCACAGCAAATCCAAAACCAAACAACCAAACTGGTGGTATCTCAATACGCATTTACTGGAGATGCTGGTACATCCGTCCAATACCTGCGGGAACAGCATCCATATGGCGAGATACAACAATGAACCGGTTTGGTTGCGCTGCGTCCACAGCAAGTACATCCATCACGATGATGATGAAACGGCGCATAGTGGACACGAGACGGATCTGTTGGATCAGTCCAGCACGCAGAAAGTCTTTGCTCAAGTACGCTTCGTATCATTCGTATTCAACTTTGGTCTACACTGTCCGCTATGGGTTCGATGTAGATGCGAACGCTAAGGCATGACAATATTGCCCGTTTCTACGGCGTTGTGTTCTGGGATGAAGCCATCTGTGTAATCTGGGAGGGTGGTCGGGGGACGCTCCGCTCATTCTTAACCAATGAAACGGTCATGCCGGACAAAACTGTACAGCTGTTTCTGATCTTCAACATACTACGGGTACTGCATGGACTTAAGCTAACCTTACCGGCACTGCTTGCTCTGAAGGTGTCGCATTTCTTGTCTTTTTGCAGGGCGTCAACTACATTCACCATCACACACCGTTCCGAAAACACGGCAATCTCTCGAGTCTAACCGTCATTTTAGATAGTCGATTTACAGTCAAAATCTGCGATATCGCCACTACCAAATTAACGCACTTTGTACTGGAGAAGCATGTCCATCTTGTGGACATAGCGGTTGTTCAGCCACCAGAATACGAGAACGCTAAATTCTTCCAAAATTCAGCACATGTGGTGGGTACCGTTGAGGCGGATATATTCTGCCTCGGTATCGTTTTGTACGAAATAATAAAGGAAAAAATTGTAGCAACGGACAAGGATTATCAACTCGGTAAGCCGGGAATTTCTGACTTCCATACGAAAAAATACGAATTCAGTTTGGTTGTTCAGATGCCATAAAGACAGTCGGAGAATTTCACTTGGAAATTAAGTCTATAATTGAGCAGTGTTGCTCCGTGTACCCCAAAGCGCGCCCAACCATCTGGAACATTCTAGCTCGCGTCAGCGACTATCAGCCGCGTGGTACAGTGGTCAGTAGCTTAGTCAGTCGGTTAGAAAAATACGCGGATCAGTTAGAGACCACTGTAATACACCGGACCGAAGAACTAATGATGGAACAAAGGAAGGTCGATCTGTTGTTAGCAGAAATAATACCTCCGTAAGTCTTGAATGTACTTATTTAGCATCTACCTGAAGTCAGCAGCGATTTGTGGCAGGTCTCTAGTGTCTTCGTTACGAAACAAGGTCCCGGTTCCGGCGGAGACCTTCAGCTGTGTGACGCTCTACTTCAGCAGTATGTTGGGATTCGATCAGTTCTGCAAATCCCAAACACCATTAGAAGTTGGACAGTTCCTCAACGAATTGTACACCGCTCTCGACAAGCAGATTTCAGCTTTTGATGTGTACAAAGTTGAGACAATAAAGGATGGATATGTGGTAAGAGATATTGACCCTTTCCGCACGATTTAGAGCCTTAAAGCTAAAGTGACCTTTATACAGGTGGTGAGCGGTATCCCCATTCGCAATGGGGACCAGCATGCGCTTGAGATTGCTCGTATGGCGCTGTCCATTCTGCATATGTGTACAACGACGAAATTCAAGGTCCACTTGCCCATTCGTATGGGTATTCACAGTGGTGGGCGTGAAAAGAAAATACCGTACACTTGTGGCTTACAACTGAAACATTTATTTTTTTGTGTCGCAGGGCCCATAGCAGCGGGATTTGTTGGCGTAAAAATGCCGCGATATTGCTTGTACGTATCTGTCGATTCGTAAAGCTCAAAGGAATAGAAAGCGCTCGTTGTTGGAATGTTTACTACATACTTGTAGTATATTAACCGCAAATGTACGACTGTTTTTTTGTAACTTGGCAGATTTGGAGATGCCATGAATACGGCAAGTCGTATGGAAAGTCACGGAGAGGGTAAGTTGGTTTATTGTGCAAATTATGTACATACTCTGTATGAATACAAAACAATCTGATCATATACTGCGTACATGACGTACACAGTCGTACCCAGAAAACCTGTAAAAAGTACTCTGTATGTTTTAGCTTCTACAATGCTTTTCAGGCTCGATGATACACGTTAGTCCCGATACAAAACTATTACTCGGCGCTGCACCGGAATTCCATCTGGAAAGCCGCGGAATATCCCAGATCAAGGTAGCGAGAAAGTAACTGCAATGTGTTTATTGTTTCTTTTTGACAGTCGACGGTGTTTACAGGGCAAAGGCCTTATGGAAACGTTCTGGCTCAAAGCCAGAGTTTAGCAAACTGCACATTCATCAAGAAACTATCAGTCATATCTTTGTTTTTGCATAAATAATGTTGTATTTGAAACCATGGTGATTAAAAAATTTTGTGTATGTTTAGTTATTCTGTAAAATAACTAAACATTTTGTGTATGTTTAACTAAACATTTAATTTTGTGTATGTTTAGTTATTCTGACACTTCGACAAAGCTAAGGTAAAAACGTGCGTGTTCAGGGTCAGCAAGATGCTGGATGAAGGACGTATAAATATCGAGTGACCTAATAATGATAGCACTGTATTTCAAGTCCTTTTTTATGCAACATCAATCCTATTCCTCGCTGGTTGCAGCCGTGTCAAATTCAATCTTATTTAAACGTGTGTGATGCAACATCATTAAGAATACTACTCGACACCAGAGGCATACCGGCATGGAATAACGCCCACGTTTACAATTGTTAATTAGATTAAACAATGCAAACTATTGGCTGCTTTTAAAGGCCAACGGAGTGATGACTCTAATTAATACCGGACACCAGTTGGTCTCCGTTCTCGTCGGTAAAATTGCAAAAATGCGCTCATTTCGCCTAGGTACAGCTCAAATTTCGCCACAGAAATAATCGCTGCCATTACAGGAATAATATCTTGTGCCAATTGCAACTACGTACAGTAGTAATCGCGTTATCCTTGTCGGTTACTATGAATTGCTGCGGCCTTGACCAGAAAACGGAAAGCTGCAAATGTATCTCGGTATCCTCTTTTACGCCTTACGGTATAACAACTCTTGTTGTAGGCGCTGCCGATCAGTACGCAGTAACATACACTGGGCGTTTCCCGCTGTAAAAATGAAATCAAATGTTCAATAAATTCCCGCCTGCATCCATATTATCCCGGTTGCATCCTGTTAATTATCGGGATGGCGCAGCAGATGTTTGAATAGACGTACGGGAAATCATCTATAAAAACTCGGACGTGGTTTTTTTCATAGCCTAAGGTGGGTCGATCGATGGCTCATTTCCCGCCGTAGAGTTACGAGAACCGATATGAAATGTATGGACGATCTGTTGCTTGCCTGACGGGATTCATTAGCTGACACATCGATACCGCCCGATAATGCAACATCTTTAGTTTTTAGAAACGTTTCTCTCGTGTCGCTTGTCTGCGCGCTGCTTGCATGACAGTCGATTCAACAAAAACTGATATACTTTGTATTCTGTTCAATATTTACTAGCCAACGTGCGCAGCTGATTTTGAAGTCTTTCCCGAAGTTTGCATGACTTCACTTGCACAATTATACTGTTTATCTTATTTACTTATTCCAAATAATACGGGGTGATTAATCCCCAATCGTTGTGAGGAAATGCGTAATATCGTCTTCCGGATTTTGGGTATTGTTACGGTGTTGACCGGATGCCGGGCGTTGAATTTCATAACGGTTATTATCGGTGAAAACCGGCTATCTGGATACTACGCTGCTATGCCATATTACGACGCCGCATTTGACATCGCAGCTCAAAGATACCCAGCCATCTTTGGTAATTTAACTCGCATTCCTGTTTACAAACCTGGAAACACGGACTGCAAGATTTCGGGAGACGAAATGCCAGAACTTCTCGGCCGAGTTTATAAAGCACTGCAAGAAATGGAGGGACTTACAATTTTGCTGTCCCATGGTAGGGCTTTCCGCGAAAAGTCAGTTTTGGTCGATGGCGATTAATTACCGTAATCAAACAGAATTTCTAGGTTGTAGTCCAGAAATGATTATTCTTGGAGATTTCGCTCGTGGTAAGTAGATTGTTACAGAATTACATTGCACAGTGTACTTTACGTAATTGCGCGGAAAAATCAACCTTTTTTCTGCTGGCCAATCTAGAGGTCAAGGTTCCGCTACTCGCCAGGTAAACAGACGCGTAATATAAGTGCCGATCGATAAACCATAGAACGTGCGTTTGTTGCCAAACAGTCTATCGACGGATGTTATCTTCACCGACCGCCGGCGCTACTCAACAGTCGTCGGATTCGGGGGAACCAGTCAAGGTAATCAGGTACCGGCTATCCGGGCCTTTCTCCGCCACTACCTCTGGACCACGGTCACGCTATTCTGCGATGCGATCAGCAATTATACGACGCTATCGGGTTTCATCGGAGCAAACTGCCGCGGATTACAAGCGGTCCTCACGGCCGCCAATGGATACGAGTTGTACGTTGAAAATTATGATTCCAGTAAGGATCCTGATTATACTCCGCGACTGTTGCGTGCTAAAAGCCAATCACGCAGTAAGTGTGCTGTTCGTACACGGTACCTACTCGGATAGCGAAAGATTGTAACTGAACCTTTACGGTTTTCAGTTTACATCATATTTACTCGGGCTGATCAAATGCGGAAATTAATGGTAATAAAAAAAACGCACCCGTTTGATAATTTTATGTTGGAGAGTTTTCTTTGCTTTCAGGTTACTGCACATGCCCTAAACATGACACGTAGTGAATTTGTAAGACATCATTTTTCCGTTAGTTAAACGGAATTCACAAAATAGTTTGCGTGTAAATCAGGTTTATATCCATCCCATGTGCAACCAGGGCGTGGGATACCTTCCGCTTGATGTTAATGTTGGAGACGATGATGATACGGTACAGTACTTGCGGTGTTTGCTCGTCAAAATTGTGCTTTTTTATACTTCATTATCAGCTGCTTCCTTTTCTTGTTGCATAACCGACTGTTTTGTAACACTTGTGAACAGGAGGTTGTTGGACTGTGTTATGTAATCATCCAAAAAAGCACCAAGGACTTTTGTTTTTAGATCATCCGGCAAGCTTACAAGTATGTCATTAAGGTGACCTTTACCCCCATTGATTACGAGTCCGCAGCGGACTTCCTGCACGCTGTTGCTGTGAAAGCCGACAGCAGCTACAACTTCACTTACGGATACGATGAATTAGTAAGCCCGTGAAACGGAACTATGCGGGCGTTTTTTCTACCATGTTATCAACAAATTCTTGGCAGCACAATGAGATCGCCATGGCCATTCCGGAAATGATCTTGTCCGTCGGAAAGGTAGATTCCTGGAGCAACGATCGATACCTTCACTCATTCCGCTTATCTGACCCGGTTTTTTTCCGAAAGGCTCTGAATGAATCATCCATTCCGCTGAGTGCGCTGTCCTATAATGATTTTCTGAACCTCTTCGTAAATTGCACCTTTGATAATGGTGTCTTACGGCAAGTTGTAATGGGACCGCTGGGAATGCGCTTGGTGGATTCGGTGTTTTATAAACTCAACCCAGTTAGTCAAGAATTTCAGGTAAATACAAATACATTCAAAGACTTCACATTCTTTACATACAAGTTTACACTTTGACGGTTGACCATTCAGCCAGCATGGGCATACGATGCAAAAAACCAAGAAATTGGTGAGACCTCGATTCTGGCTGGTAACTGGGGCGACACAGCGAATCAGCCCCTGAATAAGCCAATCTGCGGATATCGAGTTTCCAACTGCTTTGTTATGGACCGCGGTAAACTGAAACACAAAAAGCGTTCTCATCCGCAACTGCAGAACATACAAGCCGAATTTCAGGAACGCGGACCATCATCATTGGCTCAGTCTTGGGAATCATTGGCGTGTGCGCCATTGTGATTGTATCGGTAATTTTGTACACGTAAGTAATCAAAGTTTACAAAGAGAAACAGAATCTAAAACTAAACGAAATAAGCAGGTTGATGTAAATGTCGTACAGAGTACCGTAACAAATGCGTAAATGGTACCATAAAATACATGTACAGTATCTGCGAAAAAACACCTGTACGTCGAAGTGTAAGAAAGATTACTTTAATACGATAGTAATCTTAACCTTTTACATTTCTAGGAGACATCTTAACCAATCGCAAAAAAATACCAGATGGCTGCTGCAATCCGAACACATTCAACTCCCCCGCAACCAGCGCCGCACGAGCGGTCACGTCGGTATACAAATGGGTCGATACAAAAACCAACCAGTATGGATGCGCACGGTGCATATTCGGCTGACCGAAGTTGAGCTGTCCTCTTTTGCGCGCAAAACGCTCTTAACGGTTGGTGTGCCGTCTGCTTAAATTCACTACATTAACACGTTGGGAAAAAATACTGACCTTGCAGTTGAGCGAAATGCGGCACAAAAATATAGGACAATTTTATGGGCTGCTTCTATTGGAAGTGTCCAGTCACATTGTCTGGGAAGGTGGACGGGAAACACTGCAGTCTCTTTTCCAAAACGAAGCCATCATCAACGACGGAACCATCCAATTATTTCTCATTTTCAATATCATTGCGGTACGTCGTATCGTTATCACAATCTTCTACTATTTCCCGACTTCAGCAACTAGACTGCAACGTCTTACAGGGTTTACACTATATCCACAAAAGAACGCCGTTATTAGTGCACGGCAGCCTTTCCAGCCAAACCATAATCATTGACAGTCGCTTCGTGGCCAAAATTAACGATATCGGCTCGGCGGTTCTGTCGCGAGCAATAACCAAACGCGACAGCGTCATAATGCATCTGATTCGGCGACGCTCCAGCCATCGTGACCAGGCCGCGCCCAGTGGTTCCCAAGAATCCGATATTTTTGCTCTGGGTGTCGTTATCTGCGAGATTATGTTGGGTCATACTGTCAAGCCGAATAACTTGCTACCTTTGCAAATCGGTCAGTTTTCGTTGCCATTTGACACAAAGATTGGGAGCTGTATTGAATAAACTGTTACAGATACGATTCAGTATCGCGATCCCATTTTTCAACTGAAGATTCGCCATGTTCTGCAGTGGTGCTGCTCCGTTGATACGGACTCACGACCATCGATAGCCGAGGTTGTTAACGAATTAGAACCGTATCAGCCGACGGGAAATGTGGTGGAGAGCTTGCTCAACCGCCTCCAAAAACACGCTGATCGTCTGGAAGACATTGTTCGCATTCGCACTGCTGAATTACTGTCGGAAAGCAAGAAAGTGGATGACCTACTCGCTGAAATTATTCCAGCGTAAGGGCAAACTTATCCTCGCTGTTACTGTCAGGTGTTTCATTCAGTAAAGGTAAAGATTTTTCGTGTCAGGTCTTTGGTCCCCGCTCTGCGCAACAAACTGCAAATACATGCGGAGACCTTCGAATCAGTCACCATATACTTTAGCAGTATGGTGGGTTTCGATCAGTTCTGCAGGACCACTTCGCCAATGGAAGTTGGTCGCTTTCTCAACCACCTGTACACGTCGGTGGATAAACACTTGTATGATTTGGATGTGTATAAAGTGGAAACTATCAAGGACGGCTACGTGGTACGCTTTGATCTGTAACGTGTTCATTTTATTGGTGGCAGTTGCAAATGTGATTGTTCGTGAACGGTTAAAGGTCGCAAGTGGTGCTCCAGTGAGAAACGATAGGCATGCCCATGAAATTGCCACATTGGCCTTGCGTGTAATGGAAAAGTATTCAACGTGTAATTCGCCAACGCATCTACCAATCAGAATCGGCATCCACACTGGTAAAACATTACTGTAGATATATAGTAGAGTATTTTATGTCGGCAATTACGAAATACAAGTATTTAAACTTTGCAGGGCCGATTGCTGCGGGGATCGTAGGTGTCAGGATGCCACGTTATTGCCTGTAATTAGAGCGATACTTACATTACGGGTTTTAATTTTGTAAAGAGTTGCTTTGGATTTGATTGTAGTTTCGGTGATACTATGAATACCGCCAGCAGAATGGAAAGCCACGGAGAAGGTACGGTAGTTAATATTTTGGCTAAAGAAGAAATTATTAAACAGACGGCTATATTAGGCTCCAAGATTCACATAAGCCTGGAAACCAAACAGGCTTTGGCAAGAAAACCGGAGCATATTTTCCAACCACGGGGTATTATTGATGTGAAGGTACCGGTGTTCAGTTCAACTGATTTCTTTTGACAAACTTTGACTGCAGGCATTGTTGATTCCAGGGAAAAGGTCTCTGCGAGACGTTTTGGCTGCTAGGTGTTGTCGCCACGCACATGTAACTTTACTTTCCGAATACTGGAATGAGTTGAGTTGTAAATCCGTAGAATGCTGTGACAGGTTGTCAAATTACGCAAAAGCATGCACAAAATGGTTCTGATTTAAATGATTTTCAGATGAAAGTTTTTATATTAGCTGTATCAGCTGTTTGTAAGCTAAAAATGAGTTTCACGCAAAAGGACCTTTGTTCAGTTATATTAATTGGCCTAATTTCTTTTGTAAACTTTATGAGAAAAAGCACTGTTTTTTTAAATACGGTCTGTACGCATAATATGCGGGGATAAGTCTACTGAGTAGATCTGATAAGATTACGAGGTTAATAAATGATCGATTATCTTCGGCATAACTTTACCCAAGAAACCCGGGTGCATTATGTAACTCCGCATCGGTCGTTTAGCTACAGAAGGAAAGCAAAGGTCAAAGAGAAAGAAGTGTTAAATTTCGAAGTTTCGTTATACAAACACGTCGCCTGCCGATCAAAACGTCGTACTTCATAAACGTTATCGTGAATAGACAAGCGGAAAACGTTGCGAATCTGCCATGTCATGCACCGGTTACTCTTAAAACAACCACGCGATCGCTAACGATAGCGACTGCCCGAAATATTGACACGATATGTTCGAGTGGCTGTGCTAGCAATGTACTCAGGTAATATTACGTACGGAAAATAAATAACCCCACGACTGTTTTCCGCATTTTACTATGGAGTGCCCCTTTGTGATGATGGCTGGGTACTTTTGTTAACTGATATTATCGAGACACCTTTTTAATAGTTTAATTGTCTGCTTTTTACAAATTGGCCTTTTTTAATGTCGGCAGTTTACTGTTTGTTTTGCTAAATAACCTCCACGGTTACTTAGCAGGAGGAAGCGGTCAAAAATGCATAATGATAGCCTATCAGGTTACTGTTCAGCCGAAAGTCAATACACGCATTACAACGCATTTAAATCAACAAACATCCAAAAAATCCATACTTGGATTAGTTGTTGGTATCAGTCGCGTGTCAACTTTTAAGCCGACTAATCTTGCCCAGAAAGTCATAGCCAGAAAATGGGTTGCCAACATATGTTCGATCTGCGATTCTTTCGATTTCCTTGTAGAGTTTTAAGTGCATGTAGCGGTTTGTTTTTCCTGTACAAAATGGGTGACAGCTCAGCAGCACCTTAGTCGTTAACGCTACAGAAGAACGACAATCTCGGAAAATGCGATTAAAGAACGTCTGGATAGTTTGTGCATTTTGTGCGCCTGTTTGCCAGTCAAAGGTCAACTTCCTTATTGTAATATTGGGTGAAAGTCCTTTATATGGATACTTTGCACTGATGCCATATTTTGATGCTTCCTTTGCCATTTGCAAGAAACGTTTCCCGGAAACGTTTGCCAATGTGACGATGCAGGCGGTGTTTGAGCCTAACTTGCCGGCTTGCGGAGATACCACCGCGGCGATGCCGGCAATAACCGGCAAAATCTACCAAATACTGGAAAGGTTCAGTGGGTTAACGATCCTATTCACCCCAGGTAAAAAGCTAAAACTTTCACCGCATCTACGTTTTCTTCACTTTTGTGGTATCGTTTTGTCAGGCTGCAACTTAGAAGTTGTACCTTTAGCGGATTTGGCTCGAGGTGCGTGTTAAGGCCAGTAATACAGACTGCATCATAAAACCACCGCGCAATTTGCTGTTACTTGCTCGAACATGGGTTCATCTTTTTAGAAAAGGATGTCCCGGTAATCAGCAGGTAAGTAAAGTTTGCAGAAACAAGCATACTACAGTACTGTACAACTAGCGCTTCTTCTCTAGCAAAGCCGTAAACGGAATTTTGAAATTAACGCTGTAATGGTCGTTAACGTATAACTTGGCCGTTTTCTAATTCAGCTTCTACGAATGTGTTGATATTAAAAAAAAAAACTTTCGATTTATCAGGCAGTAGTCAGTACTAGTCACAACCACTCGAAAAACAAAAACAAAACACTGGAAGTCATAGCTATTATTTGTAATAATCGAAATTAGGTAGTGTCACGGAGAATTTAGGTACAAAGTAGTTATCCAATTAAAAATGTTATAACTGCTTAGCACAATCTGGGATCCGACCTTTGCCAACCGGCAGCGCTTCCCCACCTTCTTGTCCTTTAGTTCGCGCGGCACGGGTGGACATGTTCCAGCCACCAGAGCCATGATGCGCCGGTACGGCTGGCGTACGGTGACCATTTTTTGCGATACACTTTCGAAGAACGCCGCAGTGGCCACATTTATTAGCTCACACTGTCAGCATTTCCCCAAGTATTTGACGGTAGCTGATGGTTTTCAAGTGTATTTTGAGCGCTATGACTCGACGTTCGATGACGATTATCGGCCCAGATTGCTACGTGCTCGATCGCAAAGCCGAAGTAAGGGGTTGTCCTGGCAAGTTCAATAACTTTGCTAATACAGCAACGCTGGCAACATTAAAAATATTCGGATATTAACGATTTTTATTGCAGTTATTATTCTACTGACACGAGCGGATGAGGTGCGGAAAATCATGGTATTATGGGTGTGATTTTTGGTTTACTTCCCAAGCAGTAACCAAGAATTCATGAGGCTGAATTGTTTGTTTGGCTTGTCTAGCTGATGGCCAGCCAATTGGACATGATCAACAGCGAATATGTACGTAAGTACTCATAATGCATTTAATATTAACACGCTCTCCTTACGCTTTTAAAATTCGTCACGCTTGTTTTCTAGAGAGCATGATAATTTTTCTCCACATGCAGAACGGTGTTAAAGCGCGGTGTTAAGAACGAAGAACGGTGTTAAAGCGTTAGATATCGGCGGCTGCCATATCGGTAATCAGCCATTATTTGCAGATATACATCTTTACATTAACTCTACAAGGATTCGGACATCTCCCGTTGGTTGTGGATACCGGTCTCCCGAATGACAACGTAAGTTCGCAAGAATTACGAAGTACCGTCGTATGTGGGATTTTCTGATTCATTGTTCTGGGTAGGTAACGTTCGAAGCGTACAAAAGGCTTGTCGTGTTGACTTTTGAAATCCCGGATTTTAAAGCCCTTTCGTGGTTGATCGACGCTGCGGCCGATATTGCCAATAAAACCTACAAACACCCATTCACAGCTGAAGACAAAGTAAGTCGTTAAGTTGTCCATAAATAAAACGGTAGACAATGGCAAAAAATGTTACTTTGGGTTGAAATTTGCAGTACAGCGAACTCACATTGACCATTCCCGAAATGATCTTTTCGGTGGCGATTGCGCTCAACAGCAGTACGGTCCCGCTGGAAAACTTAACAAGCCAGCAGTTCCACGACGCAGTCATCAACCGGGAATTCCCAAGTGATCTCCGTCGCGTTGTCATAGCGTCCAATGGAATGCGACTAGCCAATACGATCTTCTTGAAGCTTAACGTAACAAGCCGCAATTTTGAGGTACAGTATATTTTTTGCGAGCATTACATTTGCATATATTACGTTATAAAATTCTGTGTTTTTACACAGCCGGCATGGTTCTATGATCCCGTAGCGCAGAATTTTTCCAAAACATCCGCGCTGGCCGATCAATGGTTCGATCCAACTGGTCCGCCCCTGAATCAACCTAAATGCGGCTTCCTGCGCGATCGCTGCCTTCAAAGTCAAGGTAGATTCTCACAGTAGATCGATCGAGCGTAGAAACATTTACCCGATTATTCTAAGAAACGAATCTTTCCGGTTATAGATTTGCTGCCAACGATCATTGGCTCCATTTGCGGTGGTCTCCTTGGATGCTTTTGCATTGTGGCGGCATCCATTACTTTTATGTACCGATCTGTTGCAACCTAGCTGGATGGCGTACACAGTTACATTTAATGCAATGATCGTGATCTTTCTTATAGGAAATGGATTTCTGTGCGGAACGAAGGGAAATGGTGGAAGCTTGCTTATGACAGTGTTTTACTGCCAACCGATATGCTGGTAGCAGATCCCAAAGAATCTTTACAGTTGGCGCTGTATCTCGGTGACAGAGTGCTCGTACGGATGGAAACCGTTGAAGCTCTGGATCCCACCGCTGAGTTCAATAATCCCACGTTGAAGATCCTCAGACAGGTGATCAACGTCATTAAAAATAGGGTTATGGTCAGGCTATCGTTGTTATGTTATTTATAGGCTCTTTATAAAGCGACACTTTACGATACTTAAAATGTTTCTATGTGTAATCGCAATAGAGCAGCTGGTTGGGCAGATTTCCGAAAAATAGCAATGCAGAACAGCAATCATTGTAACCAGAAACTAAACATTTTAATATACGTTAAATCAATAATTGCAGCTCCGAGATATGCGCCATGACAATGTTGGCCAGTTTCGCGGATTAGCGAGCCAAAGTCACCTGTTTTGCATCATTTGGGAAGGAGGCAGAGGGAGCCTCCGGAGTGCGTTTTCCAACGATGCCGTCATGTCGGAAGAATCGATTAAAGTGCACTTCATGTACAATGTCATCCTGGTATGTCGAACATAAACCATTATTATCTTTAGCAGAATCCTAATTCCCTGCATTATACATACAACTTGCAGGGATTGCGATATATTCACCTTAATTCGAATGTCGAAGCACATGGCAGTTTATCAACCGCTACGGTTATCTTGGATAACCGCTTTACGGCTAAGCTATGTGACGTCACATCGATTTTACTGATCAACCAGTGCACGAAGACCAGCAAAATTGGGAGTGTGGCTTTTGTTTCCAAACCGGACGACATATATTGCTTGGGCAAAGTCATTCTGGAGATTCTCCGAGGAAAGCATCTGGAATCTGGCGAGGAACTGTTTCTGGGTAAATAATATTACAAATACTACTTAGCATTTATTTGCAAGCCTATTATGTGAAGTGTGTAACGACCTGATAATTTTAGATATGTTCAAAATCAACAACAAAATGTTTCTTTCCGATGTGCGGGAGACACTCAAGTTGTGCTTCCGGGACAACCCTTTGGAGCGGCCAACAATCAAAGCACTCTACCAGAAACTCGAACGATTTCGACCCAAAGGCACCGTCGTTGATAATCTCCTTCATGGACTACAAAGACACGCGGAAAATCTGGAGGATATCGTGGCGCGACGCACCGTGGAACTGTTATCCGAGCGACGGAGAGTCGATGATCTTTTAGCCGAAATCATACCAAAGTACGTTGCATAATGAGCAATCAGAGAAGTACCTGATTTGGAAAGTGCTAACGTTTATGCTTATAATATTTTAGACCATTCATTGCTCGAATGAGAGACCAGCGCATTCCTCCTGCCGAGACCTTCGATTCGGCCACCATTTGTTTCAGCAGCATGGTAGGCTTCGATGATCTTTGCCGATCCAAGCAGCCAGTGGAGGTTTGTGCGTTTCTCAATGAGTTGTACAATTTCCTCGATCTGCAAGTGGCTGGCTTTGACGTATACAAAGTGGAGACTATCAAAGATGGCTATGTGGTACGTAAGCCAGAAATACAGTATGTACAAACCACGTTGAAGAGAACTTGTGTCCTTAATAGGTGGCTAGTGGTTTACCGCTTCGCAACAACGACCAGCACGGTTTCGAGATAGCAGCCATGAGTCTGCATATCTTGAACAGCAATACACCTGGCAATTTCAAAACCTTCCTACCAATCAGGATTGGTATCCACACGGGACCGATTGCAGCCGGATTTGTGGGGATTCGAATGCCTCGCTATTGCTTGTTAGTTAAATCTCGTAAATCGAGATGTAACTGTTTCTGGAATATTTTTATTAATGATCTTCGTGCACAGATTCGGTGATACCATGAATACTGCCAGTCGAATGGAAAGCCATGGCGATGGTACAATAAATTCCAAAAAGTTTTATTTTACTGTTATTAAAAAATGTCTTCTGCAGCGTCAAAGATCCATATCAGCAGCAGTACAAAAACATTGTTGGACAATTCAGGACAATTTTGCCTGGAGCCGAGAGGGCTAATCAATGTCAAGGTACAGCATTAAACGCATGATATCTTGGTGAATATAACTGTAAAACCAATAATTATTGATTGTAATACGAGAAACGTGTTTCAGGGCAAAGGACTTGTGGATACTTATTGGTTAACAGGACAAACGATGGTCTTAAGATAAACGAATTGGCTGAATATACTGTAGTATTGCACCTCTGCTCACTTTAGTTAAAAGTAATGAAAATCAGATGTTGTCGTTCTTAGGCTCACTATGTACAAAATATTCGTAGTGTAAAATATCTATTTTAGTAGGTACGAGCAGTCGTTAATAAAGTTATCCAATGTGGGACTAAGAGTACTTTTTGTATACATATATATTTCGTTTGCCGCATTTTGTATTTTACAACTGAACATAGGGCAAGCAATAACATAAACATATATGCGATAACATTTACGAGTACATTTTGTGCTACCCAGCTCTTAATTTCTATTATGATCTTCGCATAACTTACTTAAAATTTTATGAGAGAATATTTTATAACTCATTACCAAATTTTATTTCGCTATCGTTGTTATGTAAACATACGTTGTTTTAAATAAAATTCGATTGTTGAAATTTTTGCTTGGCATTTGCGCATATACAGTAACACTGGCATATTTTAATTAACTACCACGCAACCTGCTAAAATTTAAAATACATGTACACTTTGTATGTGATGTAAAATTTAAATCAAAATTTATTTTATATCTGTTTGCTAGACCACACTTAGTCACTTCCTTAATTACCGGACCGCTTTGCGAGAAAGAGAGCAAACAAATGCAATTAGTCGCGTCTGTAAAACGTGGTTTGTCTAAGTCTACAAGTAGAATGCTTTACTTTAGGCAAAATTTATTACTGTACAATTCCTGCCGGGAGCTTCTCCTATCAATTAATCAGATCACTGGAGCAGATATACTTTTGCTACTTGATTTGCAAGTATATTGTTGCCTCTTGCACGATGAAGGCTACTTCGGTGGTAGTAAACAATTTTATAGAATGCAGTCCGCTGCTGCCAAAAACCAGAATTTATTTAAAAGTAAACCGCAAGAATTTAGCTTGCAGCTGCGCATTTTTAGTTATGGTGCCGGTAATTAGCGTACTTAAACGATCTGAACCACAGGATGATGATTGTAGCTAATTTTTTCCGTCGGCAGTTATCAGTTTTGCTTCTTTCCCGGTAACGCTTTGCGTTGGATCAACATGGCTGGCTATATTGGTAAGTGGCCTTTGTATGCGTGCTATTTACTTAAAAAAGGCAGTTTTTTTTCTAATAATCACGGATAATTACGGATTAGCTTTTATTTGACCTCGTAACCTACTTAATAAAAACTTTTATATTAAAATTAATTGTATAACAGCACCAGATCAGAATATACATTAACTACAATGGCAGTAACAGTTAATTAGAATTAATTTGAAAAAAAGAACTGTTGTGGCACAAATTTTCATGTTTTACATTTTTGCCGATTCTTATATGGTTACCAATTTTTCGTAATAATGACTTTAAAGTTTAGCTAGTGTTTAAATTTTCGGTTGAGTTTGTAAAAATTCTACATCGTTTCGGCAGATGCGTTGCTTCTCCTCGGCTGTGCAATTAGCGCACAAGGTAAGCTCATGATCCTCAACCACAAAATACAATAAAAACTACAATATTAAACCTTTTTTAGCCCTATTCGAGCTAAACGGCTTCACCATGGTGTGCAACCCTCCGATAAAATTCTCCGGCAACGACAATAAACAAGCCTGCATTAAGCGCTGCACCTCCAATCCCAACTGCCAAGCCGCTGTGTACGATTACAACGAAGGCGTTAACCGCGACACCTGCGCCATCGTGGAGAAGGGCGCCAAATGCGGCCCGACCGTGGCTTATCTTCAAGACCGCAACCGACCGTACATGGTGACCATCTCCAACGTCGACAGCCCGGCGTACACCCCCGTTCACCAGGTGGAGGTGGAGCCCATCGTCGGCAATCTGCAGCCGGTCACTCAGGGCGTTAAGAAGTCCATGACCATCTACAATGGACCCTTCACCATCGGGGAGGATAAGTGCGAGCAGGCCTGCAAACTGCATACCGGCTGCAACGGTGTTCTGTTCGGCGGCAGCATGGCCGCCAATGCCGGTTCGTGGTGTGTGCTGAAGCAGTTTACCAAGCCCCTGGGGAAGGAGGCCACCTGCGTGCCGGCCCGTACATCGCTGGGACCGAAATGGAATTCTCTGTATTTTGAAAATGTGAAATATGCCCCGAAAGTGCAGTGTCTTATTTAATGCAGAAGACTTAAAAGCCCAACCAGACAATTTCAGCAACTACTGTAATGACAAGAGAGAAAATAAAAAACGTGAACACAAAAACATTACTGCAAAGATCGGTTTGGGATGACTGATAACGACATATGGGTTGAAAATTGTATTGTACCAATATAAAATAAAATGGCAACTTGTAAATTGATATCCGCCCACCCATGATACTAACATTATACCGCGACAAAGATATGCTACTCTAGGGTAACAGTACTTCTATGGATAACAGGTTGTTCTGAATAAGTGCAAATGAACGATTCTGACTCACGAGATCTACCTAGCTAAAAACCTGTGGCACCGGTTCGGCAAATGTACCCAGTAAAGTCAGCATCATATTACGGTATTAGAAAATCAACAAAATTTTGAAGGAGCACTGGGTTTGTACACGCACAATCATTTTCTTGAACTCGCACATAAAAATAAGAAACTCCAGAAACACGGCAAATTAGGTACCTGTATATGAACGCGCATTTACGTGCCCTACGTGACAGGCGCAACTACCGAATGCCATGCGAATATTTAATTCAGTGTGGCGAAATTACAATATCCAGTAATACGCCGATTAACTTTATTGTGTTGGTACTGATTGTGCAAGCTTTCATCGAAAAAAAATTAAAAAGGACAAGCTTTTAATGAAATAAATTGCGCTTTACGGCCTATACCATTGCGATTTTTCAACTGGCTACTCGATGGCACTGTGGCACATATCCTTAACGCGAAACAGGGTTAAGCCGGGGGCCAGCCAATACCACCCGGTGCAAATCCCTGACCGCGCATCTTCAGCATAGCGTCCATCATTCGATTTCCGGTAGCGGCAAACGATGAGCTCTGCCTTGTAGACTGCATCAACGCCGCACAATCCGCCGACAGTGGAGGTTGACAGTCGGGTAGGGTGCTGTCCCAGCCGGTTACCGTCATGTTGCTGTTGGCGAAGCAGAACGGCGCCAAGACATTGTCGACAGTGCGTTGGATGTAATTGAGTGTGGCCTGGTCCAGAGTCGGCGGACGTACGCGTACGTTCACCCAGAAGTATGGTGCATCGCAGAATTGTGCGTTACTGGGTTGCGAACAACGGTAGGCTACTTCCAGCAGGTGGTAGTCCGTATACAGTATGTAATACTGTATATCACCTACAACAGAATGTCTGTCACGCCTCACAAAACGCCGAGTTCATTTTGGCGGTACACATTGTAGTAGGAAATTCAGATTTTGCTTTTTAATTACTCTTATGAGTGAAGAAAGCGCTCTTAATTAAAAGTTCTCAACTTTTCTTAATGGCATCAGTGTTAGTTTAAATTGCTTTTTGATAGAGTGGCCAGGTATAATTTTCAGATTTACTGATGAACAGCTTGCTTACTTCTGGAAGGTAACGCCCCACTTCCGGTAAAATCAGGAAACCAAGCAGCAGCCGCTTCCTTCCCATCGGCAGTTACATTGGCCACAAGGCAGATACCAACGCATATTGGATTTGGTGTCTTCATGAGGAACGAAATGGTCCAATTGTACGGGGCGGACATTCCATTCTGGGCGCCCAGTGGGGTGAAGACGTTAATACAGTTGTAATCGATTATTCCCGGAGTGTATGCGGAATATTCGTACCAAACTCCTGCAGCCTGGCAAAAACTATTTTTAAATTTTGGAATGTTTAAAATATTTATATTTTAAGAAGAGAAATTTAGTGATATACTGTACCTGCGATGGATCAATGGAAACAGCCGGTGGCACCATCGGCACGCGGCAGTTGGGTGCATTTTGATACTGGCCTAATACCACATTACAATAAAATAACAGTGTTCCAGTGATCAGTATCGGATATTTTTTATCCATGTTACCATTGATACGCGATATGCTTGGCTTTTTTGCTAGCGTGACCACAAACGCGCGCCGAATGCATGGGCTTAAGTAGCGGTTTTTTACCAAGTGGTGCTGTACGTAATGATGCCCTAGGTCGCCTAAACTGGTCAGGAAAATAAAGCATGTTTGTTTGGATTGCATCACGAGATGTGTTCAGACCCAGGTACCTCAATTGTTACTCTGTTTTTCGTCAATATTTATTCGCCAGAGACCGGTTAAGAAAAGTGCTGGCGCTGCAAGACTTTCAAATATCTGCCGTTTGTATTCCATAATAATACGAATCGTTGTAAATATTTTATTTCAGTGGCGCTTCAACGGCGAACCTTGCTGCATCATCTCCAGCTTCGCCATCTTTTCAAAATGTTCCTCAACATATAAAACGAAGAGCGATAAAAAACGACTGTCATGATATAAGACGGAGAGCAATAAAAAAGGACTATCACATCCAAACCAGGAAGAATTACAACATTTCTAGTTTACAAACTTTTGAATGGCAAGAACAGTTATGTAAGGACAGTTCATACGCACACAGAATTCGCAACATTTCAGAGTTTTCAGTATTGTCTGTTCGGGTATATCGGCTCATTAAGCAAGGCCAAAGTGTCTATGGTCACAGCAACACATCCCGCTGGTTCGGGAATGTCGCAGTCAGGTTTGGCGTCATCGTACGTCTGCAGTCCAATAGCGTCCGCAGTGATGCAGTACCGGGCGAAGACAGCGTTAAAGATGCGATCAAGCTCCTGTCGGTCGTAAGCGGAAAACTTGCTCGGCCGAATTCTTGTGTTGATGGTTATTAAAGGACGTCCACAAATCCCGGTAGCAAAGTTGGGGTCAGTGCAGCCGTATTCGATGAAATACTTGTTGTAATCGGCAGCAACCACTACGGTATTCCAGGGAGCTACAAATATACTGTAGATCATTACTCGTACGTAGACCGTCGGCGGGGCCTTCCGTCTACGTAAGAAATTCGCCAGGAATTCCAATTTAGAGATATAGGGATATAGGGTGTTATTTTTTAAAGGCAGTTTGATTGTTTTTATCAACGCTTCTACCCTTCACGTGAACACCTAACACGTACTATCCTAGTATACAGTACGTAACAGTGTCACTGTGATGCAATGAAAAATTTTGACCTTTCTCGCTACTGTCTCCATCGACAGGCGTGGCTAGTACTATAACTACCTATCATGTTCTTCTTAATAAACAGAATAATTTAGACTTACTTGCGTTGTAGTCGGCCCTTGACAAGGACAGATCTCCTCGTTGACCGGCATCCTGCCCGACGCTGCCCACCCAGAACCAATACGAGCAGTTGCATGTAGGACTTGTCGGCTCACAGTGATACTGCGATGCCACCCTCCACTGGTATTCCGCCGGGATATCGGTCAGCGGCACCACGGTCGATTTGATTTTGTGCACGTAAAATTTTTCGTTGATGGTCGTGTGCGGGACCGGTGAAACCATGGACCGGTAGCTGTACCATAATCCGTGCAACTGGGCAAATATAAGGAACAAAAAATTACAAAATTTTAAGACTGCTGTAACAAAGTCTGCGGAAAACGTTGCGTACGATTGTGTGCACCAAAGAGAACAACAGTGTACAACAGCCTCGCGAAGGCAAAAGAATAATTCATATAAAAGGAAGTATAAACAAAGCTAACAAATTAAGTGCCGTGAATAATAACAGCATTATAAAATCAAATGTTCATATTCAACCCTATTAGCTGTAATGAACGATGTACAAGCTTTTCCGGTAATTTCTGTCGTAAAGGTACAGATAGTACACATTTAGCGCGGAATTTGCGCTATAGCGATTGCCACTACACTACGTTTGGCGTAACACGCAAATTTGTGTATCTCGCTGTTTTGAACCGGCAGAAATTACCGGACAAGCTTGTACGTGTATATTGTTCATTCAACTGAGAACAAGTATACTTTATTCACACGAAAATATACAGCCATAACCTGGTAGGCGGGAAATCTTGTAGCTTACGTTTTCCGGTCTGAGCCTTTCTGCTGGTGGTGGTACAACGTTGGGAAACCCGCACGGTCGACCATAATTAGGTTGTGGAGGATAGTACACTGATGAATTATAAGGAGAAGCAACATACGGCTGGGCTTCTGTTTGGGTTACCAAAATCCCGATGGCTGTAAGTAAAGGTTGATGTCAATGTTACCATGATAGAGACAGATTTACCATCACGACTGATGATTCAGTAATCGTAAACTCTACAGTAGGTGAATCAATTTATCCGAACTTCCCTCACCAAGCAAAATTATCGCAGGCATTTTTCCCATCCGCACTGAATCGGGAATAGTTTTTTGTGAGATATCCCCGTAAGTGATTGGTTCAATTGTGTTTGATATAAATATAGTTGATACTTTAACAATGATTGCTTACTGTACTAAGTGTACAGACTACAGATCACATACGTTGCTGCTTGACTGTAGCGGTGGAACAGTCGCACAGAAATTTCCTTAATTACACAACTTCGTTGCATTGATCTATAAGCATAACGTCTCGATAGTCTTTATATTTTACACGAATTACGTAATGCGCATGCAAAAACGACTCATGTTTTGCAGTTTTGTAACAAGTTGAACGCGCGCAATTTAAAATCATTTCAGATCAGATGATAGTTTTGAGGGACATGTGATTTTGTACATGAATCATGCCGAGAACTGTTGGATGAAATATACCGGCTGTTAAACTGTTTTGTGTGTGCAATCAGTGTATTTTTATATGCGTGATGGCCAGCTTGCAGTCCAGAAGAACCGGCTGCTAGAACGCTATGGACAACAACTGCGAAAACTGGCAGTCTGAGACAGAAACATTTTCCAACATTTTAACGACTACAGGTCAAACAGGAGGTGTCCATGTCGAGCTAACACGCAAGTGTGGGACGAGTTAAGATGCAATATGACACTGCCATCGTTTCGAAATTTCTTAATGTACCCGTACTGTAGATGTATCGTAATATTTAGCTTTCACTCTTAACCAAAACAATATGTATTCAGCTGGTGCTGTATCAGAGATACTTCCCCAATTAAGCGATATAGTACTTGATTAAAAATTCCAAGCTTTTTACTGCTTAAAACAAATATTCGAAGCAGCAATATCTTGCAATTGTGACGTGATAACTGATATCAAGAAAAATAACCGTACAATGTATAGCGCGTCGCTCCTCTCTGTTTCCTTTAACATCGACAACATACACCGTAATAAGAACAGAAGTATCTTTTGAGAGTTTAAAAAAAAACTTTTTTTGCGTTAAAGGTCAGTACGATTTTTTTCGCGTTCCTTGCACCAGAGACTCCATTCTACGACGCGTCATGCCACACTGGCAGTGTGGCATGACGCGTTGTAGAATGGAGTTTGGCGTAACCCGTAAATTTGTATAGGTATTTCGCTGTAGAGGCTAGAGTAGTAATTCGTCACAAATTACCGGATAAGCTTGCACACATTGTTCTGTCTGCCGGCCTGCGGGTGACCGTTCGGTCTGCAAAGTGTTCCACAACCATGGATAGTTGCACTAATCGAACAGCTTCGCTGAATTGATCAGCCGACAAACTGCCACGACATATGACGGCATCAGCAAAACGTTTAGTCCGCGCGTCGCGCGGACTAAAGACGCCAGCTTTACCCCCGCCATAATGCTGCCAGTCTACAAAAGATCACGAGAGACAGAATGTTATTATTTTCGTGCCATGGGAAAGAGGAAAGTTACTCGCCGCGGGCCAGCGAATGTTAACCCTGCATGGACACGTTGGCGGATTCGTATCTGTACAACCATAAGTCACCCAGCGGTGAAGGCCGGATCAGCAGCAGATCGAACACGTGAAGGGAAAATTGACGAAGAACAACTGGCTGCAACCCCGGCATAACATATAACATACAGATAGCCGCCACAGCCATTGAGACGGGACCAAGGAGCTTGTGAAAAAGCTCTGAAATGGTACGTAAAAGCTCATCACCTTGGAGGAGATGGCTGCATCCGGGCATTTCATTTATCGGAGATTGCATTACGTGCTCCTAGTAACTAAATACGAATATATTGGCCCCTATTGAATGAGATCGCAATTTGTTATCCCTTTCAAGTCTTATCTAAGTAGACTTTAATATGTTAAAATAATTAGCTATTCTATCGCAAAATCGTCGAAATCATGATGGATTCATCAATGGTGCCGACACTGCAGTGGCAGTGGAGGTGCAGAAAAACCAGTGATCAGAAACTGTTCAGCTAAGTGATAACTCCCTTAGTTTTACCCTCTGTTAGTTAGCAACGCTTTGCAAAGCTTCACACACACTGTGGTGGAATGATTTAGTGGTTGTCAATTGCTCCGCCATATGACCGTATTTGAATTTTGGAGCTCTTCGGTTTCATAAATAAAGATTTATCCGCTAGGATCGTTATTTGTTGTTCAATGGTGCTGTTGATCGGTTCATGGCTGCCATTCAGAGATTGCACTAGTAGAACATTAAACAAGAATGCACCGCAACATTGACATTAGAACTGTCATACAATTTGTCAGCTTAAAAGATTTTTCAATACGCAGATACTGCATCTATTTGCCAGTGCCCGGGCCCTGTTGCTGTTGTTGGCCACCTGGTTGGCCTCCTTGTTGGCCTCCTTGTTGGCCTCCTTGTTGACCACCTTGTTGGCCACCTTGTTGACCACCTTGTTGGCCACCTTGTTGACCACCTTGTTGACCACCTTGTTGACCACCTTGTTGACCACCTTGTTGACCACCTTGTTGACCACCTTGTTGGCCTCCTTGACCACCCTGTTGTTGCTGGCCTCCTTGACCACCTTGCTGTTGCTGGCCTCCTTGGGGTTGCTGGCCACCTTGTTGGCCTTGCTGTTGGCCTTGACCACCCTGTTGTTGCTGGCCTCCTTGACCACCTTGCTGTTGCTGGCCTCCTTGGGGTTGCTGGCCACCTTGTTGGCCTTGCTGTTGGCCTTGCTGTTGTTGTTGGCCTCCCTGTTGCTGACCGCCTTGTTGACCACCCTGCTGGCCTCCTTGTTGGCCTCCCTGTTGGCCACCTTGTTGCTGACCACCTTGTTGTTGTTGCTGGCCTCCTTGTGGTTGGCCTCCTTGTTGACCACCTTGTTGGCCTCCTTGTTGACCACCTTGTTGTTGCTGACCTCCTTGACCTCCTTGTTGGCCGCCTTGTTGGCCACCTTGTTGACCACCTTGTTGGCCACCTTGTTGGCCACCTTGTTGCTGACCTCCTTGACCACCTTGTTGTTGTTGGCCTCCCTGACCCCCTTGTTGTTGTTGACCTCCTTGTGGCTGCTGACCACCTTGCTGACCGCCTTGTTGGCCTCCCTGTTGCATACCTCCTTGCTGTCCGCCTTGCTGTCCTTGCGCTTGCGGACGAGCATGCATAACAGCAATCACTCCTACAGGCAATACGGCATCAGCGGATGTTTAAAAAAATTAGCTAAATTTTAACTACAGATACGTACCGGCGAGGACGATGAATACCAGTGTAGCCTTCATTGTTGCGGAAGTGTGGAGTATTCGGTTAGTAGGAGTTCAAAAGACACCGTGGATTAGCAGACAAGGGTATGATGAATTACCGTTCTCCTTTCGGTGTGTTATATATCTCCTGTCGAGCGCACCATCAGCAGTATGTACGCGGATTTACTGCCAAGACCACTTGAAGATACGGATGTATACCAAGTATCTGGACGTCCTGCGACCAGGTATACGCTGACGCTGCAGTGGCCTTACCGACTATCAGCAAAATTTAGCATGTCTAGACCATTTTTATCCAGGCATCAATATTGTTTGAAGTACCGAGAACAACCGTTCGTGTGTAATTAATATTTCCAAGCTGAAGTTTTTTTGCGCTCAGTCATTCCCTTATGGCCCGGTATCATTTAATTTAATACGTGTACGTAAAAAGAAAATAGCACGTTCAAAGTGCCGATACTCTTACTAGCAAAGGTTTTAGTACGGTATCGATTTCACTATTCCTGTAAATGTTTTTTGTACAACGGTTTTTGGTAAACTTTAGTGGACGTTCAGTTTTTCAAAAACTTTAGTGAAAACCGATTGTTTACAACTTTACCCTGATCTGTATAATACGACGGTGCTGTAGCACTGAATACTATCGCCGTAACACTTGTGAGCACTAGAAAGGTACAGTATTATCAGCACTAGTTTAATCTGTCGTAAAAGTTTATAGCGTATTTCTGGATTAAATCTTCACGCGAAATGATGACTAATTTATGACTGATTGCTTCTCCTTTTAACTCCAGGGAGAAAAAGTTACAATGTTTTATTAATGTTTTTTCTTCAAAGGCGTGCAGTATTCTTCAACGTTTGTTACTCAGTTAGCGACTACCAACTACTGTAAAAAACCTGCAGTGCAATATTTTAATCTACATCTTTTGTATAACAAAAAATTGGGATTTTATAAGATTATTTTAAACTGCTTAAAATTAGACGGTTTCCATTTTTTATAACTTTAACTGCTCGCCATGGATAAATTATCGTAATATGTTGCAAATCTGGAATATCAGAGTCCAGTTGTAAAGAGCGCATAATTATGTGTTTTTGTAGCAGACAACTTGATGTTTTTGCAATAAAAATTTGTTTTTGGACGGAGGTACAAGTATGCATCGCTGCACTTTTACGAGTAGTATGTTACTGTATGAAATCTGTTACTGTATGAATCGCTCCACCGTTGCCGCTTTCGACATCTTATACTCTGGCATACTGCATGACATTACAGAGTACAATCACATTTTATAGAAGATTGAAGAATTGTGTTAAAAGTAATAAGTGAATCAAAAATACAGGTAATTAATGGAGCACAGGTAAAGTACTGCTGATGCTGCATCAGCTCGAACACATAAAGTGGTATACTGTGTTAACGGCTTTACGTAACGCATCTGAGCGCCGATTTTTCCATATTCGTGCTCAAATAGCAATTCATTGGTCCGCACTCAGCAATGTCGGCACAATACATAGAAAGAAAGTGTGCAATTGCACTGTTCAAGCTCTTTTGATTGTGGGACATTTTAATAAAATTTTTATGTAAAAGACGCAAGTAAGGTCGTTACGCCACAGTGGAAACGCGAACACACCGATGTCGAATAACCATAACAGCTGATAAAGCACTAAACAGTGCACACTTTATTCCGATTGATGTGAACCTTGACCAAGGAAATGTAAATGTTAACCGCTTGTTAGTTTTTTGATTCCGAAGATGAAATAGTGATTATTCCCGCAAGTTCCCTTATAGGTAGCATCAGTCCAAACCTACCGGTACAACAGCAAAAGTAAATAAAAACGTATAGTGACTGAGCAGTGTAGCCGCTGCATGCCGTACTCACCGCATAGTCCCATTTGGCCTTGATATCGAAAACAAAGTTATTCCAGACGAAATTCGGATACTTGGCCTTGATGTTATCCTGAATGTAATCGCACTGTGCCTGTCGCTCCGTCTCCTTGAACCAGTTGCAGGCGTGATTGACAAAGCCGTCCAGCGCTTCGAACATTTTCGGGTCTTTCTTCATCACGGTCGATTTTACGGTATCGGGTTGGGTGCTCTGCAGTAGTTTTCCTCCGCTCGAACCACCACCCGCATTGCCTCCGCTGGGAACCGCTCCGGGTTCATTGGATATTCCCCTGGTTTTTGCTCCGAGAACAGCGAAAATGTGGCACGCAATCTAACAGTCGCAAAGCACGGTGTTAACGTAATGTACCACGAAAATGTCGAATTATGTGCGTATAAACTCACCACAATTGCTGCAACAGACCGCATTTTCCGTTAAGTTTATTGTAACTTGTGGAAAAATGCTATCGTCCACTACGACCGAGTGAGCAAAATTGCAAACTGCAATCCGTTCGATCTAGGGGAAAATTATGCTACAAATCGCCAGGAGGATTCTTACGCAACGCGGCTATTTATTGATGGGGGTTTGACGACTGTTTAATTGCTGCAGTTGGAGCTTTCCAGTTTACACGTTAATTACTCATTACATGCATTGCCGAGATAATTGCTGTCCAGGCCCTACCGGCACCACTTACTCATCGCAAATTTTTTGCCAACCGCAAACTGCAAAGAACGCAGCTGCATAAACTACCGTAACAATTTTGTACAATCTGTATGAAAATTTTGTCGTTGACGAAAGTGGTATGAAATTCTCCTTTAAGTAATATTTGGACACCGAATTTGGTAGATGTCGTTAATTAAATATGCATCATAGAAAATAAGGAAAGGGCAATTTTTGTAGCGTATGTTTATGCATGCAGTTGCAGACAGTACTTGTACATGTTCATGCGCATCATCAGTTGGTTTGAGTTTTTTATCTTGGCATAACATTTACCAGAATATGGACGAGATCCAGTTAACTGGCAACTTTATTGCGCATTTGTTTTGACAGGAGTTAATTTGATAGACCGAATTAGCACAAATTGAGCCGCCTTTATTTTTCAAAACATTGCGCACAGATGTTGTTGGCCAGTGCAGTGGACAGTAATTACAGTGCTGTACATGAGTGTACAGTCTGTAATGTCGTAAAATAATTTATCCCCTAACGTTGGTCTTGAGTAGTCCCCAGACGTAGTAACTGTTGCCGTTGCATGTTCCCAGGTATGCTTGATTAGCAAATATCTGTAAAACGCAGAATGTCTCATTAAAAACACTCTTGGGTATTTTATATTATTGGGTCTTTATTACACGAAGATACGAGTACCAGCAGCCGTGCGATTTTACCGCATAAATCGAGCAAAACCAGTATATAAATTAAGCGCAAGTCAAAAGTTACAGCAACTTGAAACAGAAGCGGCCCTGTTACAAATGTGGTACCATGTTGGGTGAGTTAACTGCTGGCATTAATTTTGCATGCAAGGCTACCTTTGATCCATAATCATATTTCGCCTCGAACACAACAACATCCCAGTAGTACGTGTTATACTTGGCGTTGACCAGATCGTACACATATTTGGCCATGGCTTCGTAGTTATCCTGTTGGACACTGTTACACGCTCGGACCACAAAATCGTCGATGGCACCCAGTATGGGATCGGTCTTCTTTATGTTGGATTTTTTCCAATCGATCGTTGTGCCAAACTTGGCAGCTGGGAATAAATAATTGTTAGAATGAAGTGCATATTTTTAAAGAATTTTTCAGACACATCTAACTGAATTTGTGGAATTTTTTTTGGACTGGGATTTTTTTTGGAATTTTTGAAATTTACAACAGTTAGGTATTTCTGGCAGCAGGAGGCTATCAACAAGTTCATCTGAATTAAAGCGTTGTTTAAAAATTTCAGCAACGAGTAATCTCTTACCATTCACTGCCACCGCAAAGGCAATCTGTAAAAGAAGCAAAATTACTGCACTGATTATGAAGGAATATGTCATCAGAAATGATCTGAAATTTGAAGAAATATCTTTTACAAGCAGTAACGCCGATAGCGAGGTTTAAAACTTTAAATGTAAAAACTACTATGATAAACCGTAGTAATACTCTGTCGGCTACTTACCGGGAGGAGGATAACTGACCACTTCATTTTTATCAGCTTAATGATATTGCAATGAACACTTGCGGTAGTAACTGCAGCCACGTACAGTGCAACAATGACAACTGTGGCTCAGAATTCACTTTCTCACAGGCCGGAAATCACCGCCGTTAAAATTCTTACATAATAATACGAATTCTCAATAAATCATCAGCTTACAGCTGAAGCGATTTATCATGATCATATTACATTGACGGTCGTAATTACAGTGACTGGTCTGCCGGTGCTGTGGGCGTTCGGCACCTGGACCGCTTCTTTTATTTCTCGTACCTCATCTTTTTATGCCTTCCTTACGTATTTCATACGAAAAGCGCAGTCATTTCTAGTTTTTTTTATCGTTTACACATGATAAATTATAGTTTTACTTTGTGTGAATTATGTATTCATCAGGGCCTGATGAATGCATGGTTCTCGTTTTTCTTTTCCCCAAAATCTTCATCAACAGCAGATTATACAGCCAAACAAATCAAATAATATAAACAAGCACTCAAAGCCTTAACGTCGATATAAAAATGGCCACTGGTAAATCATCACAACTAGTACCATAATTCTTACTGCAATTGCAATAAAGCAGTGCATCTGTACAAGAGTACAATATGTGACAGCTTGTTAATACGTATTAACTATCACTCTGATGAGCAATCTCATCACATTTTGTAGAAGCTGCCAACGTACGTCAAAAATTCACGGTAAACCTTAATACACCGCGCTGATGCTCCTGTGCGAAAAACCAAATCAGTCGATTCCGACATTCCCGGCTCCATGCTGGAGATTGTCAAGTTGCCTCGGGTGCATTCCACTGTCACCGGGTCGTAATGCGAAGCCCGTTTTTGTCTAGTTTCACCGGCCTTCGCCACAATCCACGAATGGAGGTCATGCAAAAGCAGTCGGCAGTTCAGGGTGTTGTCTCCGTCGAAAACCGTTGTTAGCGAATCAACCAGGTCCAAATCGTTTTCGGAAAAGTTCAGTTTTCCGAGCCGACAACCGATCTTCAGCGGAGTAGTTAAGTACGATGGAACTTCAAATGAAGAACCAGTTGTCGGTGTAATTGGGCGTTGTGTCGATGTCGTTATTACTGGGACGCGGGTCGTCGTAGGTGGCGGTTGTCTGGTGGTCGAACCAGTGGGAGGTGTCCATGTCTCACGAGCAGGAGCTTTACAGAGCGGAAATTTCAGGGATGCACAGAATTCAGTGAACCACTCTCCAGGACGATAGCTGCCGGTGTTAGCGCCCTCCATTGCGACACATCTAGTCTCGATGAAACTTGTTTGTGGCTGGCCGGATGCCCAGTTGGTAAGCGATACAAATGTTCCATCAATCCAGTACTGGAACAGGCTAAGCGTCCTGTTAGATTCTCTGTAATTACAAACATTTTCCTCGTCAAACTGAATACTGAAGTACACGAAATGTCAGACAGTTTTAGCTAATTTTGTGCTTTTTTCTCCAGGGTCGTACCTTAACCCGATCCAGTAATCGCCGCTATACTTCCTTATTTTGTTGTCTATCAATGCTTCCTCTTCGCTATCCACAATCGTTGCCAAATCCGCGTTTTCGTATGTTTTGCGACAGAAATTACGCGCGTCATCGAAGGTGTGGTATGGACGGAAAGCCGAGGAATGATTCGGGTCATGGCCAAAGTAGAAGCAGCTGCTTCCCACACGATGACCCCATGGCTCGCAGCCGTCTTCCAGTGGAATAGTGATAGGCGTCCATCCAACAAAAGTCTCATATAACGCGCTTTCACATACCGCACGCATTTCTGAATCACAAGAGATCGCTGCAAGGCCCTGGTAAAGATACAATATTTTAATTCATACTCATTTGAAATGTACTGTACTCGTTTTTACTAAGGACAAGTACAGAGTAAAACATAAGACAGCGTTACAACAGACGCATTAAGTCTGTTCAAATTTTCTTACCAGCTCTCCACTGCTGGTCACACAGTCTTTGGCAGTGATATCCAAAAAGGATATTGGAAAGGGAGGATTTCTCCAAGGGAGGTAACCCGTGGCGGACCCGTCACTCCAACTAAACACTTTCGGATCGCGTGGACTGTCCAGACTATTAAGACCAATCCAGACTTCGTTTGATGTGAATGCAGCGACAGAGCGATATTCTGCTTCGTTACTAAACGATGCCAGATGGCCGCCCGTGCTTTGGCAGGAATTTTGGGCAGCTGTCCACGTGGAAAGCTCGAATATTCTATTTAGACACTTCGAGCCGACGGCGTATGAGTCTGCGCGACAGCTAAACTGGCCTAGAAACATAAAATGTTTACACTACAATGTTTGATGTCAGTCCAAACCTATAAATTTATAAAGCAGAATTTCCAGGTACGAATTACTGTATCATCAAAGGTTAAGAAACTGGGAATTATGAATTATTTTGCTTGTCGACCCCCTTTTTTTCGACGAAGTGATCAAGATTCATTTACTTTTACTAAGGTTTACATAGTTGTGAAAACTATCGTACTTGGAGTCTGAATTGGCGATGTGGTGACTGCATCATATGACGGTCGTTTACAAATGTACGCTCGATTGGTCCCGCATCCATGGTCAGCCCATTTGCCATCAGCAGCCTGAATGTAAGCACATCGCGCATTGGTGTCAGATATCGGCGCCAAGATGGACTGCCAATTGGGATGACTGTTGTCTGGTTCGCCTGCATCAACCGCAACGAAATCATGAATACGACTGCACGAGGAACAAACTAAATAGACTGATAGTCGTATAGCAGTTCGCTTGAACCCTATAATTCACCTGCAGCCCAGTTGAAAATGGCGGCAGGCAGCGCGTAAATGTCTGTCTCGTTCTGCGTTTGCCAAAACCACACGTTTAGACGGTTGGAATAGAAATTAATCCAGAAGGTTGTATCGGATCCATGTCCTCTAACGAGTTCTGCAAAAGAAGATGAACATGCGCTTCTGACATGAGTTTCTGGGAGCCCACGTAAAAGGATGCGGGTAGACCAAATTCTAGTATGAGTGAAACGTGGGGTGTGATTCACAATTTTATCGGATGTCACCTCGGATGTAGCGCTCTTCATCTTCGGTAAAAACAGAAACCAAGTCGGACTTGTCATCCAGGTTGCGACAATTCGACTTGGCGGCACGCCATGTTGTTCCTTCCAGAAATTCTTTGTAACAACTGTCGCCGTTTCGTCTCCAACCGGTGGGACAGCCGGGATGGTATATCGACGTGGGAGTCGGGCCCGGATCGTTCTTCGGCCCTAAGAACAACACTGCATAAACCTGCTAAGAAACCAAAGAAACTAAAACAACAAACCGAGGCATCTCCGGTGTTGATCATTATAATCTACGCCGAGCAAAAGAAAGCGTGTTCCCGCTAAGAACATGGTAAAACTACTTACTGCCATCGTGATAACAAAAAAATTGTTTCTTCTCGGTGCAAGAAGCAAAATTCCATTTTGCGCGATCAATGTACGAACAGTCGGTGCAATTGTAATCCATTATCGTGCAGAGCTGATCAGTCTCTGCCGATGGCCATGAGGCGTGGTCAGCGTAATTGTGGTAATTCTTCAATGAGGTGAACTGCAACACAGCAAATCCTGTACGAGGAATTACATGGAGTCAAATTATTCTATTTCGTACAACAGTTTCGTCTCCGTATTCTTGTATCCACTCGTGATCTTCATTTAAAGATGCTGCTTTGATCCCCAGCCAAATTTCCTCTTCGATTCGGCCTGCAATAATCGACAATGGATGACTGGAACAGCTTTAAAGGTCAAACGGCACTGCAGAAACGTTGACTACGTACCTCGGATGTAGATATTCTGACCAATCGACATTGGAGTGTACAGGTAAGCGCCTTCATAACGATAGCTTTTACAAAACCTCTGCGCTTCGTCCCGGTTCCGTCTCCCTTCGACAAAGTAGTAGCATCCATCATGGAAACGCGTAAAGGGAGAATAGCATTCAATATCAGCTGTAAAGTGATTGAAAACCCATAAGCTTTTTCGCACGTGCTTTGACCAGAATAAATATACAGGCCCCAACTATTGGTTTTTTGCTTAGTCGCTAGTCGCTACGTACGTACGACCAGTTTTCTAATAATGTAGCATTCGGTACGAAGTGAGCAAGCAGTACCTGTACAGTATTAACTAGCATCCTTACGATAAACTGCTGGTACAACGTTGTTGGTAATTGTTTGTGCTTCACATGCGTATGGAAAAGAAAAATCGCAGTAAGGTCGCAAATAATAGTCATGCTGATCCACGCCGCTAGACCAGGAACTCGGGCGCTCCACTATGCTGTAAATTTCTCCGCAGTATGTCCTTCCATTGGCCAATCCACTGCCAAAGCATAAAACGCAAAAGAATAAAAAAGTCAGAAATTTTGAGACTAGGCTGCTTGCATTACGCAATGTATTGCTCTAGCGTTTTTCCTTCCAAGTTCCAGTGGTCGGTTGAAGTGTTTGCGAGTAATTGTCCATCGTCAAAGTAAACATTACGAGCGTTTACGGCGCTGGTTTTGTCTGCAACGGTTTATGAAGTCAGCGTATATTAACTTTTAAGGCTAATTAAAGGCTACTTGCCTAACCGGTTATAAGCACTTAAAATACTTACTGAATAACAGAAGAATTGATTCTCGTTAACAAGAGTGTTCCAAATTTTACATACAAAAAAGATATGCATAATATGCAATATGCGCTTATACGATGTATGCGATAATGCAAATAATGCAGTGCACTGAAGGGCCACGCAAACTGTTGTTTTTTCAGCACGTTGATTCTTTTTTAAAATATAGAACTGTTCTTTCAGACAGTTCAACATTTTGGATATTAATTATACAGACGAAACTGAATTAAGCTGAATATCACGAATGTGCAAATAACACAATCGACCATCCGGTGCCGACCACCTGGTGGTAAATAAACGCGACTATACGATTACTACAAATATCACTGTTTACACCTAGAACGTAAGATACTCCATATTAAGCACCAAGATACTCGTTATTTTCGGTTTACTTGGGATGGTTATGCCAAGCCACGCAACAGTGTTCCTCAGACGATTGCGAATCCATTCCTTAATCCTTTTGTCTTCCCGAACTGTGTTTGTTCCAGAAACGGAACCGCCCTTCGATCTATAGCACAACGCCAGCACGTGTTTTGTTTATCGCATACGAGTATAGACTTCGGGCATACAAAATAACGGAGTAATTAAACCCCCGTTTACAGGGGAAACACGCGCATATGTACGTATATCCGTTATTCCTTTTCCCCCGTTAGCACACTGTAAGATCTAACTTGTGCAATCGGAACACTTTTGTAGCTACCCTTACGCTGAGTTTGCTGTCAACATTATGCCTAATAAACTGAATTCACAAATCAATAATTTTACGTTTTCTTACCGACACTGTGACTGCGCATCTGGATAGTTACTGGGCTCCGGTATGTACTGATAACAAGCCTGATCGTCATAGATCCATCCATCGTTGACACGACACGGTTGCTGCCTGCCTGTGGTCATATGTCAAATTAATTTCATCGTCTGCTTAACTTTATTCATGCCTGCGCGGTACATTAGGCCTTCATTATCCACCACGTACTGAAGCTGCCGGAACAAATAAATCCATTTGTCTGGTTCTTGAGGACTGCATCCAGGTAGAACATGTCATCAAAATCGACGAATCGAATAGTGCCTCGGAATTCAGTTGCTGGTCTTGACAACTCATTGGGTCGGAACCATCCGCTGTAACCCGAAACTCCCACAATTCAGAATAATGAATGGGAACACAAGGGTTCGTAGATAACTTGTCGGATCAGAGTTGATAAGAGAGTTTACTAACTTAACCTTTTCGTCACACTTACAAATCATATGGCGGAAACAGGCTTGGATTGAAAATCGCACCCGGGGTGCCGTTATCGTCCAACCACCGCCACTGACCGGACTGATAGGTCAGCCCGATCCAGTAATGATCCTCTGCCGACGTTAACTTATTCATGACGAATTCCTAGACAAAAATACACGAAGCATACGATTTGCAAATTGACCTTTTTACTTTTTGAAAGATAAAAATTCTTACCAGCTCAGTTTTGTCTTTAGGAGCAAACAGTTTCCCACCGCGATAGTTGCATTCTTCGACAGCTTCGGCAAACGTTATCTGGGTGGACAATGGTCCTGATGTGGCGCCGGTGTCAAGCGCAGCGAACGCATAGTAGCAGTCAGATGATCCGGGCCTGGCGAACCACTCCGGACCTGGCGCAAATTAGCATCGTTCAGCAGTTTCAATGTCAGCAAATAGGTTATTCTATTTTGCAACTACCTGGACATCCGGAAGTGTCTACCATCAAATCTATAAAGGGAAAAATACACAATAATAACAGGATGGGATCTGGTATTTTTAATAAAGTTGCTCGCGTACGAACAAAAAAGTTTCTTGTTAAAAGCGCGAAGTCAACAAACAGCAGTAACAGCAAGGACTGTTTTCAATGTCATTAGTTACCGCAGCGATGGTGTCGTTCAAGTGCCGGGTCCATATCGTAGATAGAGTTGTTATAGTTTTCAGGACAGTTGACGCGGTCATTGTACTGATCGCAGATGAGATCGTCGTAGACGTAACCGCCCAGAGCGCCGCAGTATGAGTTGTGATTCTCGGCGCTTTCTACAAGATAACATCATACATGTACCCGTCTTACCTTTACAGTAAGATCGAACAGTTTATAACTATAACAGCAATTAGTCACCCTCGACTATGACGTAATCGAAGAAAACCTGATGCGGCGCGCCTGGTGGATAGGAACTGGAGGGCGTGAATTCTATGGAAATCTCTGGCTGTTCGTCGTAATGCGAAAGATACTGCCCGGCTGAAGTGGGGTTGAAGTGCTGCGACTGTACACCACCGCCCCACGATTTTCCTAGCGTTCGAGTACGGCCTGATGTATCGTATATTTCCATCAGCGAATTTGTCGGCATGTTGGACTTTCTGCAAAACGGTACTTCTTTAGTGCTGAATTACTGTATTTCAACGATCCGGAAAAAAATTCGGCCAGCGATGTGTTTTATATGCACATAGGCGACCACACAGCAAACGGATTATGCAGGGTGTAGCACAAAGATGAAATTCCTAGTTTAGCAGGACAATACTCAGCGTCAGACATCAACAGAGTATGCATGTTCAACACGTATCATCGGAATTTTTCAGCAAACTAATTGGTGTTTCAAGCGGCAGTTTTACTCGCTTGATGCGCTACATATACAGCAGGAACAGAAGTTTTGTCGAAGCACGGTTATGCGGCTAGATTAAGGTTACGTACCACGCAGTTTCGCTGGAACCTAGACGGTACTGGCTCAATGTAACACGTAACTGCTGTCATAAAATTACCTAATATTCAGGTAGATACTGTAACGAGGGAAAGTTTCGGTCCAGGAATAATAGTACCAGGAAAAGGTGTCCAGGACCACCCTCACTTTGCAGAAGTCCCTTGGCAAGATGGGGAACACGAGTGATCCGGCTTTTCCGGAAGCCGGCAGGTCAATCGTCTGATTGCAGCGGTTGTCCAGAATAACTAGCGTAAAAAATGTACGCTATTTTTTATGTCCATTCTATCGTTAAAGCGTTTCACCTACCTTCTGGCCAGTATGACGCTGCATTTATGCCAGTTCCGACAAGCAGGATTGCAATATAAACAAAAACATGGAACTCCATGGTTCTTTCAGAGGATAACAAGGTGCTGCAGGTACTAACTAAATGTCGTAACCCATAGCAGAGGTACGAGTAATAAGGAAATATCCAAAGGAAATGTACAAAACACCCTCTCTGATAACCAAATAAGTGGCACAAGTGGGCATTTGTTCAATAAGATGGATAACACAACAATTTCAACGTGAACAGGTGCAACTGATACCGCTATCAAACAAATGCAATGTTGTAATAGGTGAACAATGCGAATCATAACAAAATAAAAATTGATACGCCGCCATAATGCAAGCTGGGTAAGCTGGGTAAGCTGTATTCACATGGTATACTCTATTCACATGGCACAGAACATTTTGTGGTCATTTTGATTCTGCTTGCAATACAATACAACCTGCAGCCGTCAACACAGACTCTGCAACACTACAGTAGTGGTCGTAATATAACTGGCAACTGCTTCAAGAATAAAACAGCAAGTACAGAAATTTTAGGCTTCGTGTAGTAGCGGTAGGCAGGAATAGTGCTAGCCGCTTGCCTAACTTATTTGACGATTGCTTAGCGTCCATTTACAGGATGTCGTTTGAATCAGCTTTCCAAAATTCCTGCCTGGTTTTTAAAATTTGTTTTATTCGTGAATGTTTTTGTGGATCCTACGTACAAGTAACATATGAAACACATACGGTGATTCGAGTGCGTAGACCTGCATGTTTAAGAACCGCAAATCAGTTCAGTATTGGCACTGAACGAAAACGTAACCGGAAGCATTAGGTAGGTATCCGTTTTTGTTTTGGAATGACTGAATCAAAAGATGCGGTGTTATACTTACAAAAGCGCGCAGTGGCCAATTTAAATTCCCGAGCCGTATCGATATCCGTCGAAAGAGTAACAATTCTCGACAACGTCACAACTCGCTGTTATGAGAACTGAGTTCTAAAGTCCTGTTTGGTCTCTCCGGTTAGGGACAACCGGTGTTGCTACTAGATCACCGGTGCTCTCGTTTCCTAGGCAAAACATACTGCAGATCATCGCCGAGCTGGACAAAGGAGCTCAACTGGAGTGTGCTGTGGAAAACGGCAATTTTCATTTTAATAAAGTAGCAACCACTGTTTTTTCGAAGTCTTCCTGCATCCCTTTTTCACGACCAAATGTGAGATATGACACACAGTAAACCGAAAAGTCTACTCTCCGCCGGCCCAGCTGATCAACTCAGCGCCAACATGTGTACCCTTTTCCCTTACCCTGCTACCTAGACACAAGCGCCGCCGTTTCAACCCTAATTCTTTCGAACAAAGCCGAATGCTCTTGTCTGCCAAATAAGCGACCTGAACGTTGATATGCTGCAACAGAGTGGCTGGTGACGTCACGTTAGATAATGCCGCTTTCTTTATTATCAAGTTCTATAAAATGCCGGCAGAGAATCTAAGTCCACACACCGACACAATCCTGTCTAGGTTATTTGATCAACAAATGGGTTTAGCATAATATTGCAGTGATCTTAGTGACAAATGGACCGTAAAATCAACAACTGATTTCTAGTGATGTGCTACTACAGCTTCAGGCTACCTTACTTACTATTTACTAATCTTCCAAAACTTTTACTTACTATTACTTACTATTAACCCAAAAATTTTTGAAATACTATTACTTACTATTCACATTTTTCCTAACCAATTACTTACTAATTATACTAAATAAATTTAATTTAATTACTAATTTAATGTTATTATCATTTTTGGGACGCTTGTGCATTTCATGAAGGAATCAAAATATACTGTATTTTATGCGAATCTATGGTGTAAAGGCAGAATCTAACAGAACAACTATGCTGCACAATCTGCTTGGCAGGCTGCTGCTGCATTGCAATGTTTCAAATCCTATAATTATAAGTACTTTACGTAACCGCAGTTTCGGGTCGGCGGTACATTGCGTTTACGTGAACAGCAATACCACCGTATGTTAAGGCACCAACTTTAATTTAGACTACGAGGAGGATTGTAGTTGAGTCGGTAGTTGAGTCGATACCTTAAATTTATTGAATTAAATCGAATGTCTTTAATCATATACGTCCATACAGAAGCACTTTCTAATACGAATAAATGTATTTATTAAATTACAATGTCATCATAGAACTTGACCGTTATGCTGTGTAAAAGAACACCCTTTGGACAGGTTGCAGTTTGGAGCTGGTGCCTTTGGGAGATTTCGCTCGGGGTACATATGAGAAAAACCGGCTGATAAATGAAATTATTTTAATCACAATAACATTTTGTTCTTTACAGAGATGAATTTACCCTTATTAGCAAGGTATTCAAAACGAAATACATTCTATATTCAGCAAATTAGAAATTAACAGGAGTTAGTTGACTGCACAGTACGTCGACGGATGCCATGTTTGCCAATACACAACGTTATTCCACATTTTTATCTTTTGGATCCACGGGTCAAGGAGGTCACGCACCAGCCATCAAAGCCTTTTTAGATTATTACAACTGGACGACACTTACGTTATTTTGCGATGCCCTTTCGGCTGTGCCGACGGTCGCCGCTAATCTAGGATCGCAGTGCCGCTCCGCAACGGCTTTACTGAATGTCGCAGGACGGTATAACTACTATTCGGAATTCTTTGACTCAAAAATTCCACAGGATTACGAAGCGCGGTTACGACGTGTGAAACGGCAAAGCAGAGGTAAAGCGTGGTGTTCTATCCCGCATACATGTTTTTAAAAGAATTCTTGTAATGGGTTTTTCAATGCAGTTATTATTATCCTGGCACGCTTCGATGAACTCCGAAAAATCATGGTAATGATACAGCAGAAGTAAATTACGTAAATATGCCATATCTGTGGAAGCCCGCAGCAATTAAAAATTCTGCTATTGACAGCTGGCTGCGCACAGCTTGAACATGACAAACAACGAATACGTAAGGACTCGACAATTTCAAGTTTTGCAAGGAAGATGATCCATTATTGATGTTGGCTTTCCAGATCTTCCTGAATGTCGTTCCAGTTCAAGGCCCCGATTACATCCCTATACAAATTACCACTGGTTCAGTTGACAATGAGGTTTGTATGTCATCATGTTGTTGTCCCATGAGGTTGTTTATTTAGTTGAGGTGTACTAGTGCCAAACAAACGAAACACCTGTTGTACATTACACTCCTGCAAAGAATTTGCTTGATTCGCATGATAAAACGTGACTGCAGTGCGTAACTTTGTAAAGATATATCCAAGGGGACAATTACTTATTTACCAGATGCAAGCAAATTTCCTTGCATCGGTAAACAACTGTTCGTATATAATTTGAACTTTACTCACGGTGCACGATTAAAGATTCTCCTGGAAGCGTACAAGTATCTCATCACGCTAACATACCCATTGCCAGATTATGGCAAGTTGGCGCCCTTTATCGAATCGGTAGCTCTTGAGTCGCTGACAAAGTTTGATCACAGCTACAGCCGGGAGGAAAAGGTCAGCATAGGATTTGCACTAATGAATTTACGGTTGCTGAAGTTGCTTTATTACTGAATTCGTCGATTCTCAGGTTAACGAGATCACGCTTGCAATACCCGAAATGATAATGGCCATGGCTCAGGTAATGGCGTAATTCTATGCCGGTCGTATTTTTTCTGCTTGAGGCGATCGTGCTTACTGTGCTTTAAATTTTGCAGGTTCTGAATGAGTTCAAGACAAATGCCATCCCATTAACTACTGCAGCATTCCGCAGTGCATTTCTGAATCGGACTTTCCAGACCGGCATCCGACCCGTCGTCATGGGTGGGATGGGGATGCGTCTGTGCGATTCTGTCTTCTCCAGATTTAACGAGACAAGCCGGCATTTTGAGGTTAGGCAGTAGGTTAGCTTAGGCCGGCATTTTCATTTTTCAGGTTAGGTTGATATTGATTAACATCTACAGTATGCTTGATACTGCAGAAAAACATTACAAGCGTTGAATGCTTTTTCGCAGGCAGCGTGGTATTATAACTTTGTCGCCGAGACGTTGAACAAAACCTCAGAACTGGCGGATGACTGGAACGGCGCCCACGAAGCACCGCTTAACGAGCCAATCTGTGGATATCGCGGTGACCGCTGCTTTGCTGTGGGCGGTACGTCGTTGAAGTGAAAATTACGGCGCGATTTCCATAACCAAAAGTCTTTTAAAACGGCAGTATTATTGCCCGTTGACCCTAAGCGTTGGTTTTTGTACGAAGCAGATCTGACAACGATCATTGCCGTTTCGATCTTCGGGGTGGGGATCATCGCCTTTGGTGTTTCTATTGCGTTGTGTCGCGTGTACGTGAGTTGGCCACTGTTAATTTATGGACTATGTGACAAACTGTGTTGTATCACGTGGGTAAGTGGGTTTACTGCTACTTTGTATAACTGTTGCGGTGAATTGCAGCAGACGTTCAGTTAATAAGGATCAGATCGACTGGTTTCTGTTTCATCCACTGCAATACCAGCTGAAACCCAATGATTTGGCGCGGGATGCTGGCATTCAGGTGATTCGTCGGAACAGTGACTCATTATGGATCCGCACTGAAAAGCTTACTGTCAGCGAAGAAGCAGTTTTATCGATGCCACAAATTCGAGTTCTGTGCATCCAGGTAAAAGTCTTTAAGCGTCTGGTCAAGTGTGGGATTCCACTTTCCAGATGCTATATTGCACTGGTCACAACGCGCAACAGTTACAGATAAAGTATGCACCTAATGCATCGTATTGTATAAGTGCCGTCTGCAGTCCACAGCTTACTAAGCAAAAAACATACGTAGTCAATTATGATGTAAAAAGGAAGCTGATTTTAGCTGCGAAGTGCTCAGCACGACAACATCGCCCACTTCCGTGGCATCGTCAGTTTCACCGACAGCAGCACTTCCTTAGTTTGGGATGGCGGTCGTGGTACACTGCGGTCACTGTTTTCCAGGAGAGCAATGATAACCGACGGGATGGTTCAGATCTATTTCATTTTCAACATAGTCCAAGTACAAGCAATTTTAAGGTCAGTAATTCGACATTGTAACTGTCATGCTTTTAGGGTCTTTGCTACATCCAAACGCAAACACCAGTGCGGTGTCATGGAAGTCTATCGAGTTTGGCAATAGTTCTCGATAGC